TATTATATATTTTTTTTTTTTTAAACCTGCAGCAGACACGCCGGGTCACCTTGCACACCTACCCATGCTGGTTTCAGACAGACTCAGCCCGCTGGATTGAAGGCTGTGAGCAGGAGGCGGCATGCTTGCTGTTGATGGACGATGTTCAACTCCTCTTGGGGAAAATACAAAATAAAATCAGGAATCACGACTCTGCGGTAATAAACGGTATAAATCCGAGATCTAGCGGCTCACAAGCCGACGATGCGTTCACTTGCTGTGGCATTCTCTGAGCACCGCGCCGTCCAGCTGAACATGCCCGAGCCCGGCTCGGTTACATCTCTGCGGCTGCTGAGGCGTATCTCGCTCTTCGTCCTCACGGCGTGTCGGGCAGCAGGTCGCTGGTCCTTCTGAGCCTATGTGCGCATGTCACACGCACCCCCCCCCCCCCCCCCCCCCCCCCCCCCAAAAAAAAAACAACAAACAAAAAAAAAACCAACAACAACCGTTACGACAGGTAGACCTTTCAAATGCTGTAACCCTGATATTCCCAGGCGTACTTGAACGTCACACTTTAATAGCCGCCATTTTTATAAAATAAGGACCGTTAATTAATTAGCTTAGCTTTCATTAGCTAACAGGGCTAGGCTAACAATAGGCTAAATGACGAACAGCTTCAGGAGGGTGGAACAATTTAGTAGCCTCTAAATAAGGTACAATTTGAAGTTTAGATTTTTCCATAATTGTAAACACTTTCAGAATTCAACCTTTTTCAGTCAGGTCATCCGGACAGTTTCTTTTTTTTGTGTGTGTGTGCTGAAATATTTCGCATTCGATCCGGAAGACTTCATCAGTCAAGGAAACACACAACACAAAACTGATTCTTCCCAAGAGAAAAAGAAACTGTCCAGATGACCTGACTGAAAAATGTTGGATTGTATACCTGGATTATTGAGCATATGGACTTTGTTATTTTCAGAATTGTTTTCAATTTTCAACAAACAAACAAATATATAAAAAAACGAACAAGTGCAACAGGCTAGCATCTTTAGGGTTTACATCTTTCAGTGATTTACGTATCGAATATTTGACATTAATTTCACTTTCACTAATTCAGGTCTCTCTTGTAAATGAGTCCCCGAGGCTAACCTGTATAAATAAAGGTTGAATGAAAACATTTAAAAAAAGAAGTTGCTTCACAGACAAATGATTGAAAGTTGAAGCCTACGTTAACGTCGAGCGCCACCATCTGTCTAAACCATGATGCGTTCAGGAGCAAGCAGCTGTTGTCGCTACGCTGCCTTCACGGACCATACATCTCACTCCCCAGCGTCTCTTTGGCACATTTCCATCTGATTTTTTAAACTAATGCTTAAAAATACATGAAAATATACTTAGCCTTTTTACTAGTAAAGTAAACTAATAGTTTCTAGTAAATGTGTACATCCGGAGTTGTTAATTTATATTTTTAGTCATTGAATCCCTCGAGCCACAATTATAATTCACTTGATGACAATCACACAGTAGTAAAATCCACACATCAGAATTTTAATTTTAATTTTTACAGGTCACAGTTTAATTGTTTCCTGTGTGTATCTTCTAATGTTTTTATTTTATGATTGCAACTATTTCAGCATACTTTCAGCTATTTTAAATCGTTCCTACATCAAAATGTTCAGCCACATTAGAACATTACAGCTATGAATTATGGTTTGAGTAACTTTTATATTCAAATTATTACTTTATATGCACTTTATTTGTCCCACTGGAATAAAAGGAGAACTCATCAAATCCTTGAAATTCTTGTGCTCTTTGAAAATAACTTCAACATGCTTGCTTCATGTTAAGCTTTTAGCTGAATGTTTTGCTTAGGCTTTTTTGCTGGTTTTAACTTTTAGCTATGGTTTTATTGAACTTAGCTTGTATCTTTTGTCTTAATAAATTTAGCTTTTGTTCTGATCCTTTGAACAACTCAGTTTGTGCTTAAACAAATTTCAGTGGTCATTCAGCAGTTAGCAATCACAGTATTTTCTGCAAAAAAAAAGTAAATTCTCTTGTTTAATTAATAAATAATCTCTTTTTTTTTAAAACAGAGTATATGAATGTGAGCCAGAGACCTTGAATCTCCCTAATAAAACTGCCCACATAGCCTTCAGGTGCAGAAAAGAAAACAGGTGACACATTTCAATTCAATTCAGTTTATTTATCTAGAGCCAAGTCACAACAGAAGTCATCTCAGGGCACTGAACAGAAACATTCATATATAAAAGTAATAATTTGACATTATTCATCTGAGGAGCGGACCGCTTTGAGTTTAACTCCGTTGCAGAACTCATCTTGAGCAAGCATGAAGGAATTTAAACTGTATAGATACATGTAATTTTCTCTGTCGAACACCATTTATTTAACTGAAGAATAAGCATAAAAAGTACTTCATGTACTGGTAATTTATCTGATGACAAAAGAAGCAGAATTAGATTCACTGTAAAACACATCCTGAACACGTGCTGCACGTTTTTCACGTTTTTCCCGTGTAGGTCTTGAACAAGGAGAGAGAGAGAGAAAGAAAAAAGACCCTCAGAAGTCCCCCTCTCCCACTTTTACAGGGGGGCAACTGAGCACTACGTGACTGGAGTGCAGATAAAGGAGCAGGGATGAAGGCTACTTGAACTTCAGCAGCAGGGAGCTCATTGGAAGCAGTTGGTTTAGAACTGAAGGGTGGATGAAAACTGGAAAAATGTGCATGCAATGAGCCAGGACAGTTCTGTTCAATTTCTGACCCACGTTGGATAAACTGAACAAATAAATCAAGACGAATGAATGAAGTCAGCTCATCAGTCTGACTTGTTTCAGGATGAGCTGTAAATATTGTATTCAGGCTTTATTCAACTCAGCAGACAATAGCTGATGATGTGCGTGTCCTGAATGCAGCGCTGTGCTTCAGGCCGCTGCCAAATCCACTCCGAGACCCAAAAAAAGCACTCTGCATCCCACCCCCAGTTTTCTCCGTCTAATCTTCATTCACTATGAAGCGCGCCTAGTTGAAGGAGGCTCTCGGCACCCAGTCCCCCCCTGCATGGCTGCAAACTTTCTAATGAAATCCCCACACACTTTTTGACAAATATTGTTTCTCTATAGGGATCCAGAGATTTATCAAATCAGTCCACGTCTTTACTGAGACAAAAACTTCAGGTACGTCGACTTTTTGTCTTTTAAAGTTGTATTTGTGGAAAATTTAGAAGTTATTTGAAAATGTGTGCTAAGTCGCCCAGAGAGACTGTCGTTGTAAAAAGCATGCAGATGTTATTTGTGTTAATTTGCTGAACAGCCCACTGTTATTGTTGGTTGGTTTTAATAAATACTTTTTCTTGCTGTAAAGAACATGGAGCCCAGTTCTACAGAAGGAGGGTCTGAGGAGAAGGCTGTTAAAAGTCCTGTAAGTGCTGAGATTAGTTTAATTTATTCCTAATTTAGCTGGTAGATGCCTTATTTGTTCAGTTTTTTTTTAAATTAATTTTATTTTGTAGTAGAGCTGAATCAATTTTTGACAGACTTGGTTTTTAATCTCAAAGTCCGTGTGTAGTAAAAAAAACAAAAAACACATCAGATTATTTTTAAAAGCAAACTTTCACTGAATATTTTTTATGGCACTCGAATGTCCCATGGTTCCTCTGGGATCTGTGTGTCCCGACCAGTGGACGCTGAGAGTCAGTGAGCAACATCTGGATGTCAGATTGACCTTTCCAGCTCTGCTGTCTGCAGCTGCTGCTCCAAGCAGGAGGGTCCGCTCAGCGGAGGTCAGATCTCCCAACGAGTGCCACAAGGTCACCATCGAGTTTATAATTCCCAGAAACAGGGGACAGGACCATCAGTGTGATGTTCATTAACATGCGGAGCACTGCCTCGCAGTTTATTTTATCGGTCATACTCGGCTCAGGAGGCATGCCATTTTTATTTTTTTCTCGCGGTGATTTGAAATTATAAACAGGTTGACTGCAGAACTCAGCAGTTCTTGGACATGTGTGGTGAGGGCTTTTTCTCTTCTTGTTTCCAACAGCCAGCCAAAGTGATACTCAAACATGGCCAGGAGTTGGAGGAAGAGCAGGACCAGCTGGCCGAGCATCAGCCTCTTGAGCAGGAAGACTTGAACTTTGAAAGGTGGAAGCGCAGGCCAATTCCCAGGAGGACCCTCCACCAGAAAATAGCCGACTTGAAGAAATACCTGTGGAATGCAGAAACCAACGAATTCATGGGACGTTCTGGCAAGAGCTGGAGTGAGTTCATGGAGCAAGAGACGTTCTGTGCTGTCGGGGTGTTGAGAGGAACATTTGGATTGATCCAAAAGTGCTTTTATGTTTTTTAATGTATGAGTCCAGTAACAAGTTATTATTAAGTACTTTATGGTTGACTCATTTTAAACAAGCTCAGGAGGCAACATGGGGTTTGAGTGTTTTAAAAGATCTCCTCAAGGATAGTCTTGGGGGTGAAAAATGTCTGTGCAGTCACTGTGCTGCGAGTGTCTGTGTGTCCTCATCCTCGATGTTTACATAGGTGCATGGACGATTCAGAGAGTCCCGACAAAAACAGACTGCCTGGGGACGTGTCCTCAGCAGGAGAGCAGTGTTCCAGGCCTCGCATTGGCCAGGAATCACATTCCTCCACATCTTACCATGCTCTCCACGGCCCCTGTTCCCAAAGCCTCGTCGACCTTGTAGCTAAACTTAAAATGTTTATGGTCGTTCATTTGCAGTGGCACACGTAGACATGCTCAATGCGTTTTGTGCAGTCAGTGATGATGGAGCAACTTTTTGGTATTCTAGAGTAGTTGCCATGAGATGCAGTTGTGCCCCCCGCCCTCAGCACCACGCCACACAAAAGACAACATGATCCAACTGGGTGTAGACACTAAATGGATTTAGGAAAAGTGTGTGTTTCACGCATAAATTGGATAGCTTCGTCCCTGGGCAGAGCTAAGAGCTGATTTCAGCTGCATAACCAGTGTGTGCACACTTGTGGAGAAGTGGGGGTCCATGTGTCTGCTGAAGAAAGGTCTGTGCTGCGTGTCCTGAGAGTCGAGTGTGTAAGAGGGGACACAATGCCAGAGTGGGGTGATTGGGGCTCCTTGGAGCTGGCCGAGCCTCTATGGCTGCTAAAGACCTTCACTACGATGGCAACCGGAGGTTCACTGTGTTCCTGAGTGAAAGGACAGCTGGGAGAATTCTCACTGAGCGCAAACAGAAAGGCCTTTGTGACTCTGGAGACGCAAGGCTGGCTGCAGTTAGTCCCCTGTGAAATTGCCTGCACAGCAAAAGCCATTTAATTTAGGAATTACACACTGTTAATTGAATATTACAGAACAACTCTGGTTCTCAGGATTTCGTTGTCACATTGTTCATTTATTAGCACACTACAGCCAAGTTTTTACCAAAACAGATAAAGTTATTTGTGGGTCTAAACAAGAGGTGGAGAACTTGTTTTCGGAGTAAACAAATATTCGTCAAATATCCCCCAAACTGTTCCAGCAGACATTCAAATCAGATGTACTCAGAGATGTGTCGTCTGGTGCATAATCTACTTTTGTCCATGTGTTTTAAAAACAAGAAAAAGAAATGATGACCCTATTAATCCATTTTTCGTGTTTTATTCAGGCCTCATCCTGCTATTCTACGCTGGACTTTATGTGTTTCTTGCAGCCATGTTTGGAGGCTGTTTGTTTTGCCTCATGTGGTCTATTAGTCCCTATCATCCCACCTATAACGATAGAGTGATGCCACCAGGTAAATATAACCCCAAACTCAAACTATACCCATGTCTCTCTGGTTCTCTGTCTGTCTTTTGCTTCTCCTTGAGTCTCTGCACTGTCTCTTGGTCTCCACTGGCAGGTATGACGATGGCCCCGCACCTAGAAGGCCATGAGATTGCTTTTAATGCATCTGACCGCAAATCCTGGAAAAAGTACGCCAGGTCTATGGATGAGTTTCTAAGACGTGAGTCAGTCCTACATTGTGTGAATGCAGGGGGGTGAGGTTGTTGAGTTTGTTGGACAAGAAGAAGACATCTTTTGTGTTTCCTGCAGTGCATGCTGGGAAGGGAAGCCTTTTTTGTGGGCAGAAAGTAGCCATTCAGTAGTTTTTGTTTCACACTCAGCTTTTGTCAAGCTTCTTTAGCCTGGCAGGACTTTGCGGCTGCAAAGGTTTATTTATGCCCCCACCTCCCCTCCCTTCGTCTCTGTTCTCTACTTTCAGCCTATAATGACGGTGCCCAGGACAGGAAGAATATTCGCTGCACACATGACGCATACTTCATGCAGGATGACCTGGAGGAGAGCGCGGAGCGGAAGTCGTGCCAGTTTAAGCGGTCCTGGTTGCAGGACTGTTCGGGGCTGCATGACCCCCACTATGGCTACTCTCAGGGAAGGCCATGCATCTTGCTGCGAATGAACCGGGTAAGAAACGTGTCAGTCATTTTAATCTGAACACAAAAAATCAACACCCTGTTTTGTTGATAATGTTTTACAGTGACGCCTTGTGGGCACTGAAGAACCAATATTACTGTCTTTTAGTTTGATATCATAATTAACTTTTTTAACTGATTGCTTTGTGCATTTTCTCATGGAAAGACATAAACCTTTGGTATTTCTATAATATATATATATATATATATATATATATATATATATATATATATATAATGTGTAACTTTTGTTTGGAGATTTATTGTGAAGCTAAGATTGGATTAAATTTTCTTTTTCAATGTACACAATTTTAAACGTGCCTCTTATTGAATGCCAGCTTGAAGACTTTAAAAGTTATTGTATCAAACATGAAACCTCTACATTTATCATTTGCATTTTGTTTTTAACTCATAGATTCTTGGTTACTTACCTGGGCAGGGAAAACCAATAAACGTGACTTGTGGAGTTAAGGTACAGTTGACATAAAATCATTTAACTGTGATTCAGGACAGGCATCTGAACGAGTAGGTAGGAAAAAGCCAAGTGAATAATTATGTTTCTCCTTTCAGAAAGGACCACCGGAAGCTTTAGGAGAAATCCAGTTTTTCCCTAGAAGTATTTTTGACATGAAGTACTACCCTTACTACGGGAAGCTCAGACATGTGAGTTCTGATTTATGACTGTCTGTGGGAAAAGCATTGACAATAACACGTATCTGTATTCTCTCTGCTTTGTCTCAGGTAAACTACTCTTCACCTGTAGTGGCTGTGCGCTTTGCAGGAGTGCAGTACGACACTCACATTCAAGTGCAATGCAAACTGAATGGAAAAGGAATCATAAATGATTCACCTACTGACCGCTACCTGGGCAGCATGACCTTCTCTTTGGATGTTGGAGCGTAAGGCAAAGACAATGCTGCCAGCAGGATGCTTCTATAATGAGAAAATATGTATAAGAAAAGAGTTATTTTTCATGAATTATGTTATTTCCCTCTCCTCATCTTTCTCTTTAATATCAGTGTCTTCACATGTGAAACAAAATCCTCAAAAAGTAGATTTTTTTTGGTGTGTGGCGTGTTGGCATCTGCACCCACAACAACCAGTGCTGAGCACAAGATGAGTGCATAGTTACAATTCAGCTCTTATATATATATATATATATATATAATTTAATGATTAGATAGATTAATTAAACTTAATTATACTCTGCCCAGTAGTTATTCCTGGCTATGCAAATTCAATCATGACTTTAAAACAATAATATCAAATTAGAAATGTTGCCATGTTAGATTTTGGGTTTGTTTCCATACTTTTGAGTGACCAAGTACTAATTTGATTAAAAATATATTTTTCAAACATGTATGTTGTAAGAATTCAAAGAAATATGTAAACACTGAAAACAAGACTTCTACTGTACTTATACAGTAAAAAAGACATAATAAAGAAAAAGATATGATTACAATATTTTGTTTAAGAGTATGTTTTTTACATTTATAACATACTTTTTGGTAAAAACATTTGCTTTTGAAAGTGAAATATTACTCAGATTTTATTAGTAAAACACTTCGCTGAGTTTAAGTTTTTAAACAACCTTTTGTGGAAACAATAATCTTACAGATTTTGCAACTAAACAGTTGATATTTATTCAGATAACAGCACTTCTAATAAATACAATGTTGATGTTCAAGTTTTTAATGCTTTTTTATTCTCCATTATGAATAAATATGAAATAATTATTGTATTATGATTTGAAACCCCTCTAGAATGGACCATATTTTCACTTTGGTGTTTTTATGAACCTCTCATTTGGGGAAAAAAAATAAATTATAATTATAATTATATATATATATATATATATATATATATATACTCTAGTTTTATTAAATTAACAAAATTATTATTAAAACTATATGATATAAACTCCAAATGACATTAAACATTTACTATCATCAATCCAGTAGAAACTTAAATTGAGCTAATTAGCGTTAGCATGCCGAAGCTAACGTAATCCTTAGAAACATTTGTGAACTAACGTCAGCACAGCTTTTTAGGACTTTGAGATTATTTAAAAACATTTCTCTTTATGCTGCTATGACAGCAACTGCCAGAAAAGCTTTAGGCTCAAAGTATGAATATATTTATATCCAATATATATATATATATATATATTAATATAATTAATATAACTTCAATCCTTATTTACTTTCATTTTAGACTTTAGATTTTGATATTTTGGGGTGTAATCATGACCCTGTGTTCATAATTTTGTTCCACCTCATGTACCACATGAGATGGTAATGACAATAGTTTATTTGAACTTGAAAATTTCACCATTATGAATTATATTATTTTTAGTATTACATTCAGATGAACCAGTTTGAGATTGTGGCAGCTTTGAAGAGGCCACATTTTCTTTTAAAAGGGCCCCATTCGGCCCAGGGACCGCATGTTGGAAAGACCTGAACTATAGTGTGAAAGTGTCTGCTTCTTGCATTTGTGCAGAACATGTAGAAGAAATATATTAATAATCATAATTAAGAGGTTAATGCTTTGTTTATTCACTCTGTTGCTTCTGAAGCGAATGAGCACTTACAGTAAGTCTGCATCTCACATTAAATTAAAACATGTCACAGCTACACACGTAGCTTTATTGATCTAATTTATTGATCACCTTTTCCTGTTGCATTTAGAAACTTCTGTCTCCACAGCTGAAAGAATGAGTTTAAATGTTATAAACACTTGCACATCTGGAAGTTCAGATTTTCAAGCAACAAAAGGACTGCAAGGAGCTATAGTGTACTTCATGACCTGCGGTGGCAACACTTCGAGCAGCACAGTATTGAAGCGTGACAAGATGGAGTTCAAAATGTTCAGAAAACAGAGAATGAGCAAGCGATTGAGCTCACTTTGCATCTGCATGCCAACAATAACCAGACGAGGGTTATGTCTCCTTTTGCAAAACGCCTTTGTGGTAAAATTACAGTACACAGCGCAAGAAGAATGACAAAAATACAAAACAAGAACAAAACTTTATTTAATTTGTTCCCCACTTGTGTTAATCAAGATCAACTTATCACATTATTCATGAGGTGGAGACGAGGCTTAAAGCAACTCAGAGGTGCACAACAGAAAGGCACAGAACCGTCGAGTGATCGAACACAACCAGGGAACACGATGAGACGAGTATTCCTCATCTTCAAGTTGGAACCACTCATGTTAATGTTGCATGTGCAGTGGATTGAGCATTAATTCAAAACAGATTCATGTAAAATGTTTGATCCCGGTGCAGTAGAAGACTAGAAGTACAGTTAAACTTCTGCATGTTAAAGGCTTACAAAGAAACAGCACAATAATTTACCAAAAATCGCTGGATACAAGAAAAAAAAAAGGTCCCGTTGCTGGTAAAGTGTCTTATTGTCCCTTTTATCAAGCTACAATTAGGTGATAGTTTGTGCAACAAGTGAAGTTTTGGTCAACAGTTATTTTAAGTTACATGATGGTTAAGTAATCAATGAAAAGCTGATTTTATTTGTTGAGAAATGGAAGCGGCATTAGCTTGCTCATACATTCGTGTCATCAAAAATCCACGTTATTCATTCTGTACAGGCTTAATTTACATGTATATTATTGTACAGCACAGACGTCGAGAGCAAAAAGCCTCTCTGGGTTGGGAGGAAGGAGGACTATTAAGAGCGTTTAATCTATTTTAGTAAGACATGCAGTTTATAATAAAATTATTCAGTTATCGATCATAAATATTTTGGTGCTTGATTCAGTCATTGGTGCCGGCGAAACAAAAGGAAAACTGCTAGGACAGCTGAAACGTGGGACGGTAAGAAATAAGCTAAAAGTTATCGCAGGGAGACGCTGCCACTAGGCCGGGGAAAGTGAAAATAAAATCGGTGAAGGTCTTCGATGCACCGACAAGCAGGGCAGACGTTTAAGAGCTGAGAGGGTGGAAAAGGAATCAGGCGGGTAGGTTGGACTACACTGACTGGTACCCGGTGCGACTCTTCCGCCGACCAATCAGGTAGGAAATGAGCACAAGGATGATTAGGAAGCTGAGCGCCACGCCCACAGCAATGGGCACCAGAAAGCTCAAATCAGAGTCCAGGAAGCATTCGTCGGCTGACGTAAAGACAGACAAACAACGGGTTAGTGATTAGGCAGAAAAGTCAGTGAAGGTTAAACAGCTGAAAGTAGCAAGAAGAAACCAAAACCCATAAAAAAAAACAAAAAAAAACTGAACCAGTGTTTAATTAGAAACACAAAATTCATGTGAATGAAACTATAATTTTTAAATATATATTTTCCTAATTGTGAGAAAATCATTCTCGGTGGGAAGAAAACACCTTTTATCGAAACAAGCAGATAAAAGCCGGTCAGCTGAGCTTAAAAACTGGAAACAGCTTCAATAATCTGAAGGGGATCATTTTAAATATAAATTTAACAGCATTCTGATGCACCAAGTCTCTATAAGTATTTGTGGGGCGTATTCAAACACCAAGTTTTTGACCAAGATCTGAGGCGTGTACTCTAAACTCCCCATGCTCAATTCACAAATGTCAACAGATCTAATCCTGACAACCCCACATCTGGTCTAAATCGATGAGGGTTAGGTGACCACCAGAGGACCAGGCAAAAACCTTTCCTCTCATTTCCAGTCTTTATGTAAAGCTGACCTGCTTGCTCTCAAATGATCCTCAGCAAGAAAACTCAACGCTCCCAACCATTACTAAACAGTCACCACTTAAAGCCACATGAAAACACAAAACATTTTTTTCCTGACAGTTAGTTAAAACACAAGATATAATAGGCAGCGATTATCCCTTATTAGAGGAAGCTCTGAAAGTAGAGTAAAATCAGAAGGATTGGTAGCCGGAAGCCATGTTTCTCCTCCTCCCGATGAAATAGGCCACCACAACAATAACTATGAGAATAACCAGGGCAACTCCGACCGCTATGGGCACAACGTAGCTTTCCGCCTTGGGCTGGCAGTCCACCGCTAGATGGGAGTGAAGAGAGCACAGGAGAAAACATCTCACTTGTTTACATTTTCTTTTCTTTTCTTAAAAAGGGAATGTAAAAACACCTGAAAGATGATAAATGAATTTCAAAACATGGACAACAGCATGGATCCAATTTTTTACATTTTTATTTCCATTGAAAATACTATAAAGCTCCAATCACACAAACTGAGTTTCAAATCGTTTAAGCTGACATGAGTGAGTGCAGATAAAATTATCTGTCATCTGTTTGCACATAATGCACAGTAACGGAAATGGTTCTGCAGCACTGATTCCCTTTTTTGTTTGTTTGTTGTGCTATTATCCCCAAAACGAGGAGGTGAAGTCATTTGAGCCAAACGAGGTTTAAACAAGTCTCAAAATGTGCTAAATTGATTTATTACTATGTTTTGATGACAAACCCGTCAGATGATTTTTAAAAGTTTCATAAAAATTGTAGTGGTGCTGCAAAACCATCTTCATAATTAAGGCAACTTTTACAAAGCTGAAGTAGACAAAGGCGGCAACAATCACGAGGAAAAAAGCTCATCTTGTATTTGATTATGAGCAAGAATTACTTCAAACAAATGTACAGGAACCTGTTGAAGCAAAAATCGATCAGCAAAACGCGGAACAGTGCAAAGAGTAGGTTGCACTCTTACTAGATTTAATCTACAACTACGGCTTTTAATCGTTTAAATACAATCTGAGGCTCGCCATTCCCGCTTCACTGAAACCTGCTCTAATTCCACAACTTAAACAGTCCTGAAAATATCTGTCAATAAACAACCAACTCAGAAATGAAGAAAAATCCTGTCTAAGAACATTTTCATCACAGACACAGAGCACCGGGAGTCAGGAGATTAAAACCTGCTGACTGATGTTGGGTTTATGGCTCGTGCTGCTTAAAGATTCAGTAAAACTCACAGGAACAAAACCCCGACGAGCCAGTAGCTGAACTTTAATAAATAAATAAAAAACAGGAATTGTACTTTCTTTCAGAGTTGGCTGCACAGAAAGGACATACAAAGCCAAGCAGGCTGTTTTAAACCCAGCCAAACTACTCTCTGCGTATCCCCATTTCCACCTTTTTGTGATGAGCAGCAGCTACGTAGCGCCGAGCTAGAACTTTGAATTTTACGAGCAAAAAGTGGCACCTTTTCCTCTAACTTCGTTCAAGAAAGCAAAACTTTACACGTTAAACTATTCCTGTGAAAAACTGCTGCAAATATCTAAAGAAACGTTTTGAAGCAAAGGTTTCTGCAACGCTAACGTCCCTTCATCTGCTATGACGCCTTAACATGTACACAGGTGACAACAAGCGAAACATTAAGTCTCGTAGTGCATTTATACGTAAATATTCTTGTTTCAGAATTATGTGCTGAAAGCAAATAACTACTGAATCGTATTGTCCCTTTTCATAAACCTAATGCCAACATGTATCCCAGCAGAAATTTATCTGAGTGAAGCGAGCGCAAGCTAATGGAGCTCCACGGAGCATCGCATCGAGTTCAGTGAACTCAACTGTAAATGAGTCACAAAGATGTTTAGTTTTATCTGGACTTAACTATTTGACAGGGTGGGAGGTTTTTAGTAAAGAATGATCTAATGTCACGTTCAAAATACGACTGGAGTCACAATATCAGGTAAAATCCCAAAGTTCCTCCTGGTCTACAGGGGAAAACATGGGCAAAAACAAAAAACAAACATATTTTTAGACAACTTTTCAAAATAAAGCAGACATTCATTAATGTGGAGAAATTTCAAGGAACAGAGCAAAAAAAAAAAACAACGTTTGATTAAATTTGATCCGTGACAAAATGGTGTTAGAACATTTGAAAATGTCTCGATAATTGTGACGATGAAAAGTCAAATCATAATCTGCTTAAAAAGGATAAGTGACAACAAAAGCAAACAAAATGGGGAATGTCTGCTGAGCAAGTGCAGGACCCTAAAGTGGAGAATTCTGTGACTGTGTGCGTGGTGGTGGTGGTGGTGGTGAGGTGGGGGGGGGGGGATACATATCATGGGGCATCTATAAATGTACAGGTAGCTCCGTACCTGAACAATATGCATATTGCACGTTTAAAATAGCATTCATTGTAACTGTATTGACTAGAATGATTGGAGAAATGTTTTGTGGGTCTTGCACTTGCCCATTAACAAAAAGCACAATAAAGAAAGAAAAGCCAAACAGACATGAAGGAGGGTGGACAAGGACAGACAAGTTTGGTCCTTGAGAGGAACAGCTAATCCTTTTATGCCAATTTATTCCGTTTTCAAACATTAGAATATATGTAAATATTGATATATATTAGAAGACTAATGTTCACATCACCTAAATTCATCTTTAATATCACCAGATTATTTACATTTACCAGCCATCATTTCACAAAACTGCATCATTTTCCCCCCATTAGACTTTTTAAACACTGCATTTTCTTTTCATGGGCCAAACAAACCACTGCACGTAACAGCCAAGGACCAGACTTGCGAATCCCATGACATTTCAGGGATAACTGCAAAACTGAATCTAAAGGGTCTGATATCCAGCATTGGTCTTTCTTCGACCGATCACGTAAGCGATCACTACAATGAGAATCAAGCCAGCCAGAGCAGCGCCGACAATGATTGGGATTAAGATGCTGGGGTCATCCAATGAACACTCATAGGCTGCAGATAAAAAGAGAATCAGTCAAACTGGTGGATTTTCTAACTCAAAACAGCAAATGAGAGACGAGAATGAAGCAGCAGAATAGCACTTCCTCATTTGTCTTTATAATAGCTGCCCTGGCCTACATTATTAGAATACAACTAATACTTCCTGTTGGGAGCTTTATTTCCCTATTTTTAAATCAAATACAGACCTATATGCATGTTTAAAGGTCTAGAAAATCTTTAAGTACCACACTTTTAAAAGGCACTTTGCAACCTGAGCATAAAATAATCTACTAAAATTTGAGAAACAAAAATACAGCTTGCTGTGAAATATTTCATCACATTGTAAGTAAAAGTTGTGAGCCAATCCAGATAGTGAAACGATTATGTTCTAATTTAATGCAGACAAAAACGTAATTTCCTCATGTCAACATTTATGCAATCATAAATTTACCCACATAACTATACCAATAAATAAAAAAATTACAGTACAACACAAAGAAATCCCTCACCTGTGCTGAAATCACCCTTCTTCACTCCAAAAGGTTGCACTCGCAGGTTGAATGTGTAAAGGCTGAGCTGGTCGCTGATGGTGGAGTTCTGCTCCTTGTTGCACATGTAGGAGCTGCCGATGTTGGTCTCCCACAAAGTCAGGTTGGTATCGACCTCGTGGAAACCTGAAGGAAACAGGCAACTCAATGTCAACCTTACTCTCGGTCGTACACGTGGTTTACAAAAAGGTTGATGGGATTTTTCTCATTACCAGACCCAGTGTTGACCGTGACATTCAGAGTGAGGAGGCGGAATTTCTTTGTGTCCTGTGAAAAGACAAGTTCAGGAACACAGAAATGAAATGTCTCCTCTTGTATCTTTATAGTGTATAAATATTTCACTGCTGTTTTCTGGCTGACAAAATACACTGGAGCTTATCTGAGGTGTATAATAATTGCAGTACCTGTCAAAAATGAGCAATTTACACAATAACTATTAAACTGTCAAACACTTCCGTTTCCCAAAGATCAAAAAGTATCCATTTATAAAGAAATCAAACATAAAATGTTACCATAAATTATACTGAATGGTGCAGTTCAAAAGACTATTCCAGTAGTTTTTCAGATATATTGATAAGCAATTCAAAAATAAAAATCTACCCTAATCTGGCTAAAAATCACACGAAAGCTTGAGTCACGTGTTTGAGCTACAATAGACTGACTGTAGACTGTGTAGGTAAACAAATGAGGCGAAATAGAAAAAAACACTGATTTTGAGAGATGTTTAGGTGGAAACATGAGATAATCTGTTGCGAAATGTAAAAAAAAAAAAAAAGCTATCAAGAATAAATAGCATTTTTTTTATTCAAGGTCACATTAACTAAATATTTGCAGATTTAGTTACTATATAAATACTTTTTGACCAATCTTAAAGAGTTTGCAATGAGCACCTTTAAGATGCAAAACCTGTTGTGTTATGCATAGATATGTAGTAAATAAGTACCTTATCTAAATGTTGTGGCATTAATGATTGCTAAAGTAAAAAAAAAAACCAACAACATTTCATAAGGAAATATCTTGCTACAACTGAAGATTACTTACATTGACAAATGTGAATGCTACGGTCAGTTCTTCAGACACCAGCACAAGCTCACTGCTGCTGACGCCACATTTTCCAGAAACGTTCGCTCCATGAGGGTCAAAGTTCATCTCTTGGTATGTCTAAAACAGACAAGAATAAAATTAGTCTCCAGTTGAAAAAAATAATACTGCAGGTCTAGCATTCCTTGAAGGAATACATCTCCTCTCACCTTTCACATTGGAGATTATTATAAGTTGAGAAATGACAGCGCTGTAGCCGTTTTGGTCAAAGCTTGAAAATAATATGAGCACTCTCAGCTACTACCACAACAAATTTTAGCTCAATATCTGTAAAACTGACTGAATTACTGCCATTTGTATGTGTTTTAAAGATCGGTAGGTTGTGGCAGCCATCTTGACTTGTGTTGACTTCAAAAGTTAAACGGGTTTAGATGTCCATCCAGTGTTACTTCAAGTTTCATGAAAACCTACCCAGTCAGGCCCACGGACACATATGGACATGGGAAAAACAACGTCGTCTGCCCTCACCTGCCCTTTTAGTGGCGAGTTATAATAAAAGGCACGACTCAGATTACAGCATAATGATTCTGTATTTATGAGCATACCTGGTTTTGTTTGAAACCAATCCGAAGGCCAAAGCTGGCCAACAGACAGGCTGTAGTGTTCGGACCACTAGGGGAAATGCTGTAGTTCCCAGTTTGAGGAGTGGGGAGGGGTGTTGGCGGGGTGGTGGGTGGTGTGGTGGTGGTGTTAGTTACAGGAGCAGCAGTGGTTGCAGCAGTTGTTGGAATAGTGGTTGGAACAGGGGTTGTGGAATGATCCGCAGAACAAGAGGTTACTGTTTCAGGAAAAAAAAAGAAAAATGAAGCATCAAACAGAATTGTGAAATATTTTGGTCAGATGTGCACCAACATCTGTACTTACTGTTCTCACTCTTGCTACCGTTGGCAACAAAAGCCTGTACGAGTACGTTCCACAGCGTCATGTTGACCAGATTAGCCGAGATCTCGTCTTTACTTTTACAAGAGTAGCAGTTGTCCAACTCGACATCATTAATGTTGGCATTTTGAGACACAGTGATTGTTTCTACGAGTAAAAGAAACACGTACAACGAAATAATCAGTAATAAAGTTGTTCGTCTTTGTATTTATTTTTATTATTAAGTCATGGAAAAAGTTACTATTTGATGAAGATCCAGGGAAGTAATTGGAGTCACTAAGTTTGTAAGAAAAAGTTATCTGGTCTGCCAGGTAGCTTTTCCCACTCTTGTTAAAGTTCATGCTCCAAGAGTGTCCGTCTCCAAAGTTGAGCTTCAGGGTCGAGGTTTTCTCATCACATTTGCTACCATCTGACATGACATTTTCAGGAAGTTTAAACAGAGCAGTGAGAGTCTGAAAAAAAAAAAAAAAAAAAAAAAAGTCATTCAATTAACATTTTTAAACAAAGTTGATCTAAAAATGTATTTAAGTCCTAAAAGCCAGATTTAACTTGCACACTTAAATTCCTAGTCTGATAAAAAAAACATGTCTAAAAAAAAGTTTTGCAATGGCAATTTTATATAGTCTCACTGCCAGTGATTACAAATGCTTAAATTGATTTTTAAAAAAGGGGCAAGAACTTATAAAGCCATAAACATTTGTAATCTTGCCTACATTTAAGGTACTGCAAACATAATGGAAATATACCAGTTCAACTCATTTGTTGGCAATAAAACCACAACCAGTTGATTCCGTTCACTTGACGTCGCCATTAACAACTAAAGCAACATTAATAATACTTTTTTCTTATTATCAGGAGGAAATAATCTGTCTCTTAATAAGTAGAAAAAAACCCACTTCTCAACAATTTCAATATTTTTCATAGAGAAGCGAAGGATTGTATTTTTAGCGACCAGTGCTGCCAATAATATTTAGCATGGGAATTCACATTAGGAATACTTAGTTTTCTAGTTATTGTTTTCTACTGCATTAAACTTTTGAATTTTTGATTGCACATTTTAACATATTTATATGTGGATTTCATATTTGGTGGTTTTCATGAGTCAGTATCCTGTAATTTTTTTTTACAGCATCGGAAATCATTGTGTTTTATATTATGTGTATGTTGTGTCTTTATCTGCTTTGAGGCTGTAAATAGAAATTAGCCATTGGCTAAATCTGGCATACTTTCCTCATTGGAGCGCATTACTATATTGCATACCGGTAATTAAAATGAAAAATAATAAATAAATAAGAAACTTTAAATTTAAACAAGCTAGAAACTGTGCATTTAATGTGACTGTCCAATAATACATCCTATTCTAAATAAAGGACAGGTACATGAATAGTTGTATACTCTTTTTAATTACCTAAAGCATTATTTTACAAACAAATTCTTAATATTTGCGATTTTCAATCATTTGCCCTACAAGTAAAAAAAAAAACCAAATGATATGCATCACAAAAACACCTAAAATAAAATGCTACGCAGCAAGAATCTGCCTGCCTTGGGCATGACTCTTCCATTTCCCCTTTTTATGACGACGCTTCCTCTGCAGTAATGTGACAGTCACGTTACTCAGGTTTCCAGATAGAAGTTCAACAGAAGTCTGATGTATCAGCGGTCAGTGGTAGTAGACACCTACCTTGTTGTCAGCTCCTTTATAGGAGACAGAGAAGTTGAGCATTAGGTTGGCGTAGAGACAAAGTTTTTTGTCTTCTCCTGTGACATTCACCTCAACGCCATGAGACTGGTGGAACACTAAAAAGAAAAACACAGCTCTTGTTATTCAAACTCTTATCAATTATTATTAATGGAACTCAGTTCAAGGGTGGTTTTAGATTCTCCCCACAAAAGGACAGAGTCAAAAGAACATTCAAACATTATTTTGTCCATCCGCCGTGCCTCCTTCTTCTTTAGAGGGTATTAAAGGAGCTGAAGCTATTATCAGCTGAGCGTGAACAAGAAAAGAAGTTGATCCTTACAGGTCAACACAGATCAAACCCACGCCAACATTTGGTATAATTCTACTTCATGCATGAGATGACCTCTGCGGATGATGACACAACAGCTTGGATTAGAAGGTTCTGATAGTATGCAGTGGATCTGAGGCTGGTAAATTAAAACCATTTCCACAAGGTTACATCTTAAAGTTCAACATGTATCCTTGTTCTCATGACACAACACAGGTGGAAATGTCTTTTCACCCTAACCCAAACTTTGCACAGACTTAACAGTAGACAGTTTAACAGACTGGGCCAAAGTCCATGCAGATTACTGATAAGGTTTTAACACTTTGCTTTGTCATCAGCTCGGACGCCTGCTAGAAACTTCGAGATGTATAAAAGGGATATGGGGAAATTGTTTATGACTTTCTTAAAAAAAAAAAAAATGGAGAAGCCATAAAACCGAGCAGTGATTTCCATGGACAAAAGCCAAAACCAAGCCTTAAGTCACATGACGATCGGACATAAGGTACAAAATATGTCCATTTTAAGAACATGATTGCTTTAAAGTCTGTATAATCACCTTTAGGTACCGCTGTAATAAATAACTAACTTGTTTACCTCAAAAACTCTGCGGCGTTGAGGCTTTGCTGCTGCTGGTTTACAGTAAACTGCCATGGGGGACGCTAATGCTAGCCCAGCTAGCCCAACTTTTAGCCATTATCCCGTCGGGCAACAACATCATCATTAACAAGTTTATAACTTTTAGTCCTTGTGTTTGCATATAATGCGAAATAGTAACAGATACAACTCAGAACGTCCACGACTTTACGCGTAATTCAAGATTAAAGTAACAAAAATGGGAGAAAAAAACAGCAAATAGCTAAGTTAGCTAACTGCTAAGTTGCCCCAAAACAGCCATTAGATCCCGTTAGCGTTATAGTTTTATCGTTTAGTCGATTTAACAAACAAGTTCAAGGTAGTTTGTGATAGTTTGAACGCATAAAGAGCCGCCTTTAAGCAGATTTATTTTATTGTGTAAGGCAGTGATTGAGTTTCACGTTTGACGCAGGTAACAATTAGCATTAAGCTAGTAGCAAAACACTACGACTGTGTGGCTATTATATAACAGAGATGTTGGTGAACTTGCTTGAAGACCTAAAAGAAAGAAGCAGCTCAAACTACTGCACAGTTTAACACCAGTAAGATACAAAACACTTGTGTTTTTCCACAGTAGCAAAGAAGAGGCCCGGCTTTACCAGAAGTTAACCGCGTTTTCCCAGAAACAGTCCCGACTTCCACCTCCCTTTTTAAAAAAAAAAAACAAACTATGGTGCTGCGACACTTACCAACTCCACAAGAAAAGAGTAAAACGAATGCAGCACATCGGTACATGGTCGCTAATGAATGCTGAGCCGTCGGACAGAAATGAAAGCAGTCAACAGACACGCAGAGTCCGAACTGAAGACGAGTCCAACTGAACCAGGAAGCGGAGTCATATGACTGAGAGGATGTGTCAAAACCTCCGAGAGGTGTGGACAGCAGTAAAAACTGTCCTTCTCTTTTTCCGAGTTAATTACTGTATATTGTACGCCAAGGCTCAAAATCCACATTTCTAACAAATGATAAAATGTTTACTCACTCACCCACGAGTGAAAACACAATGGTATACGCTGAAATCAAAAAAATGAAACCCCAGATTGAAAGAGTTCTTTTAATGTTAAAACAATAAATCTAACAGACTCATACAAAGAAATGTCTATTTCCCCCCCCAAGTGTTGAGCATAATCTAGGCCTGCTGGAGATTTGGAAAAAAGAAGAAAAACAGAATCCATTACTGCACAGAAAAACCTAACAGTGATGTGCTTTTAAATATACGCAAGTGTTAACAAAAAACTTTTATCAACAGCTGTAAAATGACACAATAACAATGAACTGAAACAAATAATATTGTATGCAAATACTTGAACAACTGAACTGACGTAGCAGCTTGAAAACAACTTTAAACAAAAGAAGTGCTCCCTTTTGGCACAAACTCTGGTTTGGAGTATAATTTGTGTTTGCGATCACAGTTTTTTTTTTTTTTTTTTTAAATCATATGACCGACAGTCTTTAAAACCTAAAGATGGATCACAGAATAAACACACACTTCCCAAACTAGTAATTCTCAGCTGTGAAGGTTAGCCCAGCAGTTCCACATTCAACAATGACTGAAGTAACAAGCATTAGTTTAATGTTTGTTGTTTTCTTTCAAATGCTTCTTGCTCACATTTAGAGAATCGATAGGTGTGTCAGCATTACCTTGGAATACTGGATGAGAAAAAAAAGAAACGGGCTTAAAAATAAAAAGCACGTTGATTCAAACTATGGACAAAGGATCTAAGTCAGAAAATAAATATATTTCCTCTCCATTTAAAAAAAAGAGCAAACTGAACTGTGCGTCTTCTTTGTTCCAACTCTCTCAGAGGCACTGGGAAATATGGATGATTTTCTCTTTTCTATGGGCATGCAATCCACAGGATCATAAGACCCCTGACGAAAACCCTGTGGAGCAGTAGCCATTCACTTGTCGGTCGTTGGGTTTGAAGATGATGATGGTTAACGTCCACGGGAGCAAAAGATTTAGAGGCCGATCACCTTTTGATCTAACAGAACCAACTGTGTTTCTTTTCCTCTCTAGGCCACATAGTTGTACTGGTTGGAGTTTTCCTTGTCACGCTCCATATAGTCCCTGTCAATAAGAGACTCTATCCTCTTCTTTAGGTCAGCAGGCTGAAAGAGATGAGGACAAAGAGATATGTCAGTGACGCAAACCCAAGAATTGCTGTGTTGTTAAAATGCCTCCACTTTCCCCATCTATTGAATCAAATCAATTTCACAAAAACTAGTTGTTGGTCAAGAACATGCAGGTGTGTTTACAAATGGTCAAGTATGAACAACAGCAATAATCTTAAGAGAAGCAATCGGACAAGTTGCTGCCCATCAATATGGTAAAGATTAGGAAGCCATTTCCAAACAATCTGGAGAAAAACAAAGATTTTCTGGAGTAAAACAGTCAAGACAGCCTCAGATTTTCCAGGAGTGGGTTGTTCAGCCCTGATGTTTGAATGTGTGACAATAATAAACCAATAATTTATGTTGACAAAGTTGCATCCAAATAAAATTCAGAAAAAAAAAAAGAAAAAAAAAATCAAGTCACAAGTGGAGATTCCTAAACATAGTTCACTACATTGGATCAAAAGGGGCCATAGTTCTGTGATTCTGGGGCTGAGGGTTCAAGCCCAAGTTGCGTCCAGAAGGGAATCTGGTGTGAAACGATTCATAAATTGTTCATGCGGGTTTGCTCGCTGCGACCCCTGAAGATGGGAGCAACTGGAAGAACAACATTTGGTCAAAACCAAACAGAATTTCAGCACATTGGCCTCAGACTTACTGTTAAAGATCGAACTGGAGGTAAGCTGATGCTGATTCTCAGCCATCCAGAACAGGAAGGTCCAAAGTGCCTGAATAAAATTGAACTGGTCTCCCTTTCTTATTTCTAGGAGAAATTTTACCACTCATTAAATTATTATTATTTTTTTTTCAGTTCACCTCTCATCTTTCAGGGGAACCTGCTGCCTTTTATTTAATCATGTAAAATTTCTAGAAGTAGAGTCGTCATGATTTGGGCTTGTTTTGCCATGACAGGACCATGGGCACCTTTCAGTCAACCTTTTGAGTCAACCATGAACTCTTCTTTATACAAAATTATTAGGGATGCACAGTATTATCGGCATGGTATCAGCCAATATTAGCGATAAAGTTAAATATCGGACATACACACACATAAATATATATATATATATATATATATATATATATATATAAGATGTGGTTGTTTTATGACTGTTCGAGTGTTGTCATTGTGTTAGAGAGAGTAAATGTCATGAATACATTTGACATTAAACACAATCCAAGTTCAAGTGTTGCATCATTTTCAGCCCTGTTTGGCATCTGCATTTGGCAGCAGGCCAAATTGACAAAGACCATGCAGAATATTGTACCGGTGGTACTGTAATTCCACAGCAGAGAAAGCTATGTAGTCTCTGCAAGTAAACAAATGCTATCTGAATCTGGCTTCCTCACTTGGCCTTGAATAGGCCAACTATCTCAAATGTCTCCTAGAGGTTATGTGTTACTAAAAATTTGTTAAAATTTAGGTTTCTCTTGTAAATGAGTCCCCGAGGCTCAATGGGATTAACCTGTATAAATAAAGGTTGAATGAATGTGAAAAAGAGGCTCTGCCCTGTCCCTCCCCTCCCCCCCACACACACCTGAGGACATCTGTGGACCTGTGTCAGAGCTGAGCCAGCAGCGAGACTGTACCATCTCTTGTCAGGACTAAGGAACTTTTTGGCAGTGCCCACGGACAACTCACCACCTCTGTCAGCCTCCTCATGCATAAATGTATTATGACGTCTTAGTATGTTGCTGTTTATGTGCAAGGTCTTTCTTTGCAACTTTCACACTGTGCCCCAGCCAGGACACAGTGCGAGACACTTTTTTTTTTTTTTTTTACCTCTTCTCCCCTCGAGTTTCTCTTTTCCTTATCTACTGTTGTCTGCCTGAAACAGGTCTCTCTTGTAAATGAATCCTTGAGGTTCAATGAGAACTAACCTGTATAAATAAAGGTTGAATGAATAAAAGTAGGTCTAGGGGGAAAAATTATCGGTACTGGTATCGATTATTGGCCAAATAAGTTTTACCATATTGGCATATCGAATATCGTCAAAAATCCAATATCGTGCATCCCAAAAAATTATTCTATAGTCAAATGTGAAGATGTATGTAGGTCATCAGAAATTTGGGTCATGCAACAGGATGCTGATCCACAGTAGAAATTTACAACAGAAAGGCTATAAAACATTGTTACAATGAGAGTCAAAGTCCAGACCTCAAACTGACTGAAACATTGCAATGAGACATGAAGAAAGCTGTACATAAATGCCTGACAACCACAATGTAGTGAACCAACACCGTAACAGTGAGACAAAATCCTTCAAAACAAAGGCAGTAACTAAATAAGTAATACAGAAGACAGATGTTTCTAGTAACTGCAGCTACAAGCAGTTCTACAAGCATGAGAAGCACAATTAAAAACCTTTAATGATGTACATTTGCAGATCAGAAAAGATAATCCTCAGAACCAACGCGTTTACATTCAATTCATTCTGTTGTCGAGTCGTGCCGATGTAAGATGTGTCAGATTTGAGAACCATTGCTCAAGACCGTTTATTATTACAAGAAAGTCTTGCACATAAGTGTCACTTCTGAAAGTCACAGACCAATGTGCAAAATACTGTAAGCAACCTACGTAACCAATAAAACCAAGTCAACTTGTGAGCAAAGGTAATCATGCCAGACTTGGTGTTCAGGAACAAATTTAATTTGACATTTAGCGACACTTCATTAGTGTTTTGTTGATGCAGTCCAGTTAAAATGTCAAGGTTAAATGGGTGCATATTTATTTGAAGTAGATGCTGAGTCAGGCTCGTACGATGAAAGAAACTGCTGTTTATTCCAGCATGAAGTAGTCAAAACGGTTCTTTATCTTCTCAGATCAACACAACTGTTGCTACTGACTTAGCGTTTTATTTGTGGCATATTCTGGTTGCCTTGGTAATCGAGGAGAATGCCGCGTAGCGTTCCTGCTTCACCTCACCATTACCTTATCATCTGCTCTTTTCATACCTGTCAGCCTTCCACTGATGCTGGATGTTAAATAAAAAGACAAAAAGGTTAAAAAAAAAACCATCAGTAATATTCATTACCTTAACAGGAAACTTGAGCTGGTTGTACACCTCCGACATCAAAAGATTATGGCTCAGAGTCTTCCTCATCTTCATTATCCGCACGATAGCGGCATCGATCTGGTACTGACGATCCTGAAAGACCCGTTCTGTGGTGCTGGCTTGCTCCTCCACCTGGAGGTAAAACACAAATGAAAAGTCTTTTCCACATCTACACTATTTGTATTATCAAGAAGGAGTTTTTTGGGTTTTTTTACCGTCTCTTTCATCTGAATCTGGTTTATTTTAATCCTGAACAGCTTGTGTTTGAAGTCATCGTTGCAGGAAAACTTGTCCCCATCCTCCACATCTTTGCTTTTGGGGAGTTTGGTGAGCACTCGTGCTTTTCCACAGGCAAGCGACTGCAATGTCCGACGCAGTTCGCTGTCCTCTGTAAACCCCACAAAACAGTAAAAGTTTAAGACAAGCAGTGATGAATGAAAATGATCAAACTCGACGTGCTTCGATTTGATAGCGAACCTATTCCTGTGGCCAGTTTGATCTCCTCCAGAGTGAACTCCTCCCCTTCGTTAAACATCAGCAGCACAAGCGTTTGAAAAAGTGACACCTGCAGCTCCTTCTTGCCCTTTTAAAGGGAAAGATTCAGAAGAGAACAATTATAACCAGGCTTTGCAGAGTGAGCTAAACAAACATTCGCAGAAAACCGTTGCAAACCTCTTTGAACTCGGCTTTTAGGACACAGTGACCTAACGTTGACTGCCACTGCAGCTTCCTGCCGCTGTGTTTGCCCAGGTAAAAAGTTTTGAAGATCTCTTGCAGCCGCACCATCTGGACAAAGATAAACAGACGTGTAATAAAGGAACCCTTGGTATATTTACAGCACGAGGGGTTATAAAAACACCATGTTCCAAAGCCCTGAATATTTGCTCAGCACTTACCTCAGGAGGAAGGTGGACTTCCATCGGGACATAAGTTGGCCAGTAACCCATAGTGAGGATGTTCACCGTCAGCTCAATGTTGCCGGGAATGTTTTGGCACTGCATGTACTGCAGGAAAACAGAAACATTTCTTATCAATCTGTTGCTGCCTGCACAACTTTCACACAGGAAAATTGATCCGTTTGTCGGCATTTCAAGTAAAAAACAAAAAAGACATTGCAATAAATAAATACAAGAACATTTATAGCTATGATAATATGTCTATTAAGAGTTTTTTGAAATGCTTCTGCATTTATTGAGTAAACTGATCTGAAAACGTAACGCAACAGGACTTGTCAGAACAGGTGATTGCTGCATGTTATTTGTTTGGTAGTGCAGTCAAGCCAAGATTAAAAAAAGGTGGGGCTGAAAGTGAGTCGGAGCAAACCGGCGACTGTCTGGAGGTGGCGTGCATGTTTATATTCACACATAATGAATGAAGAGAGCATGCTGTATTACATCTAGACAATTTTAACATGGAGAAAGAAATGCTGTAAATATAGATTTTTTTTAATTAATTCCCATAGATTTATCTGAGGAGATCAACATGGTTCCTAAAGCATCAGTCTTAATAATAAACATGCATAAACTTGAAAATGTGACTTCAAATTATTCTGACATTACTAAACAGGATTAGCAACCTGCAAGCTTTTCATGGTTATTCACTTAAATTTGAGCTAAAATGTAACGTGTTAGAATAATGATGCTATTTGTTAAAGTGATACAGTAGTCCTTCTCCACTTCGTGGTTCGTTTATCACGGACCCGCTCTATTGCGGTTTTTCAAAATAAAAGTGGACATGTCAGAATTGGCTGATTGATGAATGAGCCTCACGATCGGCATGTGATTTTTATTTAAAATGAAATATCATAAATGATTTAGCACCTCCTGCACCTTTGTGCAGCCCTTACTGCTGCAGGATAAGTTTCCTGCTGCAGCTGATCAGCTGTTCTCCTTGCAGAGCGAGAAGTGGGCGTGTCCGAGACCGCTTGCAAGTGGCTGAGTGAAACCATGGCTGAAAGGAGGCAGAGAGCTAAAACGAGGGACTACTGTATATACTTCTTTGCTCAAATACAAAACATGGCAAGGGTCAAGGAGCTGTAATTGTGTCAGACTTGGTCCACTCTGCCTGTGGAGTTAGTTTCACATTACATTAAAAGATTTAGCAGGTTCACTGGTTTTAAACCCCTCCTCTTCCAACATCATGTCGTTTTTGTGTAGATTTAGTTTTGAACACAAAAAGCAAGCCTAATTCACCATTTTTAATTTCTCAAATCTGGTTACAAATGAAACCAGATAGCATCCAATATCTTCAGCTTTCAGTTGTCAACGTTCCAAACAGCAGCATACAAACCTGACAGCATTTATTGATTTAAAAGTCTAAATGCAAAGCCAAACAGAAGTGCTTTCTCAGAAAAGTTGTTACCTGTTTGAATTGCACCATTATGTCTTTAGAAAGCTCCATGTCCTTGAACATTCCCTCCAATTTGCTGGTGAACGCTGCTCCACATTCTGACAAAACATTTTAGGCCCAAGTCAGCGTTACAGTCGATGTCAAGATTTTCTCATTTCTGTCACACAATGTGTTCTTGTATGTCTGGAGGTGGCAGTGATGGATCGAACTCACCGTGTTTCAGCTTTGACAACATTGATTTTTCAGCATCTACAGAGGCACTTTTTCCAACCAACAACCTTTTGGCCAAATCCTTTTTGTAAAAAGCCTCAAAAACGTCCTTTCCTACAATAAGAACAACTCGTTACAGACAAGAAACAATGAAAAACTGAAATACAAAAAATAAACAGGAAATCATACCATAGATAAATCTAAAGATAATCATGATCTTATCCAGCATCTTCTCCAGTTCTTCATCTGTAGCCTCTTTGTTTCCTGCCCTCAGCTTTGAATCAACATGTTTTGCTGAAAAGGAGAATACCAAGGTATATTATTTATTTTAAAAAAAATGTGAACACAAAATCTCATTCACTGCTGGTTCGACAGTGAGGAAAATGTTTGATCCTCACCAATAAGTTCTGCAGGTTTATTTGGCCTTTTGTTGATGAACGTTTCGAAAGCCTCCTTCATGGCGTTAACAAACTTCTCATTCTTCAAGAAACACACGTCAATGATGTGATCCACCTTATCTTTGAAGTCCAGCAGTTCCTGCACCATTGTTTTGTCTTTTTCAGGGTTGATTACGATTGTGCTTCCAAAAGCCTGGATAAGAGTTGAGGCATTGGAAAAGAATAAAAAAAGTGGTGAAAAATAACTCAAGAGCCTACGACCTTTAACCTGCATTATCTTGAAGTGTTTATCACCTTTATGTATTCAATCCAGTGCTGCAGCAGCACCTGAACACCACCTCGCACTCGACTGAAGAGCTGATAGAGGAGAGACAGATCCTGAATTCTGTTCTCGTCCAGCAGGTGAGTCAGCCCTGCAAGTTCCCAACAACACAGTCAGAGTCGCCTCCCGCACGAGCAACTTCAAAAACAACACGAACACTGACTCGCTGCTGCAAGACTCTGCATCTATTTGTTCGGTAAGTATTTGTAGGCGAGTACCTTTTTGCAAAACTGCGGTGAGGTGTTCACCCAGGAGCTGCTTCTCCACAGTAGCAATGAGGGGTTTTCTGAAAGGTACATGAAAACTTAGGTTACAAGTCTTAGTGCCAATTCACACATGGATCATTACGGGACCAACACTCACTGTGTGCTCTGGTCGAGATATGTGATTACTCTGTCGGCCTCCTCCTCCAAGCGTTTGTTGACATGATGGAGATATTCTGGTACCTTTAAAAAAATTACGAATACATTGTGACTCATTTACCATGACAGATGCATTTTGGGTCTCAATGAACAAATCTTTGTGAAGCTAAGTGCATACTCAGGGGTCCCAGTAATGTCCCTTTTTGTCATAATTAATTTTCCAAGTGACATTTTCTGCTTCAAAACAAACTTCAGGAAGAAAAGAAGACAAGGAAAAAACAAGCCTAGAGGAATTATGCTTAAATCATTAGTAACTATTTTATTACACAAGTTAACAGATATAACTAACAGATTATTAAATAAGACTCAGCCCTCTTTATCTATTGGGTAAATCACAAATACCGGTACATGAGCACACACACCTCCCAAAAGTCTGGAAAACTATTGCTTAAGATCTAAGGGCTTGTGAAATAATCAGACTTGTTTAAATGAACATAAAGAAATGAGGAGTGGCTCTCTAAACAGCACAATACACGTGTCCCTTATTGCAAGTCCATCTCTTCTGATATGATGGGCAAAATAGATGACATCCATCCTTTTTAAAAATATAATCATATTAATTATTATCTTTTACAAATAAATAATCTAGAAAGCAAAGTTCTTGTCTGTGATATGTGGTCAGCTGTCGTTTTTATATCATCAGCTTCATAATGACAGCAAGCAAAGTCAGTTTTCTTGTCCTTTTAACTTTTTGCATGAGACGTCAAGCAGCCAGAAGAGAGGAGGAACGATAACAATGAGGATAACCTGATTTTTTTGGTTACATTTTCATTAATAAGCACAGGAACTCCTACGCAGAATTTGTTTGCTGCTTTTAGCATCCCTTGGCGAGACCAACCACAGCAGTGTGATTTTAAGACAGAATATGTACAGGTCAGCAACTTTGTGGAACTTTTTATGTCCATAAAAAGTTACAAGTTTTCATACGTGTCGTTTTGTTTCAATCATCCATGATGATGGTGTGTAAAACCATAACTATGTAGGAAAATAAAGATGCAGCAGCAGCTGCTACAACTATCTTACTGTAGCTAACAATTTACTGTATTTTTCAGCCTATAAGGCACAGGTATTTTTGCATAATTTACATGCCCTGCGACTTATACACCAAAGCAACTTATTTATGTTTTTCCCCCATATTTATAAACTAATTTTTGGCTGAGATATGACCGTTTTCATTCATTCTGAAATTGAAAATATTGAACACTACCATTTTTAGCTGCTAGATGGCACTCGAGTACTGTGGCATGCAGTTGTTTCATGTAATAGGTAAAAGTGGCTATTAATGACATAGTTGGCTTGCCACAGCATGCCACCAGCTCTGGGATCATGCCTGGAGCAAACATCAAATCAGCTTCATTTCACTGCGTCACCCCAGCGAAATGAAACTGATTTGATTATTGAAGTGCATTTATTAAGTAAAAGTTCAACTGAGACACATCTTTGCTATAACATGGAGCAAACAAACAATTGTTTTTAAGTATTAATCTTGTTAAAGTCCTCCCGTGCGCTCTCAAGTGGTCGATTTTTGGCACAACACCGGCCCACATTTCCAGGTTGTCAGCGGTGATGCATAAAAGATGCAACTTATCCAGTGAAGCGACATATTTATGTTTTTTTCCTCCACTTTATTAGACGTATGTGGACTGATGCGACTTATATGGCGATGCGACGTGTGCGGCGGAAAATACGGTAGTTTTCAAACAAGAATATTCCTTTGCAAATAAATTTTAGGGTACAAGTTACTTTAAGGATTATTAACTAAATATTTATTTGATGTAAACAAATATTGTTATTTATACTGACCAGAAATTAAAAATAAAAATCTGTGTTGTTTATCAATCACTGGCTGCTCTGATTTCTGAAGCTCAGCATCAGCAACAGAAAATCTCAAATTGGTTGACCTCTGGTTTTGTCAGATCAATTCTTATTAACTGTATGAGCATATGGCATTAAAAAAGTTAATCCTCCCTGAATGTGCAAATTAATATTTTAATAATCAGCCATTAATATTTTAATAATCAGACAGAAGCTTCAGATGCAGCTTCAAAACTATTTTTGCTTACTTTGCGCAGATTGTGGCAAAAAGAAACAATCAGATGCTCCAGATTATCACAGAGAAAATGATTTACAACAGAACATTTTTCCATTGATGGCCTTTATAAATCAGGAAACTGTTTTGTCTTCAGAAGGCAGAAAAATAAGCATTATTAGTTTGGCCAAACATCTCAAAAATGGGAAAATCCCTCTTTTAGCTTTTTCAAATCTAAATTTCTAAAATAATTTAAATCCTCACATCTGGAAACTAAAACCTGACGAAGACTTAAACAACTTTTTGTGCATTTTGATGAATCAGTTTGGGTGTAAAACTGAGGCAGACTCACATTTCCCTGATAAAGACAATAAATGAGTGCTTTGAATGAAAACATCTAAATCACCTCTCTTTCCTGCATCAGCCTCTGTCCCTCTGCAGCGTACAGCCGATTAGTTTCCTCCAAAAAGCGCTGCTCAAAGGAGTCTTGATAAATCTGTTACACACAGAGAGAACATCGTTACCACTAAAGACATTCGTCAACAGGGAAGTGACAGCTCAACACCTTTCTGTGCCGACTATAATCGTTAAAACACACAACAGAAGCGAGTGTTGTGTAGCAGAGGACAAAAACAAAACAATTCTACTCATCTGTCCCCTTAAAACACACATTTACACGATGATTTGATAGAATGATAATAAACTGGCACCTGAAGGTCAGAGAGCATGCTCAGCAGGCTCCTCAGCAGACTGCGGTCTATGGCCTCTCCGTTTCGCTCCCTCTCGATGAGCAGCAGAATCCCGTCAATGGTTTTACTCTGGACCTTCAGATCACTGATGATGTAGAACCGGAACAGCTCCAGACCCATATCCCTGCAGACCACAGCAGATTGTTCACCCCCCCAATGGGCACGAATAAGCCTCAAATACAAACAATAAACCATAACGTTGCTGATAACTCACCAGATTGATGGCAGCATAGAGTTTTGTAAAACATAGGTGCGATCCAAAAACAAAAATATACTCCTAATCATGATCTGCAAGACAAAACATATTTTCATTATGAACACATGCCATTACAGTATTTTTTATTATTTTTAATTGAAGGTCATTCTTCCAATATGTTAAAAAAGTCTGAACGATGCATCTTAAGTATTTTTGTATTAGTAATTTTTGCAGACTTGTCTGATGACACTTCAGTGTCACAAGTTCATGTGGAAATCTCGATCATTTCTACTCCAGCTGTTCTGTTTGTCTCACTTTGTTGGATGGCTTGCTTCCACTGGTGTTGCATAAAAAATGTATTTTTGGCTCATCAAAGTCCAAAACATCAAAGTTCATGCTCAATAATTCAGGTAAAACTTAATGTTATTGGATTTTTTTTTACCTGGATTACTGAGCATGAACTTTGATGTGCTGAACCACTTAGGCCATGGCTGCAGTCGACGGGGGAGAGGGCGGACTCCAGAAACCATCTTATCACCATCAAACTGGTTGACCCACAATGTGAGTGTGCTACTTATGGGACTGAGTTTGTTGTGGCTCCTCGGACTGATCAAGTCTTTTGGACGAAAGAGGAAACGTTTCAACACAAAGAAACCGTCCAGAGGACCTGACTGAACTTTGTTGGAAAGTTAAAAACTGTATTTGAATGATTTATTGGAAATATAGAAATATACTTTTGACTTTTGTTAGCTTACTTTAACCAATTCATCCATTTCCTGGCACTTATCTGTGGTTGTGTTGCGGAGGGTAACAGGTCCAGTAGGGATACACAAACCTCCCTCTCTCCAGCTCCTCCCTAGAGTTTGCAAGGCATCCTCTGGCCAGCGAGGCTGCATAATCCTCACAGTGAGTTCTGAGTCAATGAAGGGTCTCCTTCTAGTGGGATGTGCCCAGAAACCCCCCAAAGGAAGGCACCCAGAAGGCATCTGAATCAGATGTAGGAACCACCTCAAGCTGACTGTTTGTGAAGTGGAGGAGCAGCAGCTCCACTCCGAGCACCCCGCTTCATCTCTAAGGCAAAGCCCGGTCACCTTACAAAGGACACTCATTTCAGCCACTTGTATCTGGGATGCTGTTCTTTCAGTCAGGATTTATGACCACAGATAAGGGTTGGAATGTAGCTCGACCAGTTCATCAAGAGTTGCCTTTCGGCTTAACTCCTTCTTCACCACGACAGATGGGAGCAACGCCCTCATTACTGCAGAAGAGGCTCAGCCCATCCATCTCCTGCTCCAACCTGCCAACACTAGTGAACAAGACTGCCAGATACCTAACTCCTCCGCTTGGGGCAGAGACTCAACTCTGATCCACTTTCTCTGTCCATGTTAATTTACGTACAAAGGGCCAAAGCTGGAGCTGACGTCGATGTCTGCGAAGATCTACATCACTCCCAGGCTCTTGATACGCTCCTAAAGGCTCTTTTTTTTAATTTTAATCACTACCTTGAAACTTAACTTCAATAACATCACAGTTCCAGATAAGACTTGTGTTCTTCAAGATGAGGATCATCACTGAGGAAAACAAGTTTACTACAAGACATTCTTTTAGCAGATTAGCTCCTTGTCTTTTACACAAAAAAGTAGCAACAATAGAAACGTTTTGTCTTTCATCAGAAAGACTTCAGTCTGAGGAGCTGTATTAAGCTCAGTCTTATAAATAGCACCAAATAGCACCTTCTCATATTGGATCAACAAGTTTGTTGTTGATATTCAAATCTAGCTGTTCACATGCTAAAGGAGGACCATCAGCCTAACAATGGCTCATTAGTACCCTGATGGTCGCTTGTCACTTGCTATTGCTACTGTATGTGGGATGCATCACAAACAATGATGAGTCCAGCTACAGGCAAGAGGTGGAACACCTGGAGAGCTGACGTGAGGAGAATAACCTTCACATCATTGTGAAGACGACGAAGGAGATGGTCATGGACTTCAGAAGGAACAAACACCCCCCCCACCCACCCCGAACATAGGAGGATCTGCAGTGGAAGTGGTCTCCAGCTACAATTACTTGGTTGTGCACCTGAATAACAACCTCAGCTTGGGGCAACACCACCACCAGCCTGATCAAAAAAGCTCATCAGAGACTCTACTTCCTCAGGCGGCTGAGACGAGCTGGTCTGGGAAGCTCAGTCCTCACCTCCTTCTACAGGTGTGCAGTGGAGAGCATCCTGTGCTCCAGCATCAACGTGTCAGAAAGAAAAGCTTTGCAGAGAGTGGTGAAGGCTGCACAGAAATCTGTCGGAGTCAGCCTCCCCACCATCACAGACATCTACACCTCCAGATGCAGGAAGAGGGCCACCTGCATCATGAAGGACCTCACTCACCCAGCACACACTTTTTGCGGATCCGAGGCCTCCGTGTTCAACTGTCCCCCTTTTACAATGCTATTATTGCTAGTATCACTCAGCCCCCTGTGAATAGCCAGCAGCCGTCGTGGTACTAACGAGCCATTGTTAGGCTGATGGTCCTCCTTTAGCATGGGAACAGCTAGTTTTGAATGTCAACAACAAACTGGTTGATCCACTATGAGAAGGTGCTATTTATAAGACTGAGCTGAATACAGCTCCTCAGACTGAAGAAGTCTTTCGGATGAAAGACGAAACGTTTCGACAAGTTTTTATTTTTTTGAACCCATCCAGAGGACCTGACTTAACTTTTTTAGATTTTTCTACCTGGATTATTGAGCATGCATCAGGATAAATTAAGATATATTTTATATTATTATAAACCAAACTATACCACCACCAAACTACAGAAAAATAATTAAGAAACTTAAAATTAATCCCACACTTATCGAAATCCCTCACTATAAGTAACACATTACCGGTAATACAGTAATGTATTTCCAGTAACATTTCCCAACAAAACTGTCAAATATGAGATTTAGTGAAGTAATATTTGAGATTTATTTAGGCCACAATCAGCCGACATAATCATAATTCCCAACTTCTTAAATCTACTAAACGAGTGCAGTTGCTCTTTACACATAAATACCAAGCTGATTATTTTTCTTAATAAATAATTATTTTAAATAGATGAACTTGCCATTTGTCTGCAGTGATCTTGCCAGCACTTGTCAATTTTCTTCAGGAAAAGCACACTGTCCAGGGCATCCGTGAGAACAAAGTTAAGTCCAGAATAAGCCACTAAAATACAAGATTTTTACTTCAAATTATGAGCAAGCCTGAACCCTCCAGTTTGTGTTGTTTAGTGACTCAAAGTATAAAGGATATTCTCTGAACTGATCGATCTGTGCCTTGATGTGGTCTTCACACACGACCCTGAGCTGTTTGTAGAGTTTGGCAGATATCTTATGGGAGCAGAGGTTTTCCACGGCCTGCCGAGACAGACAAAATGAATATTTATATTTAACCATACACGAAGCCAACTTCCTGTCAGAGGTCGTAAGGTCTGATGTGACACCTGGTAAAGTTCTTCTAAATTGTACTTGATTGAAGTGCTGTTCTGTATGGCCTCTACTGCTTCTTTCAGCTTTTGCCAGGTCTCCTGTGTGTAGTTTTCAGGTAACTTTGGCTTTTCTGTGAAGAAAAACAAAAACATGACACACACTGAACATCAGGGGTATTTTAAATCAGCAATTTACTTCTATTTAAAGTATAACTGGGGGAAATACTGATATTAAATCAACAGATGGTTCTGTTGTTTCTTTCATTTCAGTCTTATAACTGTAAGACGTGTGATTATTAGTGCTAGTGTTTGACTATGGCTGATGCAAATCTTTAGAAATAAGGGCAGCTTATAGTCAATATACATTCCCTATTTAAAATTTTTGACAAATATGTTATTTTTTCATTTAATAAAATATAACAATAATTGCTTAACTTGCATATACACACATTTTGCAACCCTTAAAACAACTTGTACACTTAAAAAAAGGCACACAGAAGAGCATTTTCACTTCAAAATAAAAACTACCGTACCGTGGCTAAATTAAGCTGCATCTTCTGGGTACGGTACAGTCTCGGATAACTGGGACAGATTCCATCCAGCAATCAAAAGTGACACGTCAAACGTATACAGTTCATTAAACGGAAAGCATGAAGCTCCTTTACACATTCTGAGCAACTTTCAGGACGATCCGTTGACCCGAAAGTGTTTTATTCAAACCTTAGAATCAGGATGATCTGATTGGATCATTAGAAGGAATTTGCTTTTTAAAAATTCCTCTTAAATAGCCACAATTTCTTTATTTCGCAACTATTTTTTTAAACAATATTGGTATATTTGTTGTAATTTTTGCTGCATCCAATAAAACAAGTTTTAATCCAATTTGGGGACTCTATTTTGGTAACACTGCTAGATTGTCTCCTTTCTTGGTGTTTAAATACACAGGCAAGGCAAATGACTTTTTAAAAAGTTTCCAATATCAGCAGACAAAAATTGATCCAACGCTGATAATCAACCAGTAAAGACCGGTAATTCTCGATGCTGACTTTCATGTGGGTATTAGGACGCCTAAGGTCCCTAAAATGCATTTGTTTAGTTCGTTTGTGGCTTGATCGATGATTTATTTACCAAGCAACGTTGCGATTTTGTCTTTTGGGCTTAACAAAACCATTTACTGCAAGCGACAACTAGTCTAAAACATCACGGCAGTGTTTTAGTGTAATTAACCTGGTCAACTTCTTTACACTCAAGCTGATGGTATTAAAATATATATATTTTTAAAATGATTTTTTTTGTACTCTAAATGCTTGATCTTTTCATAGCTCCATTGGAAATTCAAATAGGGGATTATCGCTTCCTAAAGAATAGTTTCACAGCTTATGCAAAACAGCTGAATTATTAAATCTAATCAAATACTTATAGTACATGTACTCTATAAAGTAGCTGGGATTTGTTAGAGGTTAGGTTTAACAAGAAGCATGTTTGCAGTGTTTTCCTGCAGCTTCTGGATGCCCATCAACCATCAGTTGGGTACCTCTGAAGTTCTTGATGACTAGTTTCTTGGCAGCTCCAGGTTTGCTGCTGGAGAAGGTGCCGGATCCTGCGGTCTTGGTCAGTCCGTTTGCGTGGTGCCCCACGCCTCCGGCCAGGAACACGGCTTTGCTTTTGTTATTGGAGCACGAAGCGGCGGCGGAGGCAGCCTCCTCGGCCATTTTCACATCCAGTCCAATGAAATCCACCGAATCCTCGAACCTCAGCTTCTTCTGAATGTGCAGGCTGGGAGAGCAGGAGGAGGAAGAGGAGGAATTCAGGGTTTTGGAGGGGGAAGAGGAGATCGCGTCGCTGGTGTCTTCCCTCTCGGAGCCGTTTATTTTCCTCTTCTTGGGAGATGTGATGTTTCCGCTGTCGGCTTTGACATCGGTGGTCGCGGCTCTGGCCTCCTGGGTTGGCGGTGGTGGGGGGTTAGGGGAAGATAAACCTGTTGGAAACATGAAAAAACGGGAATACTAATTCTTCACAGCCAGTCTTCTTGATCCGAAACTTCCAGACTTTTGTCGTGGAGCAGCCAGGGGGGAGGAGGAGGAAAGCAAATGTTGTCCGAGAGCTTTTGTCTGCCTTGACACAAGCCGGTTTTTACCCAGTTTAAAAACAAAATCCAGTTTAAAACATAATAAATTACTAACTACTCGATGCTACTTGGGTCTAGCTTCGTCTCTTTCTTGTTATTGCTGGCCGAAGAATAAAGATGGTCGGCTACTGCTTCCTCTTGTGTTTTTTTTAACCTCCCTCCCGACAAACCGCGTCGTAAAGTGGTTTAGTGAGAGCGGGTGATGAAAACGGCCGTTTAAAAACAACTATTTACTAAAACAAAATCAAAAGCACAACACGAAAGAGTTCGCGTTATAACCAAACAGCGTTAGTTTACACGAGAAACATTTCACTAGAAACAGCTAGTCGGTGACCCCACCGGAAGTACTTTGTACAAATGTACTTTTTCACAAGCGTGTTGTTTTTTTTCCACTCTTTGGCCAAACTTTCCACAAGATGGCGCCAACGCAACATTTACGTCACGCTTTTCATTTATTGAAAAAGTTTTTAATATAAGTTATAATGAAGTTGAAATTCGTGAAGAACATTTAAGGTAAAAAATATAACCACATTTATATTTTTAAATACATTTTGAAGTGTATTTTTTTTGTATAAAAGTAGAGAGAGACACGTCCGTTACCTCGGTGACGGGCGAAAACGGGAAGCCCCATGTTGTTCTAACTGTCGTAAAATGCCGCAAGTCTTATAACGCTTGTTCATCGCACAGTGCCAAAAAGCGTGCCAGCATTACTGGATATATAAATAGTTTACTTTTTTTTGGTTGCTCCATCTGACCTGGTAACGTGCGTTGGGACAAGCTTTGACACATTTCGAAAAAGAAACAACTGCGACCAGCGAGGATGTTTAAAAAGTACGTTTCTGTGCGTTGATGTTAGCTAGCAGCGGCTAATGTTAAGCAGCATCATGTTGGAGTTTGTGTGTCATTCAGCAATTAAGATGAGATGACGACTGTCGCCATAGGTTCTGAGAGTCTGTTGTTGGAGCTGGACAAAACCCGGGTCTGACAACAAACAAGTTTGAGTGTGTTTTTATTCTGGCACATCTTGTGGGTCTAATGAAGACAAACGATAAGTTTAGGTGTGTCAGAATAGCTGCTTTAGTTTAGCTTAGGTTATTCTGGAAGGTTGAACATTTTTAAACACTGAATACACTGTTAAAACAACTTAAAGTTTATTAAAGTTCTGTACCTAAAGATACTTCCACAGGTGTTTTATGGTTATAAATGTTAACTTAAACTTCAATAATTGTGTTTCAGTGGAAAATATCTCATTTCTTAGTCCTTTACATGTTACTAGCTGTAGTAGGTAGGACTAGTTTACAACAAATGTAAACTTTAAGTGTCATAATAAATTATTATAATAAAACAGCTCTTTTAATGAAAATTGGAATAAAATGAGTCGACTCAGCTGTGCATTAGTTAGCTACAGTATTTTCTATTCTGATTACATAATAATGCATCAATAATGATAATCTAACATTAATTTTTCATTCATTCACCCTTTATTTATATAGGTTAATCCCACTGAGCCTTGGGGACTCATTTACAAGAGAGACCAGAATTTTTAACAGAGTGATGACAACAAAGACAATAACAGACAATCATGAAGGATTCGTACAATCGTACATTTTTTTTTTTACAAATGAAAATAAAATGGTATTTAAAAGAAAATGTAAAAAAAAAAACACAGCTAGATTGTAGGGTGGTGTAGAAAGCTATAAACGAGAACATGTCTGCATTGGTTTATGCCAGGAAGTTAGCAGATGTTTGAAGCCATTTAGAGAGGTCAAGGTCGAGAGCTTCAGATCTTTTTGCAAGATATTCCAGGAAACGGGAGCGGAGTAGGAGAAGACCCTTTTGCCAAGTTCAGTCTGCACTGAGGGGACACTGCAGGTAATAATGTCCTGCGAGCGCACGCTGTAGCTGCACTCACGCAGTTACATGTAGGAGGAGATGTAAGAAGGCAACAGACTGAGAAGTGACTTAAAGATGAAAATGTACCAGCGAGAGAGTCTATGTGAAGTTAATGATCAGTTAACCAGTGAATACACGGGCAGTGGTGGGTATGATAATTTCAGCCAGTTATGAATCTTAGTGCACCATGATAGACAGCATCCAACATCTGCAGAGTGCTTGTGGGGGCATTCATTTAGTGTCACTGTAGTCAATGGAGGGAAGGAAAGTCACAGTCACAATGTTTCCTAGCATTCAGAGTTAGACAGGATCTATTTCTGAAAAAGAAACCCAGTTTAACTTTGTTTCCTTACTAGGTTTCCATGTGGAGCTTTAAAGGGAGATGCGAGTCGATCAAGATACCCAAATATTTGTAGGAATCGACAAACTCAATAGGGGCACCATTCGAGGAGAAAATCAAAGGAAGAACTGCTGGGACCGACTATCTGTTTGAAAGTAGCATCCCTTTGTCGGGGTTTAGGACAAATTTGAGATGGAATAAATTTGATTGGATGATGTTGAAAGCGGATCGCAAAAGCTGGAAAACCTTAGCAACTGTTTTAGCTTGACAATAAACAACTGTGTCATCTGCATAGAAATGTAAGGATGCATCAGGGATGCTTTGAGCTACATTACCTATATAGATTGTGAAGAGGGTTAGTCCTAAGACAGAGCCTTATGGTACACCATTGTTAACTGTTAAATAACTGGAGGAAGTACCATTATGTTGAACACATTCCCTCCGATCTGAAAGAAAGAGAACCAACCAATGGTGTGTTCTGAGAAACCAATTTCTGAGAGCTTATGACACAAGATGTTATGATCCACAGTGTCAAAAGCTTTAGACAGGTCTAAGTAAAGTGCAGCACAATAATTCTTAGCATCCAGTGCTTCAACAACATCATTAAGAACCTTCAGTGAAGCCGTCGTTGTGCTGTGTTGTTTCCTGAAACCAGATTGATGTGGAGGTAAGATGTTAAATGAGTCCAGGTAATTTTTGATTTGAGAGTTTATCAGGTTTTTTTAAAAACATTGGCTAAAATGCAGAGTTTAGAGATTGGTCGATAGTTGTTCAGTGAGGTGGGGTCACCTCCCTTCAGCAAAGGATGAACAAAGGCTGTTTTCCAAGCGTTTGGAATAGAGTTTTGGCTTATGGACAGGTTAAAGATTTGGAACACCGGAACATGATATTTAAAAGTTAATAGACAGCTTATTTAGGGTGTATTGTGCATTAGTGTAAAAACATAGCTCATAATACTCAATTTTACATAAAAATAAGAATGTGTATCACTATATACAATTTCAATCTGTACTAAATATCATTTACTTTTAAGTGGAAAGCATTTAAAAACATTTACAGCATGTTATAATTTTTAAAAAGGTTTAACTGAAGTCAGTAAGACAAATTTGCATCACAATGTCTGATCAAAACACTTGTGATTATTTAAAATAATCCTAAAGGGGGAAAAAAACTGGTCAAACTTCAGTAATATTTACTTTTGACTTGATCAGTGCATTAGTAATAATATGTTTAAAGGTAGTAATTAGATGTAATTTTCCCGTTCTCAAACAATGTGGATTCTGGGCCTCTCCACTCGTCCTCCAGATTTTGTGACCTTGATTTCCAAATATCATGCAAAATTTACTTTTATCTGAAAAGTGGACATTGGATCACTGAGCAACAGTCCAGTTCTTTGTCTCTTCAGCAGGTGAGACGCTTCTTATGTTGTCTCTGGTTCAGGAGTGGCTCTCCTTGAGGACTGAGACATTTGTAGCTCGTCTCTAGGAGTTAATCCTTTGATTAGGGTGTGACACCAGGAGTTTACAATATTGAACCTCTTTGAAATATTCTAATTGTGACACTGAATCTTGGTTTCTCATTGTTTGTAAGCCATAATCATCAAAATAACAAGAAAAAAAGACGTTGAAATATTTCACTCTGTGCAATGAATCTATATAATATACAAGTAACTTTCTGAAGTGACAGCCAAAAAAATTGAACTTTTTCATGATATTCTAATTTTTTTTTTTTTTTGGATGCACCCATTATGTTTTTAAGTCTGTGGGAGGAAACCAGAGTACCAGAAAAAAAAAACAAAAAAAAAACGTGTGTACAAGGAGAACATGCAGCCCAGATGGGGAGATGATCATGCTGCGACCTTTCCTCTGACAGTCTGTAACTTCCACCAGATACATTTTTCATTAAATAAAATACTTAAAGTGAAATAACTGTTTATTTACTGAAGAATAAAACCCAACCATAAAATAGCTACGTTTGTTTAATTTAAAAAAGCACTAGAGTGTTCAAGTTCCAGTAGGTTTATTGTCATTTAACCACATGTGGTACATGAGGTGGAATGAAATTGTGTACACAGGGTCCCAGTTACATCCAACAATAGCAAAAATATAAAGTGTAAAAAGAAACATTAAATAAGGATATACACTAAGATGTACAAAGTGTTGGACTGTATGCTGTTTTTTTTTTTTTTAACGTTCCAGTTCAACTAGATTCCAGAGCATTTCATGAGTCACTTGTAATTTTTCTTTTAGATTTGACGAGAAGGAAAACGTGTCGAACTGCATCCAGCTGAAAACGTCTGTCATCAAAGGCATCAAAAATCAGCTGTTGGAGCAGTTTCCCGACATCGAGCCATGGCTCAACCAAATAATGCCCAAAAAGGACCCTGTCAAAATAGTGAGATGGTATGACAGTTTTATTTTCCTCATTGTTTCAGTGTTGGAAGTGTTTTTCAATTTGTCTGTATTTATTCCAGCCATGAACACATTGAAATCCTGACTGTGAATGGAGAACTCCTTTTCTTCAGACAGAGAGAGGGACCGTTCTACCCAACCCTCAGACTGCTACATAAATGTAAGAGCTCTTTAATACACATTTCTTTATTTGTAGTCGAAGTCCCTCATGTTTCGTTGTCTTTGTGGTTCTAGATCCTTTCATCCTCCCTCACCAGCAAGTAGACAAAGGTGCCATTAAATTTGTTTTGAGTGGAGCAAACATCATGTGTCCTGGGCTGACTTCACCAGGTGCTAAACTCTACCCTGCTGGTCCTGACACAGTGGTCGTATCCTTTTTTGCATCATGTGGCACTTTCAAATAGCTCACATTATAAATTTATACATTTCCATGTTTTAGATTTTACATTTCCCACAATCTTTCAGTTAAAAAATTACTTTGCTTTCATTTTTTAATACAAAGTCCAATGCGTTGGCCCTTAATAAGTGTGTGCAGGCCATCATGGCAGAGGGAAAGCAGCATGCACTCTGTGTTGGTGTAATGAAGATGTCAGCAGAAAACATGTAAGATTTAAACATCTGAAGCTAATCCCTCAACCCTTTATTTTTCTTTTACCGTTCGATCTTATTCTGTCTTTGTTTTGCAAACAGAGAAAAAGTCAACAAGGGGATCGGGATCGAGAACGTCCACTATCTGAACGACGGATTGTGGCACATGAAGACGTATAAATGATCACATTTACAACGCCCATCCCCAAACCATCCAAGATAACGTGTGGAGCTCTTTGTGCTGAGGCATGAAGTGCCCGTCAACGGTTGACACCTATAGACAAAGCTGTGTAACCTGCTGGAGGCAGGTAACCCACACCATGCACAAATAAATAAAAATCTTGCTTTAAACCAGAAACTCGCTTCACATTTTTGTATCAGATCTGACCGGAAATTCCTGCTTGGTAGCAATCCTCGATTTTAGCATATGGATTAAAGGAAATCTTCGCAGCTTCCCTGGCTGGCTTTGACTTATCTGGTAGCTTTAAATTTGCTCAAGGATGCAACACTGCGTGGGTTTTTCTGGAACAGGATGTAAGCATATTAACAACTGTGGGGAGTGCCAGGATGGAACAGCTGCTCCACCTGTTACTCTGCATTTCAGTAGAGTACGCCCATATATTTATGTTTTATTGACCAGTTATGTTCAAAACATTCATAAGCTATTTTTCTAAAACTAAAATCATGTCACAACTTTACCAAACTCTTCTAGCACTAAATCAATTCTTCACGACTAAAAGTTTCTTGTAGGGTTTTTACGTTTGAGGCGTCCATAGTTTCAGATTTAAGAGATGATTGTTGACATTTTGTTAAAAAAAACTTTTAAAAAAAAAGCACAAAAACAAGAACTGCAAGATATTATAGTTTTAATTTTGACTTCTGAAAATATTACAAAATGAAAACTAGAATGAAACAATCTTGTTTGGAATAGATGATCCACTTTAGGCCAGTGCGGTGATTTTTCTGGAGGCCTTTCACTAAAATAATTAAATGTTTAGTGTGAACTATTGTCATTGTAACTTCTTTACTATGTGCCTTAAAGCAAACTGAAGAGCATTTTTAGACTCCTGTGTGATTTTAGAGGAAAGACTTGTATTTTTATGCATAGTTTTATCAAAAACATCCTTGTTTTCAGATCACACACCACTAACAGGATTTTAACTCCTTGTTTTAAGCTTTTATTGACATTTAGATCCCAAGTTTATCTAACTGATAAATGCTGATAGATTGAACATTTAAATATCTTTATAAAAAATAGAGCTTGTGGCAATAATTCCTAACCTCGTCCAAAAAAGATTGTACTTGACGTAATCACAATCATTATTTACCTGCTAAAAAACAAAAACATCTGATGAAACAAACAATTATGAAATTTACACATCAATTCTCCCCATTTGATTTAACAGACAAATACGTAAATGTGCCTTTTTGATGATGCACTCCTCTCCTGTAAACACAACTCGTTCAGAAAGCCTCAGATATTTTTAACTTTGTCCATCCGGCCATCTTTTACCTCTTATTTGTGATCAGGTTGTGGACGCAACAAGTCCAGGAGGGAAACAAACACATCCCTCTCCCCTGTGACACTCCAGCTCATCCTGGGGGTCCTTGATTTTTTTGATTTGATGAAAATAAGGTTCTGTTTGGATGTGAAAACTACAATTCTACATACAAAATGTTCAGCACGAGCAGCCATTTACTCTCTAACAGACTGAATATTTAACACAACTTCAGATCAAGTTTAAAAATGATCACTTATTCAAAATTAGGTCCCATTGGCGGCCATGTATTTGTAAAAAAAAAAAAAACATACACCCACTGAAATCGTTTTAACTGTGTACTTTAGCTTTGACAATGAGCAAACAAGTAGACGTGTGAGTGCAGTTTTTCTGGAATGAATTAAAGGAGATGCATAAGATAAAATCAGAGCTGGACTGTCAACTGACTCCACAATGAGTAACATTGCCTCATTATAATCCTTCAATCAGGCATTTAAGTTATCGTAGAATTGTCCATACATTAAAATATTAACTTCTCGTGGCTTTACAATCACAAAAAGCCATTGATAATATACAGAAGACCTTCAATAACCGAACGTTAATCTGAATAATGCATTCTCGTGTCATTAGTGTTACACATCTCCCAGCTCGAATGGTTTACCATCAACTGTTTACAAACAGCACAAAAGGATCAAGTGCCGAGTTTGTCGAGTGCAAAAGGTACAAATATATGTCAAAGCATTCACCCCTACTCACGATTCAGTTTTACACACAACGTAAGAAACACTCGTCCCCCCCCAAAATTAGGTTTGCCATCATAGAAGCAAAAACTTTTAAAACACACATCCAGTTTGAATGAATGGAACTAGTCATTGTCTGAACCTTTGGGGGGGTAAAATGTTAAAAAGTCGTGAAAATCGTGCCCGTACGGTCGAAGTCTGTAAACTCCAAACATCATGACCTGCATTTGATTTGGGGACATCCCACTGAATGTGACCGCCAAGTCAGGGCAGCAGCCCTCAACCACGTTGTTTGGGTTGTTGTTCATGCTGTCCTTTATCAAGGCGTCCACGCTCTTGCTGTTGAACAGGCTCTTTCCGTGTGCGTCTTCTCCGTTCTCTGCAAACACCCCTGTATATTTGAGACACACAGCCAGCTGCTTGTCGTCGCTCAGCTTCCACAAGGCACGTCCTCTCTCTGGACATTTCTCTTCATCCTGGAACACGGCCACCAGCCTTTTCAGAGCTTCGTAACTTAGAACGATACCACTATCATAAGCCACATACTCGAGCTCCCCTGACTTCACAGCTTTGCCCAGGTAGAACGGTTCGTCTGGATCTTTCGTGAGCACAAGATACTTGAGATTCTCAATAATGGCAAATGTGGTGGGTTGTGCCACAAAGAACCAGCGCATGTCCCCAGCGTTCTCATACGCATGCTTCAGAGCTTTACGCAGCCTTGTCCAGTCGTCCTTTTCATTCATGTCTATTGCGTCGAGCGCCTTGGAGGCCTCCGAGGTGTAAAACGCAGCCTTGTCACAGTGTTTGCTCCAGGTGTCCAAAGTAGTCGCCCAGTAAACCAGGACTTTGGGCTCGACCATGATAACGCAGTAGACCTGGACTTGGTTTTCCAACTCCTTCAACTGGCTGCCAGAGAAATGCTTGAGCTCGTCTTTACTTGCCGCCTTGACGTGATGATGATGGTGGTCGTCTGTCCTGGACTCAGTGACGGGACTGTAACTGTTCAGGAGCGACACCACCAAGCAGAAGACGCCTCCCAAGATCATCCCTTTCATGAAAGAGCCTCCCTCTGACAACATGTTGGCAACAGGTGCTAAACAGAAAAAAGAGGAGCGAAATCATTGTTAGAGCGATGCAACTCAACTGTGGTGAGGTAGAAACTGCTAAGATATGCACGGGATGTTCATCTAATTGTAGAACTTCGCAGACTTTTGTTCTTTTAGTAAGTTTTTCATTTTTGGTGAGACAAAAACAATTTAAATACTTTTTTTCATTCAGCCTTTATTTATACAGGTTAGTCTATTTGAGCCTCGAGGACTCATTTACAAGAGACCTGTTTTAAACAAAGAACACAGATGAGGCACAGACAATAGACAATCATATATAATGGAAAAAAAAAATAGAAATGTAATAAAAACGAAACAAAAACAGCTACATTATAAAGTGATGTAAAAAAACAGGAACATGTCTGCGTTGGTTTTTTGCCATAAACGTAGCAGACGTTTAAAATCCCTTGTCAAAGTTGACAACTTCAGATTTTTGCAAGGAATTCCAGGATACATGAGCGGAGTAGGAGAAGGCCCTTTTGCCAAGTTCAGTCTGCACTGAGGGAACACTGCAGGTAATTATGTCCTGAGAGCGCACGCTGTCGCTGCAATGACAAAGTGACACGTAGGAGGAGATATATGAAGGCAACAAACCAAGAAGTGATTTAAAGATGAAAATGTATCAGAGAGAGAGTCTGCGTGAAGTTAATGATGTCCAGTTAACCAGTGAATACAGGGTGCAGTGATGGGTACGATAATCACAGCCAGTTATGAACCTTAGTGCACCATGATAGACACATCCAACATCTGCAAGGTGCTTGTGGGGGTATTCGTGTAAATAATGTCACCGTAGTCGATATAGAGGAGGAAAATAGCAGCTACAATCTACAGTCTCTGTTAAAAAAAAACAACGCAGACATGTTCCTGTTTTTAGTATTCTACACCACCTTACAACCTAGCTGTTTTTTTGATACTTTTCCTTTTAATTATCCTTTCAATTACCATTTTATTTTCACTTGTTAATTTTTTTATTTGTACGCATCCTTTATGATTGTCTATTGTTGTCATCACTCTTTGTTAAAATTCAGGTCTCTCTTGTAAATGAGTCCCCGAGGCTCAGTGGGATTAACATGTATAAATAAAGGTTGAATGAATGAACAAGGCGTTTCTTAGTATTCAGAGTTAGACAGAGTCGGTTTTCGACATGAGGGTTAAAAGAGAGATGCGAATTGACCAAAATACCCAAGAATTTAGAAGCATCGACAATAGGAACACCACTCGAAGATAAAATAGAAGAAAGGACTGCTAGTACAGACTTCCTGTAAATAATGTAAACATACATATAAGGCTTTTAACTGTCAGAAGTTGGTCCAGAATGCAGCAGCCCGATTTTTAACCAGTACAGGCAAAAGAGAGCACATTACACCAGTTTTGGCCTCACTGCACTGGTTACCGGTTCACTTTCGAATCCAGTTCAAAATACTCATGTATGTCTACAAATCATTGAACAGTGTGGCCCCCCCCCCCCCCCATCTCTCTGATCTGCTACAACCATATGTCCCACCGCGTTCCCTGAGGTCAGCGGACCAGTTGCTCCTCACAGTTCCAGGAACTCGTCTTAAGCGCAGAGGTGACAGGGCCTTCTCTGTAGCAGGACCAAGACTTTGGAACGAGTTACCTCTGCTTGTCAGACAGGCCCCCTCCCTCTCGGTTTTCAAGTCCCGTTTAAAAACTCACTACTATTCAGTAGCTTTCAACACCAGATGATCTGTGTCTTGAACCTGTACGCGCCACACTGGTTTGTTGTCATTATCTGCATTGTTTTTATGTCTTTGTTCTGATTTACCTCATTTTGTATTTTGCTTTGTGTGTTACCTGTTGTTTTGTCTGTACAGCACTTTGGTTGGCCTTGTAGCTGTTTTAAGTGCTTTATAAATAAAGTGGTATGGTATGGTAGAAGAAAAATAACAAGTACAAAGCAGCAAACTTTGTATTGTTACAGGAACCTCAGACCACAAGTAACAAAGACGAACTAGTAAATGAAAAGAAAACATAACTGCTGACATAAAGACCTTTGCGAAGTTTGAACACAACTCTTTCCAGAAAAGACAATTACTGGTAATTATCTGAATGTTAATGTTGTGATCTAAATACAAAAGAATTTCTGACGGACTATGGAAAATAATTAAACTAGTTTTAAAAGTAAAATATAAAACTCTTCATAAAATTGGTGTAAAAATTGCAGGGCTGCCAAACAAAAACAATTCAAATGATTTCCCCTCACAATGTTTTTTAAGACTTTGTACATTCAATTAGTTCATTCAACTCACCAGGTACACAATCAGGGAGTTGGAAAAAAACAAAAAGAAAACTTTAAAATACAAATGAGAGCAACTCAACTTGGACAAACCTAAAAAAAAACATTGCATTTACAACCATGAAACAAACAAGAGAGTTGTTAAATTTAAATTCCATTTAGAGTAATTGTAAAGTAAGCTGCAATTTAAAATGAAGTAAAAGTGAATCATTGCCAACAGCAGACTGACAGGTTATGAGATCATGTGGCGTCAGAACATAAATGGCTGACAAAAGGGATAAACGATCCGAGTATAAAATGTTATTCAACGTTTTCAACAGTTTAATTAACAGCTCTGAAATCTAGCAGATTGTTTCAGTCAAAGATTACAGCTGAAGTCGCGATGTTAGCTTCCCTCTACCTGTTCAGGGCGTTAGCAAAAGCTCGACAAAACAAAATTTATTTAACGCACTTACCTGGATTGTTTTGGTAATACTTTAATTTGGATCCGTTTTTTTGAGTCACACTTTTCCTGTTTGGTCAAATTACTGACGTCAGCTCAGTCTTCTTTTTTAATTCTTTTCTCGCTCTCTTCTTCTCTGTCTTCCTTGTTTTTCTTCTTCTTCGGTTAATTTGGCGGTTGACAAGCAACAATCTGGTGCACTACCGCCACCAACTGGTAATAAATGTGAACTGAAAAGGCAAAAAAAATAAAATAAACGGATGTTGTGGCTGACTAAGTCAAGTCAAGTCATATTTATTTATAGAGCACAATTTAAAACACATAGACTGTTATCAAAGTGCTTAACACTAAGGGTAAACACTAAGAAATAAAAAGCAGTAAGAATATACCTTAAAAAATTAAAACAACAGCATTAAAATGAAGACATGGAACAAGATATACTAAATCAACTCACGCAGTATGAAACGCCAGAGAGAACAGATATGTTTTTAGCAGGGATTTGAACACAGGAAGGGAGGTGGCATGCCTAATGTTGGGGGGTAGGTTATTCCACAGTTTGGGACCCATGACTGAAAACGCCCGATCTCCTCGGAGCTTCAGTTGTGTTTTTGGAACAACCAAAAGCAGCTGATCGGATGATCTCAGACTAACTAACCTTGCCAAATTCCATCCATCCATCCATCCATTACCCGCTTCTTCCATTTTGGGTCACGGGGGTCGCCGGTGCCCATGTCCAGCAATCACTGTGTGAGGGGCGGGGTACACCCTGGACAGGTCACAAGTCCATCACAGGGCCACATAGAGAAAAACAACCATTCTCTCTCTCACCTAGGGAAAATTTAGAGTTACCAATCAGCCTAACATGCATGTTTTTGGTCTGTGGGAGGAAAACGGAGTCCGGAGTACCCAGAGAAAACTACGCATGTACGGAGAGAACCTGCAAACTCCACCCAGAGGGGCCCCCAGACCGGGATTTGAACCAGGGACCTTCTCGCCGAGGGGCAGCAGCTCTGCCAGTTGCGCCACCGTGCTGCCCTATATAATTCGTATGCAGCAATATTTTGTGAAGGCTCTCTGTAACATGTTTATGTTAAAGGGCTGTGACTCTTTGAATTGTGTCTCTAAAGCTTAATTCTTTGAAAAAGGGAAGATGAAAAAAAAACCAACAGACAAAAAAAACCCAACATTCTGATATTAGACATTTTGTACAACCAGTTAAAAACTTTGCAGCACAACATGTTTAATTTCTGTCTTTCTGATCTTTGTAATTACAGCATGTTTCTGGAAATACTGTGTTCCAAACTGAGTTCCAGCAGAAAGGCGTATCCGCGGAAACATTTCCCGCTCTCCATCATCGCTTTTGTTTCCCACCAAACAACACATATGTCTCATCTTGTATCTAAATAAGATATATATGTTTGAAGCTGCAAAACTGTCTTTTTTGTTACTGGAAAATAAACTTGAATATCAGAAACAACACCAAGTGACTCAACTTCATTTGTTGAACTTTAAAGTTTTATTCATAAAACAGCATGATACTTTAAAATGCACACAAACTATACAAAAGTTTGATAATTTTTTAAAGTGTGCTGGTTAGAAAACATGAACCAGTAAGAAGATTATAAAACAAAAATCTTTTAAAATGAACTGTTCTCCAACTATTATATATGTGCAGGTGTTTTGCTGGTTAAAAAGGTGAAAATATCTATATTTACATTATAAACAATAATTATAAAAATAAAAATTGGTCAATTGCACTTTTGGCCTTTTCTTTTATCTGTGAGTGATTATAGATAAACAGCCGGTATATAAAACCAAAATGTTGTGGTAGAATGACATCCTAAGGATTTGGAGAATTAGGTTTGTTACTCTTGGTAGTGGCACAATTAACTCTACAACCATGGTTTAAATAGGCCTCTAAGAAGAGATAATTAACATTTTTATTTCCTCTTGGCAACACCAAAGTAAGCTTTCTCAATCTCGATGTCAGCCGGGCACGTCTGTTTGAACTCCTCCCTCTCGTAGGCGTTTTGAAGGTATCGCCAAACGCCTGTAAAGTGCGCAGGAATGTCAAAATCGCAGTACTTCTTGGCAGCAACCTGAAATGAATGGAAAGAAAAACCCAAGTGTGATATTTTGTAATAGCCTCCTATACTTATTTAAAAAAATGTAAAAAAGATGAACTCAGAGCTTTATTAGTGAGTTTTAAAATCTCTGAAATACCTAGATGATTTTTTCTGCAAACATTCACCTAAAAACATAATAAAATTTCCTGTAAAAAAAAAAAAATGAATCTAAATGAAGTGCACTAAACAATTAATTTATTTGATTAGCTGTCTATTAATTTAGAAAATATTACATTATATCTATAAATGGAAAAAGTATTCAAATATTTCATTTAGGCTTGTTCATCTTTTCATACCTACATGTAAAAACCATGGATAAATTCTGCAAAGAACAAATTTCGGGTCAAATTTAAATCCAGATGTTAAAAATACTTGTTGCTTGATCATTACTTGACTAAGTCAAAAACGAAACAGAAGATTTAATTTATTAAGAAACAAAATCTGCACATTCTCTTCTCTTCTCACTGAGTAAAGTTCACTTATATTTAGAACTGCCAGCAATATACGTGGCTGCAAGATGCATTTTGAATAGAGAAGACCAGCAACTTTATGTACTGGTACGTATTTATACTCAGATTTGTTAAGTAAAATCTGCAGATAAAAGTTTTTTGTTTACACTGAGTGCAGACTTGCATTTCAGAATCTAGAAATCAACTGGTCTAATCTCTTTCAAGTTAAACAATCTGATACATAGGAGGATAACCTTTTTAATGTTTTATATACTTGACGTAACTTAAAGTACTTTAATTACCTTGAGTATCTTTTAATTTCAGAGTTGCAAAACACATTTTAGACTTTAATTGAATTTATTTGTGGTGGTGGTCTTACTGTTTGACCCATTTTTTTTTTCTTGAGATTAATTTCACATCCATAAACATTTTCCATGAGATTTATATTTAAAGTCAACGTTCATACCTTGACAGAGGAAATGGTTTCCTAGTTACCCTCAGTTTGAATCAAATCCATCCCACTCCTTAAAGAGTTTTTTTGTGTAACGTTTTGCAGTTTCAACATGTTTTTCTGAGGACTTCAGTCATAAGCGTCTCACCCTGATCACATGCAGCTTGGGCAGCAGGTTGCAGTCTGCCAACGTGAGGCGATCTCCATCCAGAAACTTCCTCTTGGATGTGATGATGTTTTCTGTTGAGTTGTGGTCGATTTCCTCCGGCAGGGGTGCATTTAAGTACTCGTCCAACCGCTTGAACTCACGTATCAGGTTCTTTTCCTGCACTAAAGGTTTAGAAATTGAGTTTTTCAGTGTAAATTCACACAGTGGGACGCAATTAATCCATAAATCCCCCCCCCCAAAAATCAAACTCACCAGCATTGTTTGGGCTGTTTTTGATGAAAGCTGAAAACTTTGCAAAGATGTCAGACCCCACGTCAAAGGACTCTTTGTTTACTGGGATGAGATGAGGATACCTTGAGTGTAGAAAAAAAGAAGAGAGAAGCCTTGAAGTGCACTTCGTTCACAGAGGAAACAAGACGAGCAGACTCCCTCTTCAGCGGCGTTTGAGAAACAATTAAATGCAATAATACCTGGGAGGGGCCAGTGTTTGTTCAAGAAACTCCTCGATCTTGATGAAGTCTGTTTTCAGGGTGCCGTTGTAGAGGAGGAAAGGAGGGTTAGTCCCAGGGGCCAGGTCCTTGAGCTCGGCAGGCTTCCTGGAGATGACAGAAAGATGAAGAGAAGGAAGCAGAGGAGGGGATTCAGAACAAGCACCAGGCTGTTGGGCCTGTCAGAATCACCACTCTGGATTAATAATATTATATTAACACATAGTTTACACAGCTCTGGGAGTGGTCATTAGTTTAAAAGACCGTGTGTGAGTTATGAATCACCTATTTATCAGCACCCCTTCAAAGTTTCCTGTTCTTATTTGCTTCTTGAAACTGACCCTGAGAAAACCCACGTAATAAAGCTTTAATTAAAGAAGACGTTTGTTTTGAAGGGACAGAAAGCTCTTTGTACGTGTTGGTTTTACAGCCTCCTCCCTTTCACCTCCACAAAACACACCTATTAACTGCTGAGAAAGGGTTTGGGTTACTCAAAACACCTCTTAATAGTGCTCTATGTGAAAGTCCCTCATGACCAGATGCTCAGGAAGGTGTTTTTTTTTAATTAGGTGTGCTTACTTCCTCATATCAACAGTGGTCACTGTAAACTTCACTCCTTTCAACCACAGCACCATGAAGAGTCTTTGGCAGAACGGGCAGTTTCCAATGTTTTCACCATCATGTCCAGCCTGAAAAAGACCACGAGAAATAAAATCAGAGATGTCGTCTCATGCACCCAGCAGAAATGAACTGTCTCTATTAAATCTCTTCTGGTGATTAAAATGGACATTTTGGAAGTGAAAGGAGTGTCTGGGGTATTTATAAACCATTTGCTCTGTGGAAGGGAAATGCAGGCATTATCCTAGAGCGGAAAGCAGACGCTTGCAGCTCGACTCCAATTTTAGCCAGTTCCCTGCAGTGTTTTCCAACCCTGTAGTCGCCAAATCAAACTTAAACTTTGCTTTTAACAATCAAGAAATGAGATTGATACAACGCTCATGCTTGTCAGCAAACTTGAACAAAGCTAAGTGACCTTTGAGAAAGCTTGAGTTTAGTTTGACGGCAACTGAAAAAAGGGAGTGATGTAGCTCAAAACGACTCCATCAAATACTTTCTGTTTTGTCCAAATTTGTTCAGTGATTAACGAGATATTTTGCTTACAAATTTAAAATAGTCTAATTGCAGTTCAGATGCTGTGCATTGAACACAAAATGTGATAAATGTGCAGCATCTGAACTGCAATTAGACGATCTTAAATTTGTTTTTATTGTACATTGTTGTCTATTTTATCTTTATTTTTATCTTTTTATAAACTTTTACTATTCTTGAGTTGGAGAAACACACAAGAATTCCAATGTGACTATACTAATGTATCTGTGCAAATGGCAATACATTCTATTCTATTCTATTCTATTCTATTCTATTCTATTCTATTCTATTCTATTCTATTCTATTCTATTCTATTCTATTCTATTCTATTCTATTCTATTCTATTACAGACAAGCATTGACTTCAGCAGTTAATGCTATTTTTTAGGGCAAAACGCTCAGCACTCTGTTATAACCTCCCCAAAGTTTTGCACAATATTTGCAAAACTGGCAGCTTTATAACAATTTTAATGTTTCCTAAAGTCAGTTAGCTTGAACTAAAGTAACTCAAAAAGTTAATCCGTTGTAGAGGTACACCAATGAATTATTTCCTGAAAGTTTCATTAACATTTGCCTCGTGGTTCTTGAGATATTTTACTAACAGACGTTGCCTCTAAATAGTTCATGCCAAAAGTTTTGAACGGCACTCAGATGATGGGTTATATGGGTCAATATCTGTAAATCAGACTAAGATGTGGCCATTTTTTGCATTTTCTAAGCTTTAACTAAGACTTTCTGTTCTGACAACTGTCTCTGGACGTTTGCAAGACTAAAGTGGGTGTGTCGAGTTCAGGCCTGAGGCCAGTCGCTCTCCGTGCTCCTGGCTTCTTCTGGGCGTGTGATGATAACGCTCAGTCAGTCAGAGCTGACTGATAACAGCCTGCTGGGACCCTCAGCAGGGGTCCAAACACGTCAACATCAGCCACACGCTGCATGGCACCCATCAGAGTTGTCCTCTGATTGACTCTCAGAAACAAACATTTCTCTGCTAATCAACTATGTTGAAAACTGATTTAAAAAAGTGAGGAAAATCTGTTTTCCTGCCTTTTTAGTTTCAGGACAAGATCTTAAACACAAGCAGATACATTTACTGTGTGAGGTCACATATAGTTGTGACAGTGCGTACATAGAGCTGAAAAGAATCGACTGACCTTGATGAACAACTCGATGTTTGGTTCCTTTTCTGAGGTTTGTCGAAGTGCCATTTTCTTTTCTTTTATTAAAACACACAAAAAAGTTGACTTTTTCGATCCAATGAGTTGCTGCAGCCAAAGATTCTCCTTTCTTTAGTAAATAGTTTAAATAAAAATCCAAGAGCAGAAGACAAGAAGCTCATCAAGAAAAACCTTGATAAGTGTTGTGGTTTTCAGGAGTGTTTTTAGTCTTGTTTGTTATCCGAGGACAGAACAAGACCTCTCGCCCTGCGTGTGTTTGACTCCTTGTAGGGTATCTGACTCAGAGCATACAAGCCAAGAGGAGGGAGGTCTTTAAACATGGGCGGGTTGCTCTAATATACTCAAACTGTAGGAGGGGAGAGACTAAAATAGGCTTCTTCTGGACATTGTGATGCACAGGAACCAAACACATTGAAGCACTGAAGGACTCCGGGGTACAGACAGAATTATAACATGAGACGTTTGTTTTGGGTACAATAATAATATTAAAAAGTATGGATATTTTCTCTTGGCGCTTATGTAAAAAGTGATTAAACTTTGTTCTGTTTATTTCTATAAATGCATGCAAATCTGTTTCTTTTTACAAAGGTGTGGTTTAGCTAACGGCAAACTGAAAACTGGAAGGTTTTAACAAAATACCCAGAGAATATGGACTGACAGGAACAGACTTCAATAATTAATAGTGATTTATTTACAGTGAAATATCACAGAGTGCACATGGAGGAACTGGAACCAGATGGGCTTCAGGACCTTTGTGGGAACCGGGGTCCAGTGGTTCCTGGAAGACGTCCCAGGTGAGTCACAAGTTGAGGTTGGCAGGTGAGGCGAGGCGAGGAGACAGCTGGAGAAGTCACAAGGGAATCCAAGACCAAACAGGGGGAGTCCAAGATCAGGAAACAGCTGAGGTCGATGATGAAACATGTAAAAACACTAGGATAGACTTTTCGGTTCCACTTTATAATAAGGTTCCTCTTATACATGGCTAATATATAGTTTATAGATACATTATTAATGCCACCATAAACCCTTTATAAGTCATTAATAATTGTTTATAATGCATTAATTAAGGGTGAGAAAGAGACAAATGGACCAGTTTCTTGCCAAATATTGAGCCAAATCTTCCACCTATATATTTCATCTAGAGATGTTAAACATTTCAGACTAAGTTACTACTTTGCAAACACAATAAGCATTTGTAAACCTATTTCTTTAGCATATAATATTGTACTTTGTCACTGCATTATACATATCTACAACTAATATTATATCCTAAAAAATTAGGTTATCGTGCTTACAAGGTAGTAACTTAGTCTGAAATGTTTAATAGAACAACTCTAGATGAAATATATAGGTGGAAGATTTGGCTCACTATTTCGCACGAAACTGGTCAGTCTCTTTCTTGCCCTTAATTAATGCATTATAAACAATTATTAATGATTTATAAAGTGTTTATAGAGGAATTAATAATGTATCTATAAACTATTAGCCATCTATAAGGGGAGCCTTATTGTAATCTGGTACTGACTTTTCTTTATCATTAGGTAACGTAAGATGGCTAGAAGCACAACTACCATAGGCATGTAATGCAACAGCGGTGAAGAGAGTCACCTGCAGCCATTTATGCTCCTGCCTGTCATCAAGGGGGATGATCCACCGGTGTGGCTAGTTGGCAACATCTTGTGACTTCAGGATGTTGAGAGAACTGAACTCCCACAGAAACCAAATAATCATTTTGAGTACTGGTATTTTCTTCAGAGGGGTGAGCTCCTCTCAGTGCTTCTGCATTTACGGTGTTTTGAACGTTAGCTAAATATGCACCAAATCACAATTTTTATTGCATGTTTCATCAAATTAAACATAATTTTCTGCTCCTCTGTAGGGCTTGGAGTCCACTCTTGAATCCAGCTATGTGATGTCTGGTGTTTTGAGGAATGTGTGGCATCATGTTGGGGATTGTTAAAGTGTAGTTTGGGATTAATAATAATAATAATGTGTTATGTGCTGTCAATGGCAAAATTGGCTCTCTGCATTTAAGCCATTGCGCCTGTGATACACTCAGGTGGAGCAGTGGGCAGCTATAGAAAGCGCCCGTCGAGCAATTGGGGCTAAGGTGTCCTGCTCAGAGACACTATGAGATGTGTAATGACTGGGGATCGAGCCAGGAACTTTCGGGTCCCGAGTCGGCTGCCCTGTCTCTACCCCATCTCGATCCCCTATTACTTTTATCCTGTAAAATACAAGTTTTACTGCTAAACATTGTTTGGTATCTTTACACGAGCAAATGCTGATCATTTAACACGAAACTCTCCGACATGAGTTGCGATGTGAAAGTCGGGCACCAACGGTTTTAAACGATGATCTTTCTGACCACATGATCTCAGAATAAGGAGAGGGGAATTTCTATTGCCAAATTCTCTGCTCTTCACTTCCCCTGAAAAAAAGCCAAATGACACGGAAAGATTACGAAACACACATGGAGGAATGCAAAAAAAAAAACGATGTTCTGCCAAACCGTAATCCATGTGCTCGTCTCATTTATTGGCCTGAAAGGATTTGAAAAATTTATACTCTGAGGGAGAGAAAAAAAAGGTCTCCTGTTTTACTGAAATTACCAAGAAATCCTGGAAATTTGATGATTAATGGATCAGTGACTCTGAAGCTGAACAGGCTGCGGGTTTGTTAAATGACTATAAAACTAAGTATTGATAAATACCTGATATTTTGCAACTCTTTTCAACACAGAAAGACGTTCCGGACTGAAAATTCCAAGCAATTTTCATTTCATCCTTCGCTCTCTGGGAGGAATTTTCTGACTGTGCGAGGGGAGCATCACTCCCATATATTTTGGGTTTCACCTTTAAGGTCATCTCTTTTAATTAAGACAGTGCAGGGTGCACATTCTTTTCATAACATCTGTGATGAAATATCTGGAAAATTAAAAAAAATATGTTTTTGCTCATCATCAGCATTGCTGTGTTGGTTTTCCACTTCCTTTTTGTTATGGCAACACCAGCCACATGTGTTTGGAGAACTAGAGGATGTAAAAAAGAGACAAAGTAAAAGTTAATATTTGTAATAAACTGAGCATTAGTGTAATTCAATGTGATAGTTTTCTCGAGAATGATTAGAAAAATAAAGTCTGTCAGTTTTGGAACTGCTTGGAGATCTTTTCCTTCCTCTTTTCCAGAGAAGAATTGGGAAAGTTGTTGCTCATGGAGAAAGACACATATATCTCCTCCGGACAAACACGACCGCTGGAAGTGACCTCTTGGAAAAAGTGCCTTATCTCCATAAACAGGAACCCTGACTGAGTTCAAGAGAAGGAGACTTGATTTGACTCCATTTGAAACCCAAAGAGTTACACAAGTCCAACACTTTATCCTCCAAACAAAATACTACTTTGAAAAAATACATTAAATCTTTGAGCAAAGACCTCTGATGGTAATAAACATGTTCTGAATTAAGAATTGTTTGCTTTTCAACTCAGTTTTGCTGTTTAACATTGATTGCCTTGAACTTGTCAGACCAAAACTGACTTTTTTAATTACTTTGTATCTAAATCCAAACTAATACAGCTTTATTAATGTTTGTTCTTATATAAAGAGACTTCGGAATATATTAGAATTTCAGGAAATGTGTAATCTTTCTAATACATCCTGTAGAGTATAAGGAAATGTTTGCTTCTTTTGAAGAGGAAAATGAGGTAATCAAAAAGTTATATGGCAGGAACTTCCACCAGTAAATTAAAGAATGGTGTGATGATAGTTTTTTTTTTAGGATGTTTTGATTCAAACCATATGTGCAGAATTTGTTTGTTATGCAATAAAGATTTGATATTAATATTTTGGGTTTGGTTAGATCAAATGTGCTTTCTAATCCAATTTGATATAAACTGTATTGATCTGTGTTTTTGTTAGATTGTTAATAGTCTGCGTTTTATGATTTGGTTTATGTGATTTTGTGGGGATTCTTGTGTTCGGCTATGTTACTTGTGTTTTCAGCATATTGGTCCTTTGTATTTTGTTTGTGCCATCCACCATGTCTCCCCCAGCTTGCTCCTGGTTTCACTGATCGCAGCTGGAGACACTCTTCCCATCGGAACCACACGATCCGTTTGTTTTTCTCCACTTACCAGTTCAGCGTTACACATTTTACATTTCACATCTGGCCTTCCTTGTAATCCTTATAATTTCCACATGATTCTCCTTAAATTATTGGCAAGTAGCCCTTTGGTTTGCTTAAATTAATTTTTACCGTATTTTTCGGATTATAAAGCGCACCAGATTATAAGCACAATATCAATGAACGGGTCTGTTTTCATATATAAGGCGCACCGGATTATAAGGCGCATTATGCGAAAGAAAACGGTCAGATAAGTCCAATTTTATTCAACTCATTCACAATAACTCTCGACATTGTTTAGTTGTACCAGATAAAATTGGTTTGAGGTCAGTAAGCACAACCAGAATTAATACATAAGGCTCGTTGTTGATTTGTGAGAAAATTAAAGAATTTTAAGTGTGCCTTATAGTCCGAAAAAAACGGTAGTTAATTTTTAAGCTTCTTGTGTCAAGTCGGCATTTTTGGGTCCGAACCTTCTGCCAATTAAAGCAGATTAGAAACCCGTTTAATCTAAAATAATGTTCAACATATAAAGTTAAAGAAAATCAGTCAAAAGTTGTAAAAAAAATATTTGATTGTGTACTCCGAGAGAGCAGTGTTTGTTTTCAGGTGAATGAAACTGAGAATTTGTACATTTTCTGATCTGGAGCAACGTTCCCTTTATGTCATAATTTTAACAAAGTGTAGAATATTTATATGTTTTAAGGACATGTCTTTTATTTCTATAAAATACTAATTAATTACTGTACATACCTTTCTAAACAGATTTTTAAAAATAAAAAGGGAGAAAGTGGTGAGCATAGAAGTAATCCTGGTAAGTGATTTTAAATGGTTCAAAAAGTGGGAGGTTCAAAAATCTATAGTTTCATTCATACTTTTGAGATCAAATAAAACTATTTAAATTAAGAAATTAATCTCAAATCATTACTAGAAGAGCAAAATGCTTTTATTCTTTGTGAGCTGTAAAACTCTAGATACACACAAAAAAAATAATTGACGTATAAAAATTTGAGCTTGAACACTGAACCTTGTGGGACTCCACATTTAATATCTTCACTTTTAAACTTTGATTTTTTTTATTTTTTGTCATTAATCGACTTGCACACTTGTTCATAATCCCCCTCATCTCATAAGCCTGCATTAATTTAAATAAAGATTTTTGTAAATGACTAAACAGTAACATATTTTATATTCTGATAGTTTAGAGTAGCCAGGCTCTTCAAAATGTAAATAAAATATTTAAAGTGGTCTGAAACACAAACGAGAACATCGTTTAATAATCCCTGTGATGGTTTGTTGCTCAAATCAGATAACTCCTCAGACTTTGCCTCAGAGGACTCAGATTGTCTGGTATGTTGGTGAAGACGGAGACAATCCGTGGGGAATCTACAGTCGAGTTCCTCTTCCAATATAAAATTAGTTGTAGAAGAAAGTAAAAGTAAATTAAAAGAAGGAAGGAAGGTATTTACAAAAAAAAAAAAAGAAATAATGACCTTACAGCTGTTTTGTTGTTTGGAGCTGTGCTTTCAAGTCCTGTATCTCCTGTTTTAACTTTCAACAACAAACTGAATTATGAGTAATACATTTCTTTTTAGTAAAATTAGTCTTTAAAATGGGAGTTCATACCTGTTATTCAGTCGTGTTATGTCCTCAGTAAACACGCTGCTTCATGGACAACTGCTCCTAATAATCAAATCTTCAAAATGTGCATACATTTCTTATTAGACAAAACAATCCTAAATGTTTAGGAGCCTGATTCAGCTGCACTGAAGTCAACCGTCTTTTTTTATTGCTGACTGGGGGGGCGGCTGATTTCGGAGGCACAATGGCTTTATTGACTTTTCACCAAACACAGCAACACTTTGAAAAAAAAAAGAAAACAGATTTGCTGCTGGATATTTACAATGACACCAACATGGAGCTTCTGCCTTCCTTTTCTACTTCTGGTTCTGATGATGCCCGCCACACATTCGGCACCAGATTTTTCTTGTAAGTGACTTTTTTTTTTTAAACGGATATAGAAAATTGCTGATGCATGATTTTCCATTTGTGTGTGCGTCCAACAGGAAGTGTCAAAAAGACATTTCCTAATAATGAGTACATCCTGCTGTCTTAGTAGTCGAGGATCAAGCTAAGAGTAAAATCAGAGGCTGAGCAGCAAATATGAACAAAAAGGACCAAATACTCTCAAACTAATACTTAACCTACAGCTGATTATTGTTTATAAGCTGTTTATTGTTTAGACTATGTGGTTCCAGTATTGGGACATAATGCTATAAGTTTTTTTGTTGTTGTTGTTGCATGTTCTTCTCTTATGAGGTTTGTGTATTTTTAAATCTGAATATTTTGTTTTTATTTAACGGCAGACTAATAATAGTTCATTGTGATTGTGAACAAGTGCCTGGTAGCACCACTGTGCAGCAGCAGCACCCCCCCCCCCCCCCCCCACACACACACACACTTTCATTTAATCTGCAAGCACATTATTCTGACACTTCAAGCTTGAAGCTTTACCTCCTAATGTCAATTGCTGCAGAAAACTTACATTTTTGTCTTTGCATTTGAGTTGGGGCCTCACATATGACAGCCTCAGTCATAAAAATACACACAAAGTCAAAAACACAAGGACAGGAAACACACATGGGAGGGGGAAGTTCAGTCCAGTGTCTTTGTGTTTGTCTACATGATCAAAGTCCAAACATTGTTCTGGAGAGTTACACCCACTGACTAAGACGTGGGGACACCACCCTGTCCACTAGCAGGACTGAAAATATCTGATAAGTAACCTCATCGCCTTTTGGACAATGACATCATTCTAAATTAAACACTAGCATTCCTTAAAGAAATACACATCGACCGCCGCTTCTCACGCCAGTTTTAAACTCTAAGATCATCTCACGTTGAAGCGCCGCTTTGTGCGCTCTCGTGTGATCTCGTGTGATCTTGTGAGGATGACGATGTGTTGAGGATGACTCTCAGCTACTACCACACCTAAATCTTAGCTCCAACAATTACAGCCATTTTTAAGCTCTGTAGCAGCCATCTTGAATGGGATTATTAACTCCAATGTTGATCACTACTTTCTAAAAGTTTCGCTGAAGTTTGGTCATGGAATATTTTGCTAACAAACACCCATACACTCTCAGACACAGGAAAAAAAACTTTACTATCTGCCTTTACTGTTCAGCAGCGGGCATTAAGTGACTCCGCCTGTACCCTTAAACACAACGACTTGATTTTAATCGATTTGACAAAAGAGATTTGAGATGGACGTGTGAGAAAACTGCCTTATTTGTGAATAGACATGAAACTCAGGAGGAGTGGTGGTGTGGAGGTTAGAGAATGTGAGCCTGTGATTGGAAAGTCGCTGGTTTGACCCCCTGGATCGACATCATCAAAATGTGGGTGGGAAAGGTGAAGCACCCACACCTGCTTCCGCCCTCATTTGCCCCACTCTGGGCCCTTGAGCAAGGTCCTTAACCCCCACTATCTGCTCACCCGGACACCCTAGCTGTGGTAGCTCGGTGGTCTGTGGTTGCATCAGGAAGGACGTCCTTGTGCGAGTTAGTTCGCTGTAGAGACCAGCTGAAAGAAGACATGAAGCTCTAATTTTACTCCTGTCCTCAACATCTTGTGTTTCAGTGTACCTCCACAGTATTCTGAAGAACCACACAGCTCATGCATGTGAAGGAGAAACTCTCATCATCAAGTGTCCCTCCAGGACGTCTGTCTCCGTCCTGTCAGCCTTCTACGGACGACGTATTCCTTACAAGTATTTATGTCCCTCAGCAAACACAAACATGACGTTGGAGGAGGACACCGAATGCACCTCCTCTGTTGCTCTTCAGGTACATAAATGGCACGAACGTGATCTGCTGTTGGACTAACCGTCACGTAGCAGTGAACACACGTTGTCCTGCTGTTGCAGAAGGTGCTGTCAGAGTGTCAGGATCAGCGGTCATGTTACATCCCCATCCTCGCTCCAGTGTTCGGACCGGATCCGTGTCCGCTCACCACCAAGTATCTTCTGGTCTCCTACAAGTGTCGACCAGGTAAAACAAGTACAAATGCTAAACTGACAGAATTAAGCAACTCAGACCTTCAGTAATTCTCGACGTTGTCCTTTTTATGGAATAAATTAAAGTAGATTCTTGAACATGATGAAGTTTGACAGAACTGTTTGAGTCTTTCTAAACAGACTGAATGAACACCGTCATCAAGACGGTCTTTTATTTTGTCATTCAACAGCAGCATCTGTCATCAGAAGTGCTTCTGGTGCACCTGTAGCATGTTTGCAAATTCACATTTGTTAAGATGCTAATTCATTTTGGACTAACTACTACATTTATTCCCATCTGTTTTTTTTTTTGTTTGTTTGTTTTTTTTTAGTTAGAGCGTTTTTTGTATATAAATGTGTTTTGATTTGGAATAATTCTGTAAAATAGACAAATCAATCTATACAATGGTTGTAACTGAAAGGTTTTGGGTCAATAAATAACATAATAAAGACAAAAGCTCACCCAGCTTGACTTGTTTTTTCCATGGGTGATTGCACTTACCTCACATTTCATGAGTCATAAAGGTTAGATCGTGACTGAAAGAATGAGAACCAGGGGGTAGGTTCAGGCTCAGACTCAGACTCCGAGATGGGATGAGGAGCTCCATCATCAGGGGGAAGCTCAGAGTAGAGTCGCTGCTCCTCTGTTTCAAAACGAGTCAGTTCAGGTGGTTCTGGCGTCTGATTAGGCTGCATCCTGAAAGTTTTCTGGGCATGACCCACTGGGATTAGAGCCCAGGGCAGACCCAGAACTTGCTGGAGGGATTGTGTAACTTCTCTAAAATGGGAACATCTTGGGATCCCCCAGGAAAAGCTGGAGAGTGTCGCTGAAGAAAAGGATGTCTGAGGTTCTCTCCTGGATCTGTTGCCTCCACGACTTGACCGTGGATAAGTAAAAGAAGGAGATGGAGATGGTTGCACTTTTCAAGCTTGGGTTGTCTTCCAGAGGCCTGGGAGCTTGAGGGATCTGTGGATTATCTTAGCTGTTCCTAGGACTAAATTCTTCATCTAGTTTGGGGGTCCCTGCACCCTGTGACCTCTGGCACCACTCAGGCCTTGACTCTCCATAACTTCTCCATTTCCACTTTCAGCCCTTGGCATTTTTCACGTTCCTTCTTCTTGATGTCACAGTCACTTGGGATTGGTACATCTCTCACCACTGCCCCTCAGCTGATTAGCCATCAGCTGTTTGTCAGTCTGGATCTGGAAGTCCCACAGTATCTTAGCCCATCCATTCTCCACCACTCTTGATGGAAAAATGTCCATTCCGGTCAGCGCTACTTTGTTGTGTCCAGTACCTCCCTCCTTATCGGAGCATGAGACCAAAGAAATTACACTCTTTGATGGTCCAAGCCTCCTCCAGCTAAATAAAAAGCCTCCCCACTGTTTGAAAAAAGTAAAAATGCAAACAAAGCTTTGGTCTTGTCTTAAAAAAAAAAGTTTAAAATGACTGATCATCCACAGGATATGGTGGGTGGAACCTGCAGGACTCTTTCTCTGCTCAGTAGGTCAGACTTTTACTTTTGGGCAGAACAAGAGAAGCTTATCATCTTATTAATAAAAAATATTTACCAAAGTTGCCAAAAGGTGCTTCTTTTTGTGTGTTTTTTTTTTTTTTTCAGAGCACCACCGCACCAGACTCGTGTGTGAAAACGAGCGCCTGAGGCTGACGTGCAGAAACGAAACCGTCCTCGTCATCTACTCAGCTACATTTGGACACTTGTTGCACAGCAGTCCTCACTGTCCCGAAGAACCCGGATCACAGGCTGACATGGGTTAGAAACACCCATTCATCGTCAAACAGCAAAACATTCAGATTTTCACCATTTCTGTTCTCACTTTCGTCGTCTCAGAGTGTTTGTCACCTGTGGCTCTGAGGAGGGTGTCCCGTAGGTGTCACGGCAGAGCAAACTGTTCAGTCCTTGCAGACACCCACACCTTTGGGGACCCTTGCTTTCCCGGCACCAGGAAGCACCTGCGGGTGTCCTTCACTTGTGGTAAAGAACAGAACAGAGGTTATTGTTTGCTGCTGAGGCAAAGTGGTTTCAAACATCTCTCACTTCTTTTTTAGTGCCCAGATATCTGCTAGAGGATGTTGGTCGAGGGTCAACGGATCCGTTCATGATCTCAGATTACACACATGGTAAGACTGGCAATGATTTGTTTGTGAAGTTTTTTTTGCTGCATTCAAGAGGCTGACAGGTCTCTGAGCCCAGACCCCTCTCCCCTGCAGGTGGATGGTACACTGGCCCCACCTACAGGCCTCAAAATGTGTTTGTAACCAACTCTCTGGAGGTGATTGAAAAAATACTGGGTAGGTAGGTGCACTGGTATGGAGGGTGAAATGTGACAAAATTAAATAAATAAATACAATAATTCCTCAAATAAAACATTTAAATTGTACATTTGTTTATTTCATGGGGCACTTAATAATTTAATTGTATATTTAATAATTTATTTGATGTATTTAATAATTAAAAGATGCATTTAATTATTATGTTTGTTTTTCGGATGCTCCCTTCTTCAGGGGTCACAACTAAGTCGCACAAAGTCTTGTCAATTATTTTTATGCCGGATGTCCTTCTTGATGCAACCACAGACCATCGAGCTACCACAGCCCTCTGTACCTGGGGGAGCAGATGGTGGGGGTTAAGGGCCTTGCTCAAGGGCCCAGAGTGAGGCAAATGAGGGTGGAGGCAGGTGTGGGTACTTCACCTATCCCATACACATTTTGATGTTGTCGGTACCGGGAGTTGAACCAGCGATCTTCCGATCACAGGCCCACATTCTCTAACCTCTGCTCCACGAAGCCCACATTTAATTATTATGTATTTACTTATTTAATTTTGTCACATTCCACCCTCCATACTCTGCAGACAGTCTATAAAGACACACGTGCATCTGTCACTGCTGCTGCTTTAAAAGATAAATCATCAGAACGTGTTCAAATGTGTTAACCTCCAAAAAAAAACTAAGAAGTTAAATAAAAAAACGGAGGCACTAATATAAATATTATTAATAAAAAACGGTCAAAGTGCTAAGTTAGTTTTTGTTTATCATCATGGCAGCTTAATACTAAAGATCTGCATTGTGAGTTACTGGATGTTTATCCATTTTTTAAATTTTTTATTTAGCTTCTTTTTAGATAAAATGTTTGTCAGAAATAACCTTTCATCAAAGTTTTCTTTTATATTCACCACTACTGCTGTTAGTTGTCGTGATTCGTTTAGCTTATGTCAAAAAGTGCTAAAAGTTCTTCACGTTCAGCAAACAAACAAAAACTTTCATAAATGCAACAGAAGTGTGGGAGTTTGCTTTTATGTTAGCAGAACAAACAATCAGTATCATGTGGGGACACTAATGTCAAAACATTTTGCCGATCCAGACTCATATGTGCGTTTTTTTGTTTTTGTAAAATGCAGACTCTTTAGAATAATGAATAGCTTTGTCAGAATCAGAATCAGTTTATTACTGCCATGTCAATGAACGAGGTTCACAAACTAAGAATTTGCGTCGACATAAAGGTGCGAATAGTAATAAAGTAAAATAAAGTAAAAATTAAAACATAACATAAAACATGTGTACACCCATACAATAGAAAACAATAAAAAAAGCTTAGAGAACAGTACAGATGGAGTATTCAGTTATAATACAGATGTAATGTGACCAACGCAGAAATTATGAGGTAGCATTATGAGTGTTCAGGAGTCCAACAGCAGAGGGGAAGAAACTGTTCTTATGGCGGGAGGTTCTGGTCCGAATGGACCGAAGCCTCCTGCCTGAGGGGAGTGGTTCGAACAGTCCGTGTGCAGGGTGAGCAGGGTCAGCTGTGATCGGACCTGCTCGCCTCACAGTCCTGGAGACGTACAGGTCATGGAGGGATGGAAGGCTGCAGCCGATCACCTTCTCAGCTGAGCGCACAACGCGCTGCAGTCTGAGTCTGTCCCTGGCAGTGGCCCCGGCATACCACACCGTGATGGAGGAGCTGAGGATGGACTCGATGATGGCCGTGTAGAACTGCACCATCAGCTTGGCCTTCTTCAGCTGTCGCAGGAAGTGCAGTCTCTGCTGGGCCTTCTTGATGAGGGAGCTGATGGTCGGCTCCCACTTGAGGTCCTGGGTGATGGTGGTGCCGAGGAACCGATAAGAGTTCGCAGTGGTGATGGGGGTATCATTACAGGTGAGGGGGGGCAGAGGGGCTGTGGCTTTCCTGAAATCCACAATCATCTCCACTGTCTTCCGGGCATTGAGTTCCAGGTTGTTGCTGCTGCACCAGGTCACCAGCCGGTCCACCTCCCTCCTGTATGCAGACTCATCACCGTCCGAGATGAGCCCGATGAGGGTGGTGTCATCTGCAAACTTAATAAGTTTCACAGAGTCATGGCTGGAGGTGCAGCAGTTGGTGTACAGGGAGAAAAGCAGGGGGGAAAGCACACAGCCCTGTGGAGATCCTGTGCTTACAGTCTGAGTGTCCGAGACAGCTCTCCCCAGCCGCACGCACAGACTCCGGTCTGTCAGGAAGTCTGTGATCCACCTGCAGGTGGAGTCAGGTACATGGAGCAGGGAGAGCTTGTCTTGGAGCAGAGCAGGGAGGATGGTGTTAAATGCTGTTGTGAAGTGGATGTTCACACAAATATAAACAGTCTGTGAAAAACTGTTTGGAAAACTGTATTAAACCATGAATAGTTTGTGTCAGATGGATATTTCACAGAATGAACATTTATATGGTTAATGGAATTAAATGCATTATGTGGGTAAGACTTTAAATGAAATCATCAGAGGTAGATCACAGGCTGAACAACTGGGAGGTAAAGTTAGAGAGGCCAGACTGAGATGGTTTGGACATGTCCAGAGGAGGGACAGTGGGTATACTGGTAGAATGATGTTAGTAATGCAGCTGCCAGGAAAAAGACAAAGAGGAGATACATGGATGTAGTTAGAGAGGACATGGAGTGAGGACAGAGGATGCAGAGGACAGAGTGAGATCATCATCATCATCTTCAGCTTTATTTATAAAGCGCTTTAACACCAGCCACAGCTGAAACAAAGTGCTGAACATCAGTAATAAATAAGATAAAAGAAAGCATAAAAATGAACTTACAAAGCTAAGCACACAATGAATTAAAAACTCAATTTAAAACACAATAAAATGACGAGTTAAACAAATAAAAATGAGATAAAATCAAGTCTCAGTTGTGTTGAAGGCCAGTGAGTAGAAATGAGTTGGAGAAAAGATGGAGGATGACTCACTGTGGTGACCCTTGAAGAGGGAACAGCCGAAAGAAGAGCGTTTGTAATTCGTTGTCGTGTGTGAACGATGCTCACGATGAGCCCGCCTCTCCTTCAGGTCTCCCAGAGCGAGTGGCTCTGTACTTTGTCTCCGGCATCTGCGTCGGCCTGGTGTTCCTGCTCTGCCTGTTCGGCCTTCGCTCCACTCTGGTGAGAGATGTCAAGGGTCTCGTTTCTGACTTGAAGGACGAGCTGAAAGCGTCACGCAGGAAGAAACAGGAGCTCATGGACGATCTCTTTGACGACGACGTCTCAGACACCTCCTCCTTTCGTCGCCTCACACAGTCTTACCGTTTGACTGACGTCTTGAGCCCGGCGGCCCTGACCGTGGAACTGGTTGAACGTGACGTGCAGCAGGTGAGGCCCAATGGAGACATGTGGCCACAGCAAGACTCCAGTCCTTACGCCATTCACAAGGTCATAACTTACAACAGTCAAATCTAATACACTCATTAACTCACACCGCTCTGGATCAAGAGATTCAAACTGAAGTCATTTGGAGCATTTAGAACTAACTTAAGCTTCACCTGTGCTTTATATAAATATTTTGATCTGGTTTGATCTGATAATGTTTCTATTAGATTAGATTTAATGTAGAACAAAAAAAAAAATGCTGAGAGCAGTAAATGCAGCACAATTTGTAACTAATAATAAACATTGATGAATAATGTATAAAATGCCATTCTGGTCAGTTTTGTATTCTCTGTATGTAAACAAAGTTGAACAGAGATTCAATAAAAGTGAATTCATTAATTTGTCTGCATCACTGTCTCTTGTCAGATGAATACTGAAGTAGATATCAATATTTGAGGTCACAGACCCTCGCATAAAAGTAACGGCATGGCTTTTTTGTAGTGAGTCTGTGATTATGGGGTTAACAAAATAATATTTAAATGCTTTCTAAGATGATAGTAAGAATTCTGGCAATTGTTAATTTGCTAGCATCTGTAACTAACAGGATTGTGTCCAAGTTTTTAGTTTCTCTATTTGTTTTTTCTTTTTAAATCCATTAATGGGTTTATATTCAGAGTTCTCCAAGACTATTCAGCTGTTCAGTTTGGAGACCGTACTCATGTCATGTGTGTAAAAGGCCTGTTTTACAGTTGATTTTGTATTTTTAGTTTATTTTAATATCAAACAGGATTTATCAATTTATAATGTGTCTTGTGTGTTTGTTGTTATTGTACATCGTTCTACTTTTAATCTCCAATTAAAATATGTTTCAACTATGTCTCATTTTAAATTGAAATAAAGAAGTCATTAAAATTTGATTTTGAATTTTCAAATGTTTGTGACCAATGAATACAAATTAAAAAAAAATAAAATTGGGATAAGCCAACAATGTGTCAAAGTAAACGCGGTCCATTAACAAACAAATAAACAAATAATTAAATAAATAAAAAGAAAAATAATTTTCTTGGAGATTTTAGTATATTGTAATTTTATATTGTTTTATGTTTTTCCTTCATTTTACCTTAGATTTTATGTTTTAAATTTATATTATATTTGTCTTATGTCATCCAACTGCTGCTTTAATGTGTTTCATTTATTCATATGTACAGCACTTCAGTGACTGGCTGTTTAAAATGTTTTAAAAATAAAGTTTGATACGTTCAAATAATAACAAATTCACCCATTTTTTAACTATTGAAAATGAGTTAATCTGTGTGCCATAAATTTACTTAAGTTACACTTTTGTTCAGACACAAAGTGAAAACTTTCTTTAGTTAATCAACTGAGGGAATACATGAATAGGTTTAACAAAAAAAATCATTGCATCAAAACAAAAATAGATTTAAAATATGGAGTTATTTATTTTTTAAATTTACCGTTTATTTATAAAGGGTTATATTCATAGTTATTTCTTTTATTAAGGCATTTAAAAATGGTATGTAATATAAAACTTTACAGAGACATTTGATCAAATGGGGCATCTATCTCTGTCCTGGTCAACAGAATCAGAGTGCTTTTTTTAATTGGTACTGTCAAAATATAAATAAACAACCATTAGATGTTAGACTGCAGTGAAGTGGTAAAAGAAAAGAAAAACAACACCAAAACACACAGTGACATACTCTTAAAAAATAAAATAAAATAAAAAAACACACCAAAAACAAACAAATAAAATACAGTAATTTAATTTGTTCTCTGTTATACAGTATATAAAAGAGTCCTTGTGATTCAGTGAGACTAACCTGTATAAATAAAGGTTGAATGAAAGATAATATATAAACACATATAATAATAATAATAATAATAATATAAATCTCAGAAAAAATTATAATAACAAATAATCTCTGAAATTGTGCTGAAATGCATCTTTATTTGATTTATTTCAGTTAAGGGGACCGAGATGGGGTAGAAGTAGGGCAGCCGACCTGGGACCAGAAAGTTGCAAGACCCTCCCCCACCACCACCACCACCACCACCACCATGGTGTCCCTGAGCAAGACACCCAATCCCCAGTTGCTCCCTAGCACCTATAGTTGCCCACTGCTCCACCTGGGTGCATCTCATGTGTGATGGGTTAAAATAAAAAACGATAAGAGGATAACTTTATTGATCCCGCAGGAAATTGTTGTGCCAGAGTTTCAACAAAGGAACATGCACAAGGAATCACACAAGATATAAAAAATAACAGAGAACAAATTAAATAAACAAATAAAAATAATAGAGGCATAAAAATACCAACAACGAAGGTCCAAAACAGGTCAAATGTGGACAGAAACATTAAAGTGTTTATTATAGTGCAGGATTAATTTTATTGTCCTATGGGGGAGGAGTTTAAAAGTCTGATAGCCACAGGCAGGAAGAACTTCCTGTGGCGTTCTGTCAGTCTACGACGGAAGGTGCTGCGGTAAGAGTCAGTGCGGCATGCAGGGGGTGCATGGGTTAAATGCAAATAACTAATTTCGTCATTTTATGGAAACATACAATGATGATAATAACACATAGCACTTTACTTGCTTACTTATACCTCATGATGCTGCAGGTTGACTTCAAGGAAGCACTTCAGGACTTGTTATTCTTGACCTGGGCCAGCAGGGGGCGCTAAACAAGTTATTGTTGTTCTTGGTCCAGGCCAGCAGAGGGCGCCAAGTAAACTCTTGTTGTTCTGGACTGCCGCTGAAGGCTCCACGATGAAGCCTAGTTGTTAGCCTGGTCTTAGCGTTAGCCTTAGAGCTAGAAAGTCCGTGCTAACATCATGTCGTCCGTCGAGTTTGTCTCTTGACACCGAACAAGACGCGATAAAACCCTGGACACTTTAATGTTTTTGACAGAATGATGGAATTTAACCGGGATGTGTCGTTTTCCGCGCTCTGCTGAGCATTTGTGTCTCCGGTCCAGCGGCAACAATAACAACACAGCTGGCTGAAAAGGAGCGGTTAACTGCCCGGAAGGAGGCCGCCGCAGCACCGGGTGGAGATTTAACTTTTTTCTGCTCCAACATCTGCACAACGTAAAGTCTGCAGGCTTAACATACACTGATATTTAAGCGATTTATTTCGGAATGGAGTTGGGAATATGCAAAGAAGAGTGCTTGGCAATATCCTTGAAGTTTTGTTCTAGTTTGCTCATTTGTATTAACAGTGTTTTAAAAGACACGTACATCAGGTTTACTGCTAAACATGGGCAGAGAGTCTATTTTGCAAAATCTGGATAGGAAATTATGCCAAATTGCCCTCTTGCCTTGTTCTAACTGTGAGATTGAAGGCAGATGGAGATTTTACCAGGTTTATTTTGTTTTCAGTGCTCGGTCTGAAATTATTCTGCACAGTAATCTAACACTTAATCCATGTTTTTATCCATGCTCATCCAGTATTTGTCTTTTCTGGCATTAACATACTACAGTTAAGCCCACAAACTTTAATGCAAGTTTGTAATTTAAGTGTGATGATCATTATTTTCCCAGTTAAAGAGACTCAGTGACAACTTTCTGCTCGCATTGATGCTAAAGATACAAATAGGTTTGTTTGCATCAGATAACTGACTTGTCATCCAGTCTGGATGTTTGTGAAACCAGTTCATTGTTCTGGTCAAGCCTGCATTTCTCTATATTCTGGGTTTCTGAATTCTACTTTTGTAAACTAACCCCCAGGCTCAGGTTACTAATATTGATTGAACTCACTTTTTTAAAAATAATAATAATTTGAGTCATTATTTAGCTGCTTTGGCTGCAACAACAACAACAACAACAACAAAAAAACTAAACTTCTTCCTCCTTTGAGTTTAGTTTGCCTCCTGATAATCGCTGCTTTAAACACTTTTCATTATCTGACTTGCTTACTAACTGATTTGTAATGACCGTGGGTCTGTTCAAGTTAATTCTGGAGTAACGGCTGTGGTTGTGACTTTGAAACTTTTTTCTCAAAGTCCATGAAAATTGTTCCTATATTGTGCTGCTCACACCGTAAGAGGTCAGGAGCTGAGGTCTGGCCAGAAGGAGCCCAGACTACTGTCACTAATTGAACGCAGTGGAGTGTTTATGTAAGTATCAGTGAATTCTTGTGTGTTTGTTGTTGGTCAGTGTGTTGAGATGTCACTATTCTGTCTGTGTTGTTGAAACTATGCCCATGAAGGGGTTTATTTGCTGCATTTGCTTTGGCTTTATTTAAATAATATCCAGTGTAGTGGCAGCCGTAGTCAACAGAGGAAGCCGTTTATCTGAAGTGTGTGACCTAGCTAGGAGCTGCCTTATAAGGATATGATTTACTGTCGTCGTAGCCAAAGATATGGCTTTTACCATGCAAATTCTATTTTATTAGAATTGCTTTAAAAGGACTGCACTAGAATATCATAGCACTGACAGTTATGGTACACGGGCAGTAGAAAAGGCAAATATTTCAAGGTTTGGTTGTTTGGTCCCATATATGTTCAGATTCTTAGCTCAGTCAGGGTTGTCCTGATTTTAATCCAGGATCTTTAGCTGAATGAACATGCTCCTTACACAAACACCACCCATGTCGCTACGCAGATAAGCTCTTGGGTATGAAATGGCTGGAAGTCACGTGGACAGGACATTGTTACTGTCCACCCAACAGCTCCAGGGCTTGTTGAGTGAAAGGAGACCTTATGTGTGACGGCAGAGTGGGCGTTTAATCATCAGTGTAGTTTGAGTTGGTTTCACCTCACTGCTGATTATACAGGATCCCTTCACTTCGTTTCGGACTCTAATGAGGCTCACATGAGAAACACAAGCCGCTGGATCAGCTAATTATTAAAACCACACAAACTAAAGCGTGGAACAGTTTTACCAGGGAGCACTACACTACAAGTGTTTCACTTCAGAAATCTTATAACTAATTTTGTTAAAACACAGTCAAATGTGTTGAATGTCTTTTATAAAGTCAGCGATAATTAACTGTTACAGCATGAAACAAACTGTAGATATCTTTACATTAGAACAGCCACGTCAATTATATTTTTTGCTTCACAAAAATATCGACACACAAATATTTTAGAGCTTTTTTTCTGTCAAGCAGCATCTTTTAATCGTTTTAGGCAAAATTTATTGTAAAATAAAATCACAACTACCTATTTTCTTTGTTCTAGTTCTTCTTGTTTTGGGCATTTGATGCTTTTTTTGCCCCACTTCACATTTCTATGCCTTATCTCAGCCCGTACCAATTTAGGGAAATTAAGGAAGTTGTGTAAAAAACGGATTTTATAATCTTATTAACGCCAAAGTATTCATAAATTAAGTCGGATTAAAAAAAAAAATTACAGAAATCATGGAGTTCGATTGACATTTAGAGAGAAGATGTTCTTTCCTGTGGGTTGTTTGACGTCAGTCGTTATCCTGACAGATTCAGGGAACTGACTCTGACACATTTAGTCCCGCAGGCTTGAATCATTTTCCTTTCCTCAGCCATAATCACACCTTTTGTGCAGTGCAGCGACAGTGACCAGAGCGCGGCTTTGACCTCTGCAGTTAGTCAGATAATATTTAGTGGAAGAATAAGACCCTGCCTACATTAACCCACGCCATAAACTTGAAGCTGTTTGCTTTAGCAGTTTAATAACCCAACGTTCTCTGAATATACTCATTGTTTCCTTTGTGGACTTGTGTCATTAACTTTCAGTCAAGTACACTGCATGTTAGTTATTTTTGTCTCATTTTTGCACATTTTTCTTATTTAAGCAACTTGATTGTGGGTTGAACAAACAAACCAAAAAGATTAGCATGTGTGTTTGTATGAGTTTAAAGTACTAATTTAGCATTTTCATTGCCTGCACTTTGACCGCATCTCATATTTTCAACTTTTTTTTTTTGCATGAATAATTTTCTTCATTTACAAATAATACGTATCTTTATATGCTTTGTGCTTTATACTATAAGTGTAAAAACATAAATGACATTAAATGCAGTTTTAATATAAAGTCTGTGCCGTTTCTGTCCAGATTGGGTGTTTTGGCCAACCCTGAGGCTGTGGTGTCTCGTCCAGTGGCCCAGTTGTCCATACCCATTAATGATAAGTTTGTAATTGTGAGAGGTATGTAGTTTATTTTTTTCTGTCATTGTCAAAAGTATTGCTGCATTTCAGTAAAATTAAATGTTCAGAATGTTAAATTACAAGAATCTGCAACTTATTTTGTATGTTATTTATGTTGAGTAGCTGCAGCGTCATATTTTTTCGCCTCTACATGTTACATTTACATAGGATTACGTCTCCGTGTTATAAAAGTTCAGGGAGTATTTTATTACACTTGAAAGGGAATTTTAGAAAATGTTCTCAGAGACGGTTGTGTACCTTGACATAATTTACAACTCTTTATTCATTACCACCACCGACCTTTGAACTGCAGCACAGTTGAATTTATTTCCCGTTTCTTTTTTAGAAGCTGAGGAGGCGCTGCTTATTGACCTCTCTATAGATTGTGAGTATTTAAAAAAACGTTTTTTTGTCTCATTAAGTTAAATATATTGATATGTTATTGTTATTTATTTAAAATTAGGTTTCACGTTTTTATGAGCAACACATAGCATTTGTAGAGCACGTCTGCAGCTGAGCGTCGTAATTTAGACACGTACTCCGCTCATGAGTCGCCACGGCTTCGTGAAAGAATGCTTTGTTGGTTTACTGTTGCGTCACTTTGCCTTGTTTCACTGTATTTTATTATACGTTAGTGAAATCCCATGGTGCCTGACATGCATGTGTGTTTTCCCTGTTTAAGCCTGTGTTAAACTACGAATCAAGGGCGAAAAAGCACCAGAGCTGCTGCTGGAACTTCAGGATGACGACCGGACTCAACTTTTCTTAACCCAAGTGAAAAGTGTTCAGCAACAAGGTAAGACTACACTCTCTGCCTACTTAAAAAAATGGAGTACTGAATTATTGAATCACTCATCTAACATTTATTTGCAAAGGGTGGGTTACTTCGCCTGCTAATCTCCTGTGTATTTCTGCCTCTGCTGGACATGTTTGAACACACCTTTTGACTGCTATTTTTAAACTCCCATGGTAGCTGCTGATCTATATCTATCGGTACTGCCAGAAAGTTTACTTCAGTATAACTTCAATTTTAGTTATGTTATGGCAATGTAACTCTAAACTTTAGTAATAGTTTAAACAAATTAGAAGTTTTTCTTTCTGCGCCTAATTTTTCATTTATTTAATGTATTTAAACAGTCGCACAGGAAAATACTTTTTTGTATCGCACTTGAATGTGGGACGAGTCGGTGGCAGATTTTAAAGGTTCTCTCTTTCATAGCAACCCCAGTGAACACTAGGAAGATGCATGCATTCAAAGAGGAGGAGTGTGTTGTCATTATCTTTGTGATCTTGCATTGTTTGTATTCATACTGACATGCTCCTTACCGTGAGAGCTGCCATTAATTCTGTTCAGCACATCAGTCACATGTTTATGCTATTTTTATATGGACACTAACACAAATATGAAGTCGTATTTTTGTATCACTGCTTTAAGAAAAAAAAAAAAACTTTCATAGAACATTAACTTGGACGCTGCTGTTGAATTAATAGCACTCTATGTAGTGGAGAAAAATGCCATGCTTATTTTCAGTTATAGTAGCCCTATCAGGACATGTAACCCTTGAATGGAATAGTTTTAAGCATTTCAGAACCAATGGTTTAGCCTTTTTTTTTTTTTTTTTTTTTGAGTAAATATGGAAAGACGTACTTGTATTTTTCTTTATATTTTAATAGAAGTACTTGTTTTGTAAGGTCCAATGTGTAGAAATGTGTAGAAACAGAAGTGAAATGAAAAGCAGGAAAGATCCATTCAGTCCGTGGTCTGAAACGAGTCCAAGCTGCTCTCTGTCAACTTTTAACAGGGGTTTTTAAATCTTGGTTCCCACCCTGAGGTCAACATCCTGGTGTGGTATTCTGTTTTGAAAAAATAAAAGTTAACAGACGTAAAAATGTCTTCTTTAACTTGTTCATCCAGTTTAGCAGTTACTACCGTTTGTTTTCATGTACTAATTGATAGTAGTGACAGGAAGAGGTGCTCTCCCTTCGTTTTTTCACAAGGAGCTTCTTCTTACAGGACACAATCTTTTTTTTTTCAATCAATCAACAACATTTTTTATTTTTATATATTTTTTGCAGATTTCTGTTTAGACACCAGGATTCATGTTTACTGATAAAAACTGAAGCTTCTGTAACGTAAATCATTCGCTCCATCTTATAAATTTCTCTAACAATATTCAGCCATTGTTGTATGGAGGGAGCAGATGGCACCAGTTCCTTGTTATAGCTTTTTTACAGGCCATTAACAGCATCTTAATCAAGTACACGTCTTCATTCAAAACACATTTTTTAATGTTTCCACGATACATTATCTTAAAATCTTTTGGTATTGTGTATCCCAAAATAGTTTTGATTGTAGTATTCACATTTCTCTGTTACAAATCTAATTTTGGATACTCCCAGAATATTTGTGTATGGTTTGCTTCCACACATTCTCCAACATGGGAGATGAGATCTGGTTTCTTATTCTTTATCTTGGGTGTTATGAAGATAGGCCTGTCGCAATAAACAATAAATCAATTAATCGCATGATAAATGAAAATTATCGACCTCGTTTTCATTTATCGGTTTTATCATTTCTTCGTGTCTCTCTCTTTCTACTGAAGACACTGGATGACAAAAGGCTCAACTCTGGTACCCTTCACTAGCTATGTTTACATGCGCAGAATTCTTTGACCGGATTGAAATGTGTTCTGTTTGAATAATTCAAATGTATTGTTTACATGGGCACAATCTGTTCATGATGAGCATTTACATGCAGCGGGCTTTGTTCTGAACAGCAGTACTGACATGCGCAGAGTGGTAAACTCTCCTTAAAAACAACACCAAAGAAGAAGTTCTACTTCCGGGTGAACGTAAACAAACCTGAGCACCCAAAATGGACCCGCGACAGGTTTTAATGACAGTGGAGACGTTACAGCACTCCCTGACTGAGCTACAGGTAATACAGATCATTTTGAGCTCTTTCAAAGTTTCTAGTAGAAATGTTGTGTCGCTCACCGACCAGTTTTGCTTCCCTGACATGCTAATATTATTAGCATTAGCCAGGCGGAAATGGCAAAGTCGCACATGCGCTGTCAGGTCAGTTTTTCACGATCAGATAAAAACGAAAAGATCAAGCGTTTACATGCGCACTGATCGGGTTACGGATCGGCGTAAACCACCCGTTTCGTTCTGATCACAAATTATATCGGATCGCACCAAATACACACAAAATAACCCGAACGGAGTGTTTACATGACACACTTTTATTCCGACCGGCCATTTGATCCGGTTACTTATGTCCATGTAAACATACCCACTGACCCCTCCCTTTCGCTTTAAAATCCCTTTTACCCATCCAAAATCATGTTTTTGGACCGTTAAAAGCAGCTAAGCTAAGAAGTTAAGCTACAAGCTAAGCTAACAGGCCGACCTCGGGGAAAAATCCTCCGTCTTGTTGACGCTTCAAAATTCACAGTGGAAACCCGTGCCTTCGTGTAAAATGTTTTTCTCTGCAAAAAGAAGCTGAGAACTTGTTTACTGATTTTTTTTGTTAAAAGTTTTGTGTGAAAAATGCTATGCTAAAGAGCTCAAACCACACCAAGCGTCCGCCATTTTGAGAACTGAAAAAAGGAAGGAGTGACAACCCATGTCACTTTAAGGGGCCTCCCCCCCCATTTTTTTTAAAGAGACACACTGCTCGCTCTCTCACCATCATCCTTCGGTTGAAGCAGTCTTATACTAACATCCGGTGGTTCTTAAATTTGACAATAATTACTAATTATTGTCAAATTTCTAACAGTATTATCGTTTATCGCAATAATTTCTGAGACAATTAATCGCCCAGCAAAATTTGTTATCGTGACAGGCCTAGATGAAGACGCTCGTGAAATTCTTTCACCCAAACTCTCTCCAAAGTTTGTTGTTGTGCTCTGATTTAATTTCAAGTTGTGTTTAATTGTCATAGGCAGGTTAACAGTACAATGAAATGTTCAGGATGAGAAGAATGATTTGACTCGCTAAAAAAAAAAACTAACAAGAAAACACTAAAGCATGCAATAAGGGTAGACAAAAATAAAGTACCAAAAAGTGAAAAAATAATTATAATAATTACAAGGTCCTAAAGAGAGATGGTAAACAACAGCATGGCAGAATATAATGGTGCAGGTAGGATGAATTTGTATGAATAAATATTTCAAGGTAGTAGTATAAGCTAAAATGCACATGATATATATTGTACATTAACATAAACTACACAGGTTGTGTGACAGGTTATTGCACAGGTAGTGAGTTACATTGAGATTGAGTTAGGATTGACAATTATTTATACATATATCCTGCCATTATTCAGATGACATTTCAATTTTGGATTATTTCTCCCAGTTCGTTTTTTTATACATGGTGGATGTTGTTGTGTCCTCCCTCAGAGTTTTATATAATTGTTATTTCCTTGAATTGAATCCCTTTGTAGGATTTAATCACCCAACTAAGGAAACCGTATGATGTTGGAGAGCTTTGTATTTCCCTCAAAAAATACTCTCTGAGCTGCAAATATTGAAAGAAGTCAATTTTCTCCAGTTTATATTTTCATCTTAATTCTTCAAAACGCAGGCTTTTTAAAGTTTTAAGTAACAAATTGTTTTAAGATTATGTGGATTGTTGTGATTTCTTTTGGCACTTCTGTTTGATGTTTTCAGTTGCATCCAAACTTCTTAAGCCTAAAGCAACACCTCCAGGAGCACCAGCCCCTGTACCACCCAAAGGAGCACTCACTATGGGTGGTGGAGAAAATCCAGCCAACACTGGAGGTGCACCGCAAGCTGTCAACAACAGCACTGCAACAAATCATAATCAAACTGGTAATGTAAAGATAAAATGGGTTTCAACTGGAAAAACAAACACCCATTTTTAAAAGTACTTTATTTTATGTAGCCTGACACCATTTATCCTTTTCTTTTTACAGATCCAGTACAAATGCTTGCAGATTTTGGATTTGAGCCGAACGTCAACAACGCTCTCAAAGTGGAAGAGAAGAAAAATCAACAGAATCGCTTTGTTGCCTCCAGGGAGCCACCTCCCATTCCCTCTCTACCTCCTCGCAAAGCCTCCATCCCGCCATCAAGTCCTCTTCCTCCTCCACCCATTCAGAAAGACAAACCTGTCTCTGTACAGGCCAAAGGCAGCTCTGCAGTAACTAGCACTAAGCCAGAGTAAGATATCCAGAAAAAGCTGGCTTTGTTAACATCCCTGTAATATGCATTAAAATGAGTTTGAAGTTAAAGTTAAAGTCAAATGAGCTCAGATTTGTAGTTTGCATTCTGTTTGAAATAATACTTGTTAAAACATCCCACTTATATCATTCCAGTAGTTCAAGATCAGGATATGACAACATGAACCAGCCTTGGTGTGAAAGTCCCACCACAAAGACTATGTTATCCAGTCCATCAGGACAAAGAGAATACTTTATTAAACACCGCCTGGGAAAGAAGGAAAAAGAGTATGTGGATATCAAACACTTCAGGTAAGACGAGCTTTTTTATGATGTTTTAAATGGTAAAATTTTCCACAAATTACATAGGGCCTTTTTAACCTGTCCAGGTTCTGCAAAATACTAATGAGTTTCTCATTCACCCATTCATACACACACTCATACAGGGCTTTCATTTTTTATATTTTTACACTTTTATATACAACACTTATTTTATATTTTCACTTGTACACCAATAAGCATATCCGTGGGCAATGGGGGGTACAGTGTCTTGCCCACGAACACTTTGGCATGCTGCAGGGACTGGGGATTGAACCCTAGGAGGTTGGTAAAGGTGGGCTGGACCAAACTGAGAGATAAATATAGAAACTGTGCTGAACTGGTACAATTTCCAGATGGGTTGGTATCAAAGTGCCCATAAACTGCATGACAAACACTGCAGCTGTCTGTTTTTATTAAGCATGGATGTCTGGTAGTGCTGACGAAGCTTCTGACTTGTGAGTGTGTTTGTTTTGGCCTAACTCTCTTAAGTGTGACTCGACCCAATATAATCAGAAAGCAGCTTAATATGTAGGGCTTTATTCTTTCTGCAGCATAGAAAATGTAGAGGGGATCATGAAGTTTGACATTAAACATAGAATCAATATAAAACATGGATTGTGATGTAATAATTTGGATTCTTCTCAGGAATCTGAGCACTTTACCACAATGTTCACAATAAATGACCAAGTGTTTTGGCTGCTGCTGCCTCTTCTGTTTGTGTGATGCGATGGGAGACAGGGGAGCACATTTCAAAGAGTCGAAACAAAGAGGCCAGCTGCCGGAGCCCAGAAATAACATGTGCCACAAACCACAAAATTTATAGTGGAACACTTTCCAAACATCTAAGATTTGGAAGAGCAAACTCTTTGTAAGTTTGCGACTCTGTAAAGTTTGTTGACGTATTTGACTGGAACTAAAACAAAATCTACAAGGAGCTGAATAATTCATCCATTATCTTTACTTGCTTCTTCCTTTTCGGGTCACGGGGGTCACTGGTGCCCATGTCCAGCCATCACTGTGCAACAGGCAGGGGACACCCAGGACGAGTCTCAAGTCATTATAATAAAACAACAGAATAAAGCTAACATTAGCCTTTTTAAAGACTTTGTGGAAGAAGGTGTTTTTTTATATTGGCTGCTCCCTTCTGCAGGAGTTGTGAATGAGCTCGCATGAAAGATGTGGCAATTGTTTAATGTCGGGCGTCCTTCCTGACGCAACCTTGGCTCGAACTCGTAGCCTCAAGATTACAAGACTATGGCACTGACAGACAGAGCTACCACAGCAATAGCTGTGTGGTAGAAGCTGTCTTCTATAAAATTAAATGAACTATGTTTTAGAAGAAGCTTTGCCAGAACACACTTGCAGTCTCGGTCTATTAAATTATGACAGAATAACTCTTACAAGTGTAACAATGTTTAAGTCTTGCTTGTGCTTCCAGTTCAAAACTCCACATGTTGTTTTTCAGTTTCTTTATAGGTACATGGAACGTTAATGGCCAGTCTCCAGACAGCAGCCTTCACCCTTGGCTTTGCTGTGACACCGAAGCTCCTGATATTTTTGCCATCGGGTCAGTAAGAGTCGAGGCTTTCTCTGACCCTGAAATAACGCCTTGCTTACTCTCATAGTTGAATAACTTGCAATATGGTTGTCTGATTTTGGATTTTAGTTTTCAAGAGCTAGACCTGAGCACAGAGGCTTTCTTCTACATGGACTCGTCCAAAGAGCAGCTGTGGATTGAAGCTGTGGAGAGGAGCTTGCATGCAAAAAGCATGTACAGGAGGGTGAGTACAATAAATACAATTAATGTGGCTAGTTGCATAAAAATTAGAATGTGCAAGCACATTAAAATGTATGGCATTTGTGATAGATATTTTGGAAATGACAATGGAATAAGCACAATGGAAAACTGTTTTATAGATTCGGACCATACGACTTGTTGGGATGATGCTTGTGGTCTACGCCAAGAAGATTCATAAGAAATACATAAGTGAAGTGGCTGCAGAGCATGTGGGGACAGGCATCATGGGAAAAATGGTACATTTTCACTGAACTTGGACTTTATTCTCTCTCTTCAAGTGCTAAAGGATAACAATGAAATGCTGCCTTTTAGAAATAATCATTGTTTAGTATAACTTTAAACCTATGAATCAAATAAAACTGTAAAATATCTCCTTTTTTATTTGTTTTTACTAGCAGACATGTACAGTATAATGATGTTCACGTAAAGTCCTGTTTATTTGTTTCAGGGGAACAAAGGAGGTGTGGCCGTGAGGTTTGTTTTCTATAACACCAGCTTCTGCTTCGTCAACTCCCATCTAGCTGCACATGTGGAAGACTTTGAACGCCGTAACCAGGACTATAGAGACATATGTGCTCGTATGACTTTCCACCTGCTGGATCAACCCCCTCTGAGTATCGTCAAGCACGAGTGAGTTTTTTGATTAAAAGCCACATTGAGCACTGTTTGGAAAAAAAAAACACATTCAGTCTTGTTTGTTAGGTTTCTGTTATTATCTGTCACTTTGAAAGCCAGATGATCATGTTATTGCTCCCAAAACAATAACTGAATATGCATCTGCAACTAATTAACTTTTGGAGTCAATCCAAGACAAGATGGTCGCCACAACCATTTGACTTTAGCAAACGTAATAATGGCTACAACTCATTTTGTCACACTCATTTTTACTGATATTGAGCTAAAGTGTAGTGTGGCAGTACATGAGCGTCATTCACAACACATCCTTTGAGCACTGACTGCAAAATGTTTGTTTTTAAAGCTTTGGCATTACAAGGCGGCAGACAATATGCATTATTTTACAGAACACGGCTTTCATTAAGTTTGAGGGTGTTTTTACTATTGCTGCTGATGATCTTGACTTTAACTATTCAAGAATTTAAGCCAGTAAGAATGAACAAATTCACTATAATTAAAAAAAAATCTTTTTTGTTTTAGTGTGGTGATTTGGCTCGGGGACCTAAACTATCGTCTCTTCCAGTACGAAGCAGCTGTGGTCAAACAATTCATTGCTCAGAAAGCCTTGAAGAAGCTACAGGAGAGTGATCAGGTGATGGACCACCTCAGTGTTTCCTACTGGTTTTGCAGCTGATTAAATTAGTACAAACCAACTGAATGACACATGAAAAAATGGTCGTATATCATTTAATTAAATAAATTATATAGACCTAAAATTAAATATACAAGTGAGAAATAAAAGTGAGAGGTTTTTAATCAGCGACTAAATGTGTGCTTCATGTCAGAATGAGTTAAAGCAGATTAATGCTCTGTTAAAGAGATGGTCTTGGTGGAAGAGAGCAGTAGACACATTTGATGTTTGGTTATTTGGACAGGAGGAAGTTCTGAAAAATGTTTCAGCTTTTTTTTAAAATTAAATGAACATTTAAAATTTTGTCTCTTTCATTGTGCAGCTCAACATTCAGAGGCAAACAAAAAGAGCCTTCACTGACTTCAAGGAGGGAGAAATTACCTTTGTTCCCACCTACAAATATGACACAAAAACAGACCAGTGGGACTCGAGGTGAAGCCTTATTTCTTTATTTTTATCTAGTTTTATTTTTTTAAAAATTAACAAACATATTCTGGGGTTTAATTTCTTTTTCCAAATTGATTTGTGTGACCTTTCAAGATGAATGTTGTCATATAAATGAGATATAGACCCATTTTATTATATATTTTGTAAGTTTGGGTTCAGTTTGATAGATCAGTTAAATCATTAAAGCCTGTGATGTCTGGTTCACCAATAAAAGGGTATAAAAAAGACTAGTTTCAGTAATGAATTGTGAAACTACTGTTTGGGGCAGCCATATTGGCTGATTATGAAAGTGCCTTTTTCCTCCTTTAGCTTTTTTTCATACTAGATGTTTGCGATTTGTTTGAAACAGAGACAGAAAGGCAACACCAGGTGGAGGATTAAACCCCCAATTTTAGATTCAGTCTGATTTATGTGCTACAGATTAAACACAGTTCTCACTTTTCATCTGTGGAGTTCTTCTTTTCCTTTGAAGACTTTTTGCTTGTTCAAACATGCTCCACAGCCTCTTCGCTACACAAATACAAAGTTAGCTGTAGTGTGCTTGTGCATGTGTGTTTTATGTGCATGCCCTGATCTTTTCCTCGAAATTATCTGTTTCCTGCAGTGGGAAATGCCGAGTCCCAGCTTGGTGTGACAGAATCCTGTGGAGGGGCAACAGTGTTGAGCAACTTAAGTATCGGAGTCACATGGAAATGAAAACAAGTGACCACAAGCCTGTCAGCGCCCTCTTTAAGATAGGGGTAAGAAGCCAAGAAAACTTAATAAAACATCCTAGACTGACTCGTTTAGGCTAAAAAATACAAGCTAATGTTTTTAATTTAAGCTGTATAGTTTTGATGCAAACACGCTAAGAACATTATGATTAAAAATGATAAATCAACATTTCTATGAAGTTGACATGTGTTTGTGATGCAGGTGAAAGTCCCGGATGAGCAGCGCCGCAAAAAGGTGTTTGAGGAGATTGTTCGAGCCATGGACAGAATGGAGAACGACTTCCTTCCATCTGTGTCTCTGACCAGCATAACCGTAATAATCCTGAAAAACGTTTCCTTATTCCTTAGTCTGTGACATCAAATCAACAAATCTCTAAAACCTAGTTGTTACAGAGAATTTCTGTTTCAAAATCGCCTCCAGCGATGTTACAGAGAAGCTGTGATTTGTTTAGCATCTATTTGTTTGTTCTGCAGTTTGCATTTCTGGATGTAAAGTTCAGGCAGCTTCAGAAGGAGCGCTTCCTGATCAAAAATGATGGGCAGGTACCCTGTCACTTCGCCTTCATCCCCAAACTCAACGACGCACAGTACTGCAAGTCTTGGCTGCGTGCCGAGCCCAGCGATGGATTCTTAGAGCCCAGTAAGTTATTTCAGTCCTTATTTTGTATTATTTGGTTGTTTTTTTCCCCAAAAAATTGTTCAATTTGCTTTAAAATTTTTTTTTCAAAAAGTATATTTGTATGCAGTACTTGATAAAGTATACAATGTAAATAAAAATCTAACATAAAACAAACAAGTGCCCTTGCAGTCTCTAGATTTGAGCAGTTCAGAATTTGATCTTCTGTCTCCAACTTTTTGATATATGAAATTAAGGGTTTCCAAATTATTTCAAATGTGTCCATCTTGCCCTTCAATATGTAAGTAATCCTTTCTAGTGGAAGAGTTGATGTCATTTGACGTAGCCACTGATTTACTGTTGGTCTGTGGGACTTCTTCCAGTGTAGATACATAGTTTAGCCATCAGTAGTCCTATATCCAGGAGAATCCATTCACTCTTCATATAATTGTGCCTCTCAGGGTAGAGTCCGAGCAAAAATAACTTAGGATCCATAATAAAACATTTACTAATATTTTTTCCATCACCAGTTTGACCTCTTCCCAAAAAAGTGTTGTTTTTTCACAATACCACATACCAGTTTGTACTAATGTACCTCTCTGCTTTATACATTTTGAGCACACATCAGTTTTATCGCCGTTATATCTATTTATATCTACAGGTGTTCTACATGCGCGTATTATATGTTTTTAATGAATGAAATCCACAGATCCATCTCATTCATGCATTTTTTTTACATGCATTGAAACATACTTTAACATATTTTTCACTGAAACGTAATAATTTGAATTTAATCTGAATTGCGCCGCTCAAGGTGGCTGCATGTTGGAGTAGCTCTCTTACATTCATTCTGAGATTTTGCTTTTGAAAACTTTACTCTTTTGTTCTGCATGTAAATTGATTTTTTTATTTTTTTTTGGATGATTACTTCCTCTGGTATCAGATGCTGTGCTGCTGGAAGGATTTTTACTGAAACTTTTTTTACTTTTGGACATTTGTTATGATGCGTAACCATAACAACAAGGTGGTGTTCTACTATTGGGAGCTGCTAACCTATTAAAAGCTCAAATAATACCTCAACTACAGCCCCCAAATCCCAAAGGTGTTGAAAAGAAGGTGCCGTGGATGCATTCCTGTCTACCTGGAGGCAATGCTCGAGTGCCTGACTGCTGAGATCTTGGAGGTGGCGGGAAACGCGGCTCGTGACAGCGGGAGGACCAAGATCGTCCCCCGACACCGGCAGTTAGGTTTGATGTGGGACGGACTGCTACAAGAGATCCTTCCTGCCCAAAGCCATCAGCATCTATAACAACTCTAATGAAACCAAGATGAGCTACAACAACAATTAATTTCCCTTTGGGATTAATAAAGTATTTTTGAATTGAATTGAATTGAATTGAATTGAATATTGATTTGGTTTGCATTGATCTCAAGCTTCTCGTCTTCCTAAACAGATGAGACCCTGGAGATCTATCTGGAGGTGTACGTCAGTAAAGACTCAGTCACGCTGCTGAACTCTGGAGAAGACGCCATAGAAGATATTCTGGTGCTTCATTTGGACCGTGGCAAGGACTACTTCATCACCATCACTGGCAACTACCTGCCCAGCTGCTTTGGCACGTCGCTGGAGACTCTGTGCCGCATGAAGAAGCCAATCAGAGAGGTCCCCGTTGAAAAGCTCTGCGACCTGGTAAGGATAAGGGTCTTAAAAGATAAACGCTGTCAAAACAGGATGAATGAGTGTATTTGCCTCAAATCAGTTGAAACGGATCAACATGGAGCTGTTTAAGCACAGATCATCTTTACTCTGTGTATTCTCACAGCTGCCTGAGCAGGGACACATGAGGGATTGTTCTTTTTCACAGTCACACATAAAATCTATGTTTAGAGGGATTAAATGTCTCGGCTTGAATATTTCTGGCCATGAAGGACCAAAACAAGGAAGTAGATAAAACATAGGAAGGGAGCACCTAAAGAACAAGGAAGCCTGACTCAGTCTGTTGTATTAATAAAGTTCTCTTCACACGATCTTCAGCTTCTTTTGACTCTTATCTGACTTGAACATATTTGACTTGTAATTCTTTTATTTCTACTTAAACAAATCATTTATCATGCTGGGTTGATCATTTTGAATATCTATCTACTCTTATTCTGTTTTCATACGTGGTGTTATCTTTCTTCTCTGTGATTTTCTTTCATCCCTTCTTGCCCTCATCATTCCTTTCCACTTCTTCGCTGTGGTTGCGGGCTGACTTCTTGTTCAGGGAGAGGACAGCTTCATGGAAAAGGTAAAATATTAACAGACGGAGTTGCTTTCAGACAATATTATCCCAGATATGCGACTTGTGACGAAGCACTTTCTTTATGTCACTAATATTGATCTTTTTTCATTGATGATGCCAAATGAAAAAGCATAATTGATATTCTTGGAATCAGTAATGCCAGGATTTCTGTAACAAATCTTGGCGTTTCCAGAAACATGGAAAGCTCTCTAAAGTTAAAATAGAAAACAACACCTTGATTTAAATGACACAGGTACAAAACAAACTTTTTATTATCTTGCCTGATCCACTCTGTTGTATTTAGTAAAAATATATTGAGACATTTATGCCAGTAACACAGTTTATCGTGGCGTTTCATCCGCAGCAGTTTGAGAGTCGATGATAACAGTTCTGATGAATGTGTCCATCTTTTCTAAATTTTAAACTTTAGCTCCTCTGTAGGCCGACCGTCACCTCAGGGATCAGATTTCTTGCACACCTTAGGGTGTTTCCAGTCTGAGATTTATGCACGTATACTTCTGAAGACTGAATCTTTTAACCCAAATAAATGTGTCTAGATTTTGATAAAGGTTTTTGCAAGTTTGCATCAAGAAAAACACATTTTTAATAAATCAGTCTTTTTAATAGGATGGATTAATTAAAATGTTTGCTCAGTGTTGTTGCCTGTGACCCACACTTGCTTAAATAAAGTATTTGGCCTTTTATTACTCGATCCTGACATCCTCACCAGTTAGTCTGCTGATGTAGAAACTAAAAACAAAGTTACTTTAATAATTTATAAGCTTTTTTTTGCTTCTCTTTTTTGTAGCTGGGATCAGATTCTAGATGTAAATTATTTTAAATTCAATAAAGTTGGTAACGGAGAACACTGAAAATCTTCCAGTGTTGGATACATCGATTTTCTAAACGTTGACATGAGCAGTCAAAGTGAACCCAGTCTGAGTTGATTATTTATGCCACATTTTAAGATAAACTAAAACAGTTTATTATCAATATGCCTCCACATTAGTACAGTAATGTTATTGATGAATGTAAATGTATTGTCTACAATATAAATGCCATTATAAAGCACTGTAGAAGCTTGGTGTTTTATAGTTTTATATAGTTTTATTTACACTAATAGCATCACTTTAACTACTTAATCTGTAGTTTTCCATTTCTTCATGAGCAGCTTCAGTAGCTGTGGTTATTTTTGGACCTCTGTCTGAGTCCGAAGGATCCACTTGCAGAGACACCAAGAACTTGATCTCCAGCTTAGTAAAATAGTTAGCCGGCTCGCTTTCAAGCCTCAGGATAAGAAAAAGTCCAGATGTGTCATATGGAGCTTTTTCAATACATTTTTTACACTTTAATTCATTTAAATCTTGTGCATTTTCAGTGATGTAAAATTCTTCCAATTTATGCCTAATTAGGAAAGGTCTAAGGTGAACTTCATGCTGGTGGATGGGGCAGGTCCTGAGGACAAACCTCTAAAGATCCCCAAAGAGGTGTGGATCCTGGTCAACCACCTCTTCACCAAGTCCTGTGACCAAGTAAGACTTAATAAATGCCTAATGAATAATGGATGTTGATTAAATTAAAATGGTCAAACCATAAAAACGAGACCTGCAGCTCATTGGATCCTTCTCCTTTGTATACAGCCATTCAAATAAACTATTTTGTTTTAAAAGAAAAACACGAGTATAAAACATGTACCGGTAATAATATAAAGGATAAACTCAAACACTCTGAGATCTACACTGAGTCACCTGTCTGATTTTACAGACTCAATCTTTTATCATTGAATGTTAAAGGTCTGGATTATGATATAATATATATAATCTGTCCACTGAGTTGCTCCTGATTAAACTTGAACTAGATTAAATTCTTGTCTCCTAGGAGGACCTGTTCCAGACACCAGGATTACAGGAGGAGCTTCAGAGTATCATCGACTGTCTGGACACCAGCATCCCAGATTACCTACGTATCCTCCAAAACTCATCCAGAATTTTATTACATCTTGATGTCAGAGAGTAGTTTTATTCAAAAACATGTCAGACACGTTTGTTAGTTCTTTCATGGATCGTGCAGGTGATTTATTTGGAAATTAAATTGAAATAAACAAAGATAAAATATGTAGTGACCTGTAAGCTAAATAAACGGTTGACAATAAGTTATTTTTACTGCTTCCTTTGAGACAAAAACAGTTTTAGTAAACTGTTAAAATGTTGGACTTCGGTTTCTCAGGATTACACTTTCAGGCATCAAATAAAACCACCCAGAAAGTTGAAAAAACAAGTAACATGGACTATATTTTCCTCGATACAACTAAAACACATCTGCTGATTTCTACAAAGATGTCTGATCAGCAACATTCAACGACCTTTAACTCATGAAGTAGAAATAAATACTTCAGCACACCTAATTTGCTTAAGTGAACCACAGATATCAGTGAAAAATGCAGCAACTGCATGCTTGAAATTATATTTTGGTTCCCTAAGGAAAAAAAAACCTTAATTAAAAACCTCACTAAATGTTAACAAATACAAAAAATATTTGGAGAGAAACGGATTTAAAGCTGTTAAAATGAAACAAACTTTAATGCTCATTGCAGAAACTGTAAAATCCAGTGAATATTCTCACTCCGTGAACGGTTGTACTTCCCTAACGTGTGATGTAGCTGGCTGTAACCACTCTGTAGCTGAGGCTCTGCTGATCTTCCTGGAGGCCCTGCCGGAGCCTGTTGTGTGTTATGAACTCTACCAACGGTGCCTAGACTGTTCTCATGACAGCCGCCTCTGCAAACAGGTCTAGTGATCCCAAAACCTTTTATAGACACAAATGATTCAAACTGAATGTGTCAAAATAGCCAAAAGTGCAGTATTGGAGTGATTTATGTAAAATATGATCGATCTCTGTGTTTACCAGCTGGTCACCCAGTTGCCCCGAGCTCACCGCAACGTGTTTCGCTACCTGATGGCCTTCTTGAAAGAACTTCTGAAACACTCTCACAATAACAACCTAACGGCTAACCTCGTAGGTAAGAGTCGAACCATTTTAATTTTTTAGTTCATGTACTGCAGAGTGGGTCAAAGGTTTATTAAATCAGTCTTTAAAGTTGTATCAATATTTTTACTGGTGTAGGCCAGGGGTCTGCAACCTGTGGCTCTCGGGCCACATGCGGCTCTTTAGGCTCTCATCTGTGGCCCTTTGAAGCTTTGACCAAAACTAACGTGATATTTAATTTTATTTATCATTTTTATACCCACAACTGAAAATTGCTAGTTTTGCAGCTGAAAATGCAGTTTTCTGTAAATTTGTGAAGGATGCTACGAAGACAAGGAGAGAAATGTGTTGATTACATTTAGCTGCTTAATTTATTCTAACTCCAGGCTTGCAGTGGGATCTTTCTCAAAAAAAATAAATAAATAAATAAATAAATAAAATCATAACAAAATCAAAAACATGTCCAGCAAAGTGCCTGATTTTTCTGTACATTTGAAATTTATGTTTTATTACTTTAAATTGTTATACTTAATTTTGACTCGCATAAACCTGCAGAGACTTGGTATAAACAACCCCCCCCCCCCCCCACACACACACACACACTTTTTGTCTTCCTTTTACTCTAAAATGTAAAAACATCAATAAATTAAAAAATTTATTATATATTTTTAGTTTTATAATGTCACCCCAACTGGCCAGAAAAGCCCTCCTCCAGCAGCCTTTAAATGGCCCATGGGCCACCAGTTGATAAGCAGGTTTTGTGGCTTCAGACACACAGTATTTAGTGAATGAAGTGGCAGATATGATTCTTTTGATCAAAACGTTTGCAGACCCCTGGTGTAGGCTAATACAGTTAAGAATATTTTTATATAGAAGTCTTGTTTTATTTATTTATGCGGTATTGAAATGAAAATCCCAAACTCATTCTACAAATAATCTTTTATTTTAGCTACCCTCTTTGCCAGCCTCCTCATTCGACCGCCTCCCAACTTGGTGGGCAGGCAGACGTCGCACGACCGACAGAAAGCCATCAACTTTATTCTGGGTTTCCTCATGGCCGGAGATGAGGAGTAACTGAGGCTGAGGATTCCTCACCTGGACCCGTATCACACTGTGTAATGCTCTGCTTTGTTGTTCTGTTACCTGCTGGAGACCAGTGCAGCCATGTTTTACCCTCTCTGGCATCAGAGGTACCCCAGACTTTAATTTGAACTTACAGCAGGTGTCATATCTTCAGTTTTTACACGGATCGACTCGTCGCTGGATGTGGAAGCTTTTGGAAGAAGTTTGAACTGATGCTTTTGCACTTTTGTCTTGACCTAAAGGATGTGTGCTGCCTCCTCGCTGTCAGCTGACGCTTCTTGTTGTAGGTGCTCATGCCAAAATAACTCCTGAATGGTGAGAGGCACGGATGTAAAAACACTACGAGTCCATGACGGCTAAAATAAAGATTTAGTTACACTAAAGATGATAAGTACGTTGAATAATATGTGTACAAGTATACAGTTCAAAGCCTCAAGTAGTTTAAAATGGAATTATTAGAAAGTTCTCTAAGAATTTTTGATTTAGATTAATCATGACAATCATTTGTTGCTGTACTTTAGCTAAAGAGACCAATAAATTACCTTTGAGATTTATTAGTTAACAAATCTGTAGTATTTTAACTGCTATTTATATATATTTTCCTCCATGTTTAACATATATTTTCTTTTTTATTGCCGTTTAATTTTGTACCTGCGTTAAAACAAGTTTTTTTAAATCACATTCATACAGGAAACAGTCCTTTGTGAATGTTTGCAGTGGTTTGTCAAACTCCTTTGAGGTATTATGGAAGTCTGTTAAAACCCGTTTCCTGGTTGATCAGATCCACTCTTGGAGGTTTGTGACGTCTCAAATGATGTAAATAGTGACAGTTTTCTGTTCTGTAGGTGTTTCTGTATGGTGGTGCAACTCTGTGATGGTGTCTACAGTTTGTCTGCCATGATGGCGGTTCTGTTTGTTTACATGCTCTTTCCACTCGTGCTCCATCTGAAAATACTACTTCATTTTACACCTTTGTGAAGCCGTGATACTGTCTGAGTAAAGCACTTCTAAGTGCTGCAACATTTTTTTAGGAGAAAATTGGACGAGGTTTAACGACCCGTTCTTCAGTTCGTCTTTTCTCGGATGTGCCAGAGAGGATAATTTTTTTGCACTTGTTTTGCGAAACGCACGTGGTTAAAGAAATAAGGCAGTTTCCTGCTGAGGTTACTGGATGTTTCCTGTCAGCAGACGTCAGGATTAGTTTTCACAATCGTGGTACTCGATGTTCCTTGCTTGGTATCTTTAATTGAATCCAGAAAACCCAATAATGTTTGATTTCAGATTATTAGGAGAATTTAGAAAATACCTTCTGGGCTTGTTTTTGTTTACTTGCAGTCAACTTTCACACTTTCTCTTACCGAAGTTAAGATTTGCCAAAAAGGTGACTTGAGCTTGTAAATCCTGATTAAAACGCGCACGAGCAAAACATTTTCTTTACAAACACAACTCTCACGAGAAACAAAAGTACAAACCGTTTCAGTCGTAGTAATTGATGTCATGGTTTGATTTCAGTCATAAAGTTAAGGTACATTTGGAAGTACACAATGAAACATGTTTTCAACTTTACAGATTTTTTTTTGGTACTTTTAATTTATTTAAAAAGAAATAAAACTGTACAAAGCCACCACGTGCTTCATTTTAACTCATTTTTATGGCAGCTGTTTGGTAGATGACGTCGTTTACTCCTCAGGTTCTTGTGAAATCCTCATCGGCTGATGTTTGAGCTATTGTTGGCGGGCTTCACCTCAGTGCCACATTCTCACTCCCTGATTATAAAACCCGCCTCACAGCTGCTGCCTCTGTTTCCCTCGTATCGTTGGGTTTAATTCCGAATTGATCCAACATCATGGCCATGCTCAGAGTCTCTTCTTACCGCAAAATGTTTGAGGACGACAGGTGGAGTCGAAGTGGAGGGTTGAGTGCGGCGTGTGCAGGACAGTACCGGGCCTCTGTCAGGTCAGTGTGGATCACACATTTTTGAATTATTAGGATGTTTTTAACCCAAATCAAACATAAAGGAGTTGAGCTTATAGCTCAGTTTAGCTGTTCTTAAATAGTTTTGCTTGAATACTATCGGTATCTAAACAGTGATGTTCTTTCTCTTAGACCAGACATTTTGTTAAAACACACCAGAAGAAAATTAGAGAAGTGTATTGCTGAAGAACTTGCTGAAAATCAGCTGAACTTAGTTTAAAATGTGCTGAAATGGATGAACATGCCTTAGCAGAATAAAGCCGGAAGAACACATTTGCAGAATTTGTTTAAAATAAGAAGAAATAAGCACAAAAATTAATAAATTGCCTTAAAAAAAAGCTGAAATTGGCAAAAGTAGCTGAAAAGGCAGAAAGAAGCTTAAATTAACCAGAACGAAGTTGAGAGAGCACAATTGAGCCCAATTACTGGTAGGTCTAATGAAGCAGAAATGGGCACCAAAAAATGGAAATTACCTGAAAAAAGCAGAATAGTAGCTAAACAACCAGAAAGAAGTTTAAATTACCAGAATGAAGTAGAGCACAATTTTGCTGAAGTACTGGTAGGCTGAAAAAAAGTTTAAATGAGTGCAACAAATGTGGAATCAGCAGGAAAAGCTCAAATTGGCATAAAACGGCTAAATTGTAGCTGAAATAACAAATAGTTGAAACTTTCAGAAATAAGCTGAAAGGATCATAACTAGCTGAAATAAAATAAGTGCAAAATTGTAAGCAGAATAAAGCAGGAGCACAAAACAGCTGAAAGTAGTAGAATTTTTATTTTATTTTGTTTAATTTGCACAAGGAAACTGAAAGAAGCCAACACCGGAACAAAACGTGAAAGGAGCAGTAAAAGGTTGTAAACGGATCTAAAGATTTGAAGGTTGTATTTGAAGCTCAATTGATTTCCTATACGAAAAAAAATTGTCAGAAAAGGCCAAATATTTCAAAAAGCTAAAGTTGCACCAGTACCAAAAGTCATAGCGCCCTTCTGAAACAGCTGAACGTTTTGATAGATGATTTGCTGAAATTGCACAAAAATTGGGGAATGAGCAAGATGCTGAAAAATGTTCAGAAGAAAAATGGATCACAATAGTGTGAATGCTTCATAAACATTCATGCAGCTGTTTTAGAAAAGTATTTGAAAGTCCTTGTGTGTTATCACTGTGGGACAATAGTCCTAAATGTAAGTCATCGATACTCATCAGGAACTTGAAATATGAGCACGCAGGAAAATATGAGTGCCTTTTGTTGTCGGCATGCCACGTAGGACACAAATGAAGAATGCTACTGGAAGTTTCTTCTCATTAATGTTTTACTGTGTATGCAGGTAAACGTTAGTATTCAGCTCGATTTTGTTGTTTCCTTACAGAGGTGCAGCTTCAGACAGGTGTGGTTGCGAGCAGTTGAACTTCGAAGCTGCCGAGGCTCTGAACAAAGAGGGTTTGCAGCGGTTTGTCCAGGAGCGCACCTCTATAGCTGCCCTCAACGACCGCCTGGTTAAACTCATTGAACTGGTGAGGAAAACCCTGTCAGCGGTGCAAAGAACACGTCAACGCTGTGTATTCCCTTTCGGTGCCATGCCTTGTTAAATCTGTGTCTTCAGGCCCATCGTTTGGAAGAGGAGAACGATTGTCTGGAACGTCAGATCGCAGAGGAGAAGTTGAACAGTATTTCCTTCAGCATCACCTCGGCTGCAGAGAAACCTGACTACAGTTTGGAAGCAGTGGTGGGAAAACTGCGTAAACAGAAGGTAGAGTTCTGCTTGGCGTGTCAGCTGCATGTTTCTCAGTATGATGGCATGACTAAAGAGGGATTTCTCAGTCCATACGCATCTCTTTTCCTTCTCTAGTTCAGTTTGCGTAGCGACTGATGATCTGTTATCTTCACTGTGTCTGACTGCAGGATGAGATTCTTCTGGACACAAAGGAACTAAAAGAAGAGCTTGAACATTTGTTGAGAGAGTATGAGAAGGCCGCACATCAAAGGATCCTCATCCAGCAGGATCAGCAAGATGTTTCAGAGGTAACATTTGTCTTCTGCTCTGGGTTTATGTTTTATCTTCCTTTAAATGGCTTCTTTTCTATCTAAAATGTATTTATCTAAAGTTTAACCACAAACGGTCACTGTGGACATGACATTAGTGTTACTTTCCTGGCATCTTATAAAACCCTGATCCAAATTAATCTAACGCCAACACTTCCTTATAACTGACTTGAAAACTTAGCAGCACATATGTAAACATAACCAGGGATAAACAAGTTATCAGGCGCCTTTTTAGTTGTACTTCTGCTGGTAGGTTAGTGTCGTGGGAAAAAGATGAGGCAGAAGGAAAACCAGCTTGTTGATCTTAACCATTCTGTTTTACAAAGAAATGTCGAGCAGATACATCCCAGGGATGAGACGGAGCTGAGCGGAAGAAACTCTAAGCTCAGATTGTCAGAGTGATCGTTTGAACAAAGCTTATCAGTAAAACACAACACCACCATCAGGTTAGGTACAACTGGAAGGCGGTGTCACTTTTTAGAGAGCAGCACGACCCGACACTGAACTGTGAACAGATCCAGAACAATCTGTTACACCTGATGAGGACATCTCAGAGCCTCTCAGTGTCTTATCAGTGAATCTTATTTTTCCATTACAGTAAGTAAAAATACCTTTATCTGCTTTCATCTAATGGAGTTTCAATGACTTATGTCCTTTTGTAGAAGTTATGGCTGCGGTTTCGTGACTCATTTACTCGATATGCAGCCTTGTATCATCAGTAGATGGAAGGCTGACGTTTCTTGGAGGCAGTTTTTTATGATTTACAGTACAGTAGTCCCTCGTTTACCACGGGGAATCCATACCCTGAAGCCCCATGATAAGTGTATGTGTATATATATATATATATATATGTATATATATATATATATGTATATATATATATGTATATATATATATATATGTATATATATATATACATATATATAATTTTTTTTTTTCTTTTTTTTCTGGAGACAAAAATGTATTTGCACGCTGCAGTTACATCAGCCCTTAAAACTAAAGACATTAAAAAGAAAAATAATTTGTGACAGTAAAACAAAAAAAGATGAAAATTGTTGTAATGAAATACTCTGACCACTGGGTGACAGTGTTGTCAAATATTTCCACCTCCCTGTGTCTCAGTGGAACCTGTGTTGGCTGCACCAGAGTCTGAGCTGCTCTGAAACCTGACCCACCAACTTTTTCAGGCCCCCCCATCACACAGGCTGGAACCCCTCATCTCGCAGCCAGACCAGATGCGAGGGAGGCTTTAATTTCTCCCTTACAGATGTAACGCAGTTATAACACAGAGCTGTAATGTTCCCGCTGGCTCAGTTCTCTGGTTCTGAATTGGAAGCAGCTGCAGGGTGATGAGACTTGGTGGGAAATTGGCAGGAAAGTAGTGGAAGAGCAGAGATGTGAAGGAGAGGAGTGAATATGGACACATCAGCCCACAACAGGCTGTGGTTCTCCCTGATCATAAAAAACAAAGCATGCTCAGCTTTTGTATTTTGCACCTGCTGCACATCAAGACTCACATATTTGCTTTTTATGATTTAATGTGGGACAAAATAAATTGTTACAACAGAGAAAATGAAGGGACCAGTTAGTTTTAGCACAAAGCAGCTTTTTTTAGTCTAGCATGTTCCTAAACTAGAAGGAAACTATGTGAATCAGAGACGTCCAAATAAACGGGGAGTGGTGGCGCAGAGGTTAGAGAGGTGGGCCTGTGATCCGAAGATCGCCGGTTCGCGCCCCGGCCCCGACAACATCAAAATTGTGGGTGGGGTAGGTGAAACACCCACACTTGCCCCCACCCCTCATTCGCCCCACTCTGGGCCCATGAGCAAGGCCCTTAACCCCCACCAGGTCCCTAAACAGGTCTCTCTTGAAAATGAGTTCTTGTGGCTCAATGAGACTAACCTGGATAAATAAAGGCTAAATGAAAAAAAAAAAACATTTACAAATAAACATGAGTCTGAAATTGGAGTGTATTGTTAGTCGTGATCAAGACCTCATATTCTACTCGACCTACCAACTTTTTAAAGGTTTACAAAGTTTTTTTTAAGGCCGTGCAGCTTTTATAATTCTTCATATTTTTACTGCAAATGGATAAATCAAGCTAAGATAAACATTTAGAGCCACTGTTTTAAATCAAGATCATCGTATGCTGCAAGGGAACATTTTAGCCAGTTTGGTCAAACCTTGTAGACAATGTTATGTGAGAGATCATGTGATGTTTCCTGAGATGTGTTCGAGCTCAGAGTATATATTATGGATCATGCTCATCTACTACTACACCAAGTTTTAGCTCATTGTGTGTAAAAATGTCAAACTGGGAGTACAGTCATTCTTCATAAAGTCGGTTAGACTCCAAATATTAACTTGAGAAACTGCTTTAAAATGCAGTGTGAATGCTTATTGCTGAAGAACTTGTTGAAAAACAGCTGAAATTAACTAAAAACGTGTTGAAATGTACCGTAGCTGAAATGGAAGAACAAGCCTAGTAAGCAGAAGATCGCAGAAAAAAAAAAAAGCTGAATTATGTTTAAATAAGCAGAAATGTGCCCCCAAACTAGGAAATTAGCTAAATAGCAGAAATTAGCTGAAACAGCTGAGAAGTAGCTGCAATGGCAGAAATAAACTTAAACCACCAGAAGGAAGTGCAAAGAGCTGAAATGAGCTCAGAACATGTGGAATTAGCTGAAAAAGCTACAATTAGCATATAAACAGCTAAATAACTGAAATAGCAGAAAAAGCTTAAACTAGCAGCAAAAAGCTGAAAGGAGTATATTAAGCTGAAATTAGCAGAAAGGAGTTATTTAGGCTGAAACTAGCAGAAATTATTAGGAAGAACTTTAATTTATCAGAAAAAAGCTGAAATAAACAAAAAACAACAAAAAAGCTAAAAATGTAGCAAAAGGTAGAACAAGTTTAAATTAGCAGAAGAAAGCAGAAGGAACATGTTTGCCCTATTAGGCTAAAAGAAGCATAAATGAGCACAAACAAGTGGAAATTATCTGGAAAAAAAGGCAACAATTAGTAAGAAACAGGTGAAGAGTAGCTAAAAAAGCAGAAAGAAGCTTAAATTACTAGAAGGAAGTGGAGAGAGCACATTTTTGCTGAACTAGACTGAAAAAAGTTGAAATGAGTTCACTGTTCATCCAGTGGTTAATCTATGAAAACTTTATTAAAATCTGCCATATAGTTCATGATATATTTTGCTAACAAACAGACTTGGTTGACTCCAGTAGTCAATGGCCATTCATTCATTAAAACAGATCTTGTATGATCAATTAATGCTTAGAGTATGTGTTGGGAGTTATTCTCTACTACCACACCAAATTTTAGCTCAACATCCATAAAACTGACTCAAGTATAGCCACTCGTGTGTTTGCTGTGGCAGCCATTCTGAATGTGATTGACTCCTAAAAGTTTTGGATGTTCACCCAATGATTACTTCCCGAGAGTTTCATTAAAAATTATCCTTTTAGTTCATGAGATATTTTGCTAACGCAACAGAAAAACAAACAGACACAGATATAACGCCTTCGGCTGCAGGTGGTTAAAGCGCTGAGAGAACATTAGATTTAGGAGCGAGCTAAAATAAGTTTCATGAAGCTGAAGCGACTTCCATTCAGCTTGGTTGGTCTTGTTCAGTAAACCAGTTAATATTGTGATTAAATTGGTCCGAACCAAGTTTGTTTCAGGTTTTTTGAATGCAGAGTATCCAGAACAGGATGAACCCCACTCCCCTTAGCCCCGCACCATTCCCAGCACGGATCCGCACATGCACTCTTTTTAATGTAAACAAATCTGAAGCAGACATGGTTGTAATTGCATCCATCATTGATTAGTCTGGTTCTTTCAGAAGAAGCTTGTGAGCCGAGAACCCCTGCTGCTAAATGGATTGGACAACGGGTTGTTTGGGTCTCATTAGTCGTCTCCTCGTCTTCCTCTTCCTCCCCTGTCCTCCGCAGTGTCCACATGTGAATTAGGGTTAATGGTGTATGTGTGTTGATGGTGTTCAGTGGGGAAACAACTTTGTATGTTCCTTTGGTTTTGTTCATTCAGTTATACACTCGTGTTGTCGATTGTCTCTGCAGGAAGTGGATGCTGAGACAGCAGAGTGCTTGGCTCTGAGGGAGCAAGTTGGTATCTATGAGGAACAGCTGGCCAACATGGAGGCCCAGCACAAGTTGGTGAGAAAACAAAAAAATTGATGAATCAGAACGTTTATAGTTCTGAAAAATGTCTTGAAATATATTTGGTTCAGACTGGGGTGGTGGAAAACTCCCCGGTCTCCATTAGTCTTTTCTGAAACATCTGCTAATACAAACTACAGCAAATTATGTTTAATAATGTGCAATGGTCTTGAGCTTGTCCTCATTTTAAAAACGTTTTGCCTCAAAGGAGCTGAACTCTTGATTTTGAGTTGCACTGTTAGAAACCTTTTGAAAAGTTTTACAAGATATGATTTGAACGCATTTTCCATCATTTTCAGTTCAGTCCTTCTGCTTGATCGTTGTCAACGAAATGCTTTTTGTTTTTTAACTCACTGATTGATGAATCATCAAGCACACATACACATAACTCAAGGGCTGAGCCTGTGTTTTGTTCACAAAGTGTTACTGAAGGGCAGAAATCTTCAAAAATGCAACTGAAAAACAGAAATGAATGTATTTTTTCAGTTTATTCAATTCTGCAGTCACAAATTCACACGCTCTTTTTTTTTTATACTTTATAAAACCACAGACACATGTGGAAGGTGACCAACAAAGTTGATTTATACAAAAACATGGGAATTATATAGTTTGACAAAAAAAAAAAATCAAATAGGACCTTTTAGGTGCTTTGCTAAAAGCAGACTGCTTCAAAGACTTAGGACTTGCTTCATTTTTTTTACTCGAATCATTAAAGAATGACTAAAATATGTTTATAAAACACAAACTATTAATTTTGCACCAACAAAGCGTACTGGTAGGTATATGAAAGTGTCAAACAGTAAATCCTCTGCAGAAGATGATGCACCTCTCAGATCTTTGTTGGATTATTTTTGTCTCCCACCGCGGAGCGAAAAGGAGGAACTGGAAATACCATGTGTGGTGTATGGCTGCAACAAGGCATCCAAAAGTTTGCTTTAAGAATTCAGTGACCACGTCAAAATCCTGTCCATAAAAACACTTAGAAAACTACAAACATTCACTATTTAAACCCCTTAGCAACCGGGGAAATATGCATACTGCTTGTTTGCTCCTGTTTTTATAGGGAGGTGACAGAAAGATGCTGATATTTTGAAACGTTTTTGTATTTTTCAAGGGAAACTAACTTTTAAAGATACTTTGTGAACCTGCCAAGACTTGAAATATATAAAAAAAGAAAAATCATTTAAATATATATATATTTTTACATGTAAAATAAAAGAACAAAATTTGAGTTAAATAATGAACTTTTATAAGGATTTTCTTTAATCAACCAGTTACCTAACGCTTAACAACAACAACAACAACAAAAAGGTTGGAAATTGAAGTAAAAAACAGAAACTACTTAAATGTCTGTACAAATGTTTCATTTTGAGCAACACATTTTTGTTTATTCTTTGCTTTATAAATCAGTGTATTTTAATATAGGTAAAGAAAAAGTTTCTAGTTAACCAAACACAAATAATGAATGTGGTGAAACCAAACCTTTAGTCAGATATAAAATGTTTAAATGACGCTTTGAGGGCTTTTTAGATTTGCTAAGTTTATTGCAAACCTTGTTTTGTATTACCAGTAATGTTTTGCAAAGTTACATCTATTATGCATCACCGCTGACGTGTTGCATTTGTTATGTGTCACTGCTGACCATCCAGAAACGTGGGCCGGTGTTGTGCCAAAAATCAATTGGCTGCCAAATAGCAGCCGCGGGACTGTGCAGGGGAGGACTTTAACAAGTATTTAACAAGATTAACAGTGAAAAACAATTATGCGTGTGCTCAGAATTATAGCAAAGGTGTGTCTCAGCTGAACTTTTCCTTAATAAATACACTTTAATGGTCAAATCAGCTACATTTCACCTGGGCGGCGCAGCAAAATGTAGCTGATTTGACCTTTGCTTCAGGAGTAACGGAGCGAGACGAAGGTGCTTCTTTGGCAAGCCAAGTGTCTCATTAATAGCCACTTTTACTTATTAATGAGACACTTGGCTTGCCATATTTCTCAAGCGCCCTCTAGCGGCTGAAAATGGTAGTGTTCAATATTTTCCATGCCAGAATGAAATAAATCTTCAGATCTCAGCCAAAAATTGGATTACAAATGTGGGGAAAAAAACGTAAATAAGTCGCTTCATTGTATAAGTCGCAGGGCATGCAAATTTATGCAAAAAGATGCAACTTATACAGCGAAAAGTATGTAAAAGTACTCAGAAGGCAGTTATTTTTTCCCTCTCCCACAGAACCTGAACCACACATTACAGCTAGCTTGTTTGGCTGGAGTTTATCACAGTATGCTTCTTCTTCTGCCCAGAGTTCAGTCTGGCACACCTTCACGTAAGGAAAGCAGCTGCTTCACATCAGTCCTAGGGACAATTCAGCCGGCCACTCAGAGCAGACTGAAAATAAAAAAAAGAAGCAAAACAGCATTTTAAATTAGAATAAAGAAACGAAGCAGCAATGAAAGCAAAACGAAAATATTGTGTAACACACAGATTTTTATTTTATTAGACTTTAAGGCTACATTATAAACCTGTACATGTATATGATCATATATATAACATCAAACTTAATGGTTTATTTTTGTTTCCTAAAACTTGTGTTTATCTACTTACAAACCTAATATAACTGCTTACTAAATAATAATAATAATCATGATTTAAGCTCCTATGAGGGATTGGAGAGAGGGGCAGTCAAGTACAGTGTCAACCAGAACTGTCCAGTGATAACTTGAAAGAAGGCTTGAAAAAATAGAAAGTCTGTTTTTATTTTTATTTTTTGCAATATTTTCCAGAATGGCCACTTGTGTATGAACTGTAGGGCTGTTTTTAGCATTTGGAGACATAATAGTTTGAGAAGTTGAAGAGAAATCAACACGAGGCAGGGATTTTTAAATCACAGGATCATTGCAAGGAATGTTACTTCATGAACATTGTAGCTCCTGTTGGACTTTATAGTCGAGGCAAACTCCCCGATCCATGCAAGTGGTGACAGCTAGTTCACTTCTAACATCTGTTCTGCTGTCATATTAAAATAAAATCGATTTTGTACAGAAGGCACACTCCTGTTTAACAGAAAACAGAAGATATCTGCATCAATGGATCTTTTGGCAGGAAAAGAAAGAAGACGGGAGTTTAAAACTGTGAATTGCTCCTTTAAAATGAATCCATTTGTTGCACACACCGTTCTGTCTGCATCCTTTACGGTTTTCTCCTCCCCACCAGAAGATGACAGATGCGGCCCAGGCGGTCAGAGGCTGAAACGGCAGCAGCTCCATCACTCCGTTTTTCTCTGCAGAGCCGCCCGGCGTTTAACCTGCTCCCTCTGGAACCTGCTCGATAACCCAGTGTGGGAAAGCCGACTAAACGCCACATGAAAACAGAAGTTCTCTTTGTTTTATCAAACGTTTTGTTACGGCACGTCCGCATAATTAATTCCGCTCTGACAAACTGGTAGCTGTGTCATCGTTCAGGTGCAGCAAAAAGCAGGAAAATGTTGAGTCTCACTGCAGTGCAGGTTTTTCTCAGTGGCAGTTCATTTTCTTTGGACTAAATTTGTGTTTTATTTTTTACTAACAATGCTAATTTGTAAAAGGTTGAAGTACATGCTGTGGACTTTGTTGGGCTGAAAGTAGGGATGCACAATATTGGATCTTTGGCCGATATCTGATATGCCAATATGTAAAAACTTATTTGGTTGATAACCGATACCAATACTGATATTTTTTTCCAAGACCTACGTACAGGCACTGCATAGCTTTCTCTGCTGTGGAATTGAAATGCTACATTATTTTGCATGCTCTTTGTCAGTTCGTCCTGCCAAATGCAGATGACAAAAAGGGGTCTGAAAATGATGTAACACTTCAGCTTGGATTATGTTTAATGTCAAATTTATTCGTTACATTTACTCTCTCTAACACAATGACAATGACTCGTACAAAAACAGCACCATATATTTATATATTTTTTTCATTCAACCTTTATTTAAACAGGTTAGTCCCATTGAGCCACGAGGATTCATTTACTAGAGAGACCTGAATGAGAGTATATATATATATATATATATATATATATATATATATCATCCTCAAATGATCTCAGCAGCAGTTCCTCATGTACTAATGGTCTTCTCTTTGCATTGTGTAGTTAAAAGTAGTTATCGCCCGCCACCTAGTCAGTTGATAGTGTTTTTGATCATGTCTGTGTGTTGCCTGCATATCTGTCACCTCTGTATTTGTATATGTTGCATGCGCAGGAAGTGGAAGGTCTGCTGAGGCCAGATGAAAGAGCTCTGAAGGTAGCGGCGATTAGATTTGGCAGCCCTGACATCACTCCGGCCTTGGATGTAAAGGAGTACTACTGCCAGCTGGCTGAGAGCCTCCAGGTACAACTTAAGATACAAAACATGCCAAGACAGAGTTAGACACACTCATACACACTTTAATGTTTCCAAGCAAGCCTCGTGAAACTGTCGCTATATTTCTGCTTGTTTAACAGCAGAACAAATCTTTATTTAATGCTTGATTTTTTTCCATTTTGAACATTTAATGCTAACGTTTTTTAGAATTTCGGCACTCCTTTATTTTTTATTTTTTTTACTTGACTCTGAATTCTTCCTCAGACACCCACTCCTCATTCTCCTCGCTCCCCCTAACCCCGCTAAAATGGCCCGGTCAGGTCCGGACATAAATCTCAGCTTTCACAAATCACACTGCGATCCTCCTACTTGTTGTTTTTACTTCCCTAACACAACACTTGAGGAGAACTTGAGAATCGAAGCTGCAGTTCTTGACCCAAACAGAATGCTTTTGTCCACCTATGTCTGCGTGCTGCTGCCCAATGGGGTCAGACTCCCAACTCCGGTCGGTCTGACCCCCTCTGAGGTGAGGATGTCTGCCGGTTCAGAGGTCAGAGCTGTAATCAGACTGCAGGCCGCCTTCCCAGGCTTTCCAGCAACTGTGCGGTGGATGATGGTGTGTCTGAGGAGATATTAAGGAACACCACTGGGTACATTTATATATATTTGTGTGTCTGATGGGATGTGTCGGAGTGTTTCTCTTCCTCTCATTCAGTCTCTCCCATCACCAGCTGGACGACGTCCCGTCTGCGCCTGGCCTCCATTATGAGACACTCTGGTCTTGATGCTGAAATGATTATTGGTGTTGAACATTGATGGTGATTGCTGGCTGTCTCCCACACCTGTGCGCCCTCGTGTCGCTTGTTTCAGCTGCGTCTTTTTCCATTTAATCACAAATTAGGTTCACGCACAGAGACCTCTGCTCATCCACTGACAGACTCTTCACTAAAGACCCATTAATTGTAGTTTGTTTGTGTTTGTGAACTTAGTTTTATTTTTTATAAAAAATCCACACATGCAGGCATTTTCATTTGCTCGATTTAGTGATTATTTGTTTCTTCAGTTCGAGTGCGATGCATCCTCCTCTGCTGCGATGCGTAAAAGTGATGGAAAGAAACTGGAAGTGGGAGGAATTGCAGGGTCAAAGGTCAAAGACCTGCCGGAGATGAATGACGCGAGTGAGATGAACGCAGTGGTGAGTGCATTTCCCTGCTCTTCTTTTTACTCTTCTTTATCAGACAAAATCCCAAATTCTAGCTCCTTGAAACGGCACATTACTGAATAAAATAACTGTTTTTATTAAAGTCCTCATTAATGTAGATGATTTGTGTTTTTCTTGGTAATTATCTCTGAAATTTCTCATCTCTAAACATCTCTAACATACCTGTGTATAAATAAACCTTGATTTATCCTCATAAATCAATTTGTCCATGATAAATAACACGTCTTGTTTAGATTAGGTTGAATTTATCCCTGAGTGACTGCAGTTCTACAAGAGATTTATGTGAAAATCACTGAGAGGACACCAAACTGCAACAGTGTTTGTAATCTTCAATGAGGTTTTATTTTTGGAAAAACTTCACAAGGCACAATTTTTGCTGCCTTTCTATAATTAAACCTTGAGACTGATTGGGGTGTGTGTTACTGAGTGTCAGAAGCAAACCTGGAAACTTGAATGAATCTTACTGTGTGAATGTTAAAGAAGTATTCACACTATTGTGATCCATTTTTCTTACGTAGGTTTTTTGGTGCAATTCTTGTCCCGCAGTTTTCTAGCTATTTCAACAAATCATATATCAAAATGTTCAGCTCTTTCAGGACAATCCTGCTACGACTTTTGGTAGTGGTGCAACTTTAGCTTTTTGATATATTTAGCCTTTTCTGTCATGTTTTCCCTCATAGAATATGAATTGAGCTCATCCTTCAAATCTTTAAATCTGTTTACAACCTTGTACTGCTCCTTTTACATTTTGTTCTGATTCAGCTTCTTTCTGCTAACTGCAACATTTTTTGTGGCTCTTGTAACTTCTTTCTGCTATTTTCAGCTTGTTATGCTCCTTTTAGCTTACTTTTGCAAGTTTCAGCTTTTTCTGCTATTTCAGCTACGATTTAGCGGTTTTTATGCTAATTTAGCATTTTCAGCTAATTCCACATTTTTTGCACTCATTTAAAAAAAAAAAATCAGCCTAATTCAGCAAAAATGTGCTGTGTCCACTTCCTTCTGGAAAGTTAATCTTCTTTCTGCTTTTTTAGCCAGTTTTCAGCTTTTTTTTAGACTCATGTGAGCTATTTTCAGAGAATTTCCATTTTATGTGCTTATGTCTGCTTTTTTCAGCCTAATGGGGCAAACGTCATTTTTGCCTTTTTCTGCTAATTTAAGCTTGTTCTACAGTTTTAGCCACCTTTCTAGCATTTGAAGCTTTATTTCAGCTGTTTTCAGATAAATTCAAGTTTTTCTCTGGTAATTTCTGCTACTTCCTGCCTAATTAACTTTTTTTTTTCTGATAATTTCATCTTATGCTCCTTTCAGCTTTTCTCTGCTAGTTTCAGCTTTTCTGCTATTTCAGCTAATATTTAGCTGTTTTTATGCAAACTTTAGCCTTTTCAGCTAATTCCCCATTTTGTAAATGGGATTTACTGTATAAATAAAGGTTGATTGATTTACCTCATTTCAGCTCATTTCACTTCCTTAAACTTCTTTCTGCCTTTTCAGCTTCTTTTCAGCTTTTTTTGTTGCTAATTTCAGCTTTTTTAAGCTGATTTCCTAATTTTTGTGCTCATTTTGGCTTATTTAAACATAATTCACTAAATACGTGTTCTTTCTGGGGTTTTTTCTGCTAATTTCAGCTTGTTTTTTTAATTTCAGCTCTATTTCAGCATGTTTGTAGCTAATTTCAGCTGTTTTTCAGCAAGTTCTTCTGGACTGCACACTGCAATTTTATAGGAAATACAATTTCCCTAGTTATTTTTAGATGTTATTCTGAAACTTTATTTTGTTCAACTTTGTCCCAGTAAAAAACGCATCATTAAAGAAATATTTAGGCATTTTCTGAACACAGCCTTTCTTGCAAGACATGAAAGAATAAGACTGAAGTTTGAAATAAGACATAGAACAGCTTCTGGCTAACTTAGCTCAGCAAATTCACTCTAAAAGTGACAAAATGCTTAAATTACTTAACGAACAGGTTACCCAAGACCAACTTACAAGTGTAAACATAATCTTTGGCTCTTATGAAGGCTTATGTGCTGTTCTAGTTCTTGTCTGGTTCCAGTCACGTTCTGAATTTTAATTTTATTGAACATTTTCCATAAGTTTTCCCAACGTCCAGATTTACTTCAGGCTCATTTAGCAGATTTCTGTTGGTGGTGTCAGAGTTTCTGTACAAACATGAGAGTGTTAAATATCACCTTTTCTAATCCGTATTTCAGCAACTATATGAATTTAGCCAAATTCATTTGAGTAAGAGAAACACAAGTCCTTTAGTGTGATTGCATGATTGTGCTCAGCAGATGGATAGATGTTTTTATAAAAGTCTGGATCATTTCTTCTCCAAACACAAACCTGTTCACTACAGCTCGAACGTTCCCGCCACGGGAAAAATGAACATATCAGGTTTATTTAGACGCTGCTTTGCAAACCTGTAACGTATTTAGGATGTAGGAAAGGTTTAATGACTCCTGCATGAAGGTCGTATTTATACAGGTGTAGCTGCAAAGTGAAACTGTGCACCATCACTCCAGTGTCTTCTAAATCTTCCTAAAAGTTTTTTTTTCTTTGTCAGTCAAAGATTTGGATTTGGAAATGCAGTTTGAGTATTTCCCTAAGTTTTTTCTTTTTTCTTTCAGTCTGTTCTCAAACAGTTCTGTAATCTGATTTGTTTTAATTTCACATTAAATGGAGAAAATGTATTCTAGAAATATTTTTTTAGCATCTTGAGTATTTGCACCAGACGTAAGCAGAAAGTTTTTATGTGGGCTTGGACTTTCAGTTCTTTGTAAAATGCTAATAAAGGTTTTTGATAAAGGTTAACTGGAAACTTAAATCTCAAGCCTTAATAGAATGAATGACATACATCTACTTGCATAGTATTTTTTCAAAGCTGCAAAGATATGCAATTAAAATATTTAACTGCAACATGAGCTGTCCATTTAAAAATGTGATGATGCCATCGATTGATCCCACTTTCTTATATATAAATAAATGCAAAGTCAATAAATAAAAGACTGATATCATATTTAGCTTGTAAAACTAAATATGAAGCCTCCAACAGACTTTAGATATAACTTTTTTAATGGTTGTCAGTGTGGACAAAAATATTAAGAAAAAGCAATACATTGTTACACTAAACTTTACATTTGTTGAACTATTAAAATGTTTTTGACTGAGAAATATGTGGCTTTTTTATTGCTTGCTGAGGATAAATGACTATAATACCATTAGTATACACCAAACTAAACATTTCAATGGGTTTTGTGCCAGTAAAAATACTTTAAAGAGAGCAAACTGCATTTTTAAAAATTTATTTTCCAAATACAGCTCACACTTATTCCTTTTGAAATTCACATCCAAAAATCTTTGCAGTTCTTCAGAACTCAGAAACTCCTTCATGTTTTTCTTTGTCACAAAAGGGACTGGGGGCTACAAATTATGGGGAAGAGGTGAAATAGGATGTTGCTTAAAATACCTTGAATTGGCCAGCTTCATGATAAAATTGTGTAATAATAACTTTACTTCTGGTAGAAGAATCATTGCAAGTCTAATGACGACAGCTGCTGAGAAATAAATTTGTTTTTTCCAGATGATTAATCAGAACCCGATGCTACGAGCATTTTGATAATACGTTTTGAACCCCTTTGAATAACAAAGCATGAATGAGAGTTAAAACACAATTATGGTGGTAAAGTTGATGAAGGGAGTGGAGAGCGGCTGAGTGACAGCAGAGCCACGGGGGTGGGGGGTCTGGCTGACCAGAGTGTTTACTCTGAGGACACTTTCAGCAGGAGAAGGGCTCGGCTGCAGCTCAGACGGGATTTATTGCTCTCGCTGTCTGCAGTTATTAAGTACACTGTTTGAGAGGGTCTGCAGAGACAGAGACGTTTCAAGACTTTGCACACAGATGCGCACTAAACTTACATTTCTTTAGCAGTTTACAAATAGCATTTAAATGTTAAATGGACTGTACTTATATATCACCTTTTTATCTTATCAAGATACTCAAAGCGCTTTACTCTACAATCTGTGCCCTCATTTACCCATTCATACAGCACTTTACTAGATCTATTCAAAGAATAATCAGTGCTTTATCAAATTCATATAGGCCTGTCGCGATAAACAATAAATCAATTAATCGCACGATAAATGAAAATTATCGACCTCATTTTCATTTATCGGCTTTATTGTTTCTTTGTGTGTCTCTCTTTCTACTGAAGACACTGGATGACAAAAGGCTTAACTCAGGTGCTCTTCACTGACCCCTCCCTTTCTCTCTTTTCTCTTTAAAATCTGTTTCAATCGTCCAAAATCTTGTTTTTGGATCGTTAAAAGCAGCTAAGCTGAGAAGCTAAGCTACGAGCTAAGCCAAGGCCAATTTCGGGAAAAAACCTCCGTCTTGTTGAAGCTCCAAAATTCATGGTTGAAACCCGTGCCTTTGTGTAAAAAGTTGTTTTTCTATGCAAAAAGAAGCTGAGAACTTGTTTACAGATTTTTTAATTTTTTTTTTAAATTAAAAGCTTTGTGTGAAAAATGCTATGCCAAAGAGCTCAAACCAAACCGAACGTCCGCCATATTGAGTACCAAAAAAAGGAAAGAGAGACAGCCCATGTCACGTCAAGGGGCCTTCCTCTCATTTTTCTTAAAGAGACACGCTGCTCGCTCCCTCACTATTCATCCTTTGGTTCAAACTGTCTCATACTGCCATCCAGTGGTCAATAAAATGTACTACACTCAAAACAAATGAACCAATATTTCTTCTTAACTTTGACAATTACTAATTATTATCAACTTTCAAACAATATTATAGTTTATCGCAATAATTTCTGAGATAATTAATCGCCCAGCAGAATTTGTTATTGTGACAAGCCTACATTCATACACCGATGGGACACACATCAGAGGCAATGAGGGGCTTTGGCATATGACTGCTGGTGGAATCGAACCCTCAACTCTTGCATAGGATGACTGCTCGAACCAGTCAGCCACAGCTGCCCGGATTAAACATTAATTAAATATTTTATTCAGCTAATAGAGGGAAACAAAAGGCAGCCCAGAGAGGTATTACTGACAGATAATTTCATTCAGGTGAAGTCACTTAATTAAAAACAGAAATTACCTTCTCTCAGTCTTTAACATCCATCAGCGGTCTCACCACAGCTGGCACCCGACCACATCTGTAACAAACATGGTGGTTTGGTTCTTATTACTGCGGCCGCGGCCTTCCTTCCAGCTCTTTAAATAAACAGAGCGCCTCTTTAACCACAGCAGAACCCGTCCAACATCATCTAGTCTTCTCTAACACACGACCCACGAGCTCCGGTCGGGTCACTCCAGCCTGACGAATGGACAGCTCGGCTCGATCTGCTCTGTTTCCTCTCTCTCGCCTGTGATGGATGCTCCGGGTCTGCTTTCTCACCGAGACACAACATGGCCAAACAAACAGATTGCAGTGAAATCAGCCCGGACTCAAGAGTGTATATAATAGAACAGGCTGTGATGGCGTTGTACGCATATACATACACGACCGGGCTCCACTTATCATGACAGGCAGGAGGGAGGCGAGTGGTCGTTTTTGGCTCGGCCAGTTTGAGAAGTCATCGTGAGCCTGAGAGTAGGAACCATGTTGTCTTCTACTCACATAATCTCACTGAAATACGAGCAGGCTGCATCCCCATCTGGTTGTGACGACTAATTGTTGAACTTTTGTGATTGTTGTAATTAGTCATGGAAGGACATCACAGACACTGCGGGAGGGATGCTCCTCGGTTACCGGTAGTTTGTGCTCTAAATAACCTGGTCAGCCTGCGTTTGTCTTCAATTGGAGCTCAATTTCTATCAATTTTCAAAATGAAAATTGTTATTCATAATTTAAAAGTGGAAGCTCAAGGTAAAGAGAAACATTCCCTGTTTAATGTTCTTTGGTTTTATTAGCCGAATCTTGTGCCCTTGTCTTATCTGTTTACAGTAGTAGAAGGCAGCTGTTAGCATTAACGTATCTAAATCCAGGTTGACCACTGCAATTCACCCAATTATTGTGGGAATATTTTGCCCTAAAACCACAAATGTGAACCTTGTGGTAAAGGCTGGATAAATTGTCAGGGGGAATCACTAAAGTCAATGTAAGTCATCATCTGGAAACAATGAAAGTCTGTACAAATTTTGATGGCAATCCATTAGGTCTACATTTAGATATTTCCATCTGGATCACATTGGGGGGGGGGGGGGGGGTTATTGCACTCACATGGCTGTGAGCGCTGATAAAAAAGCTCTAAAAAGAACAAATTAGAGCAAAAAGACAAGCAAATATAGGATTTATGGTCCTCAAGTGGTCAGAAATTGTAAGCACAGATCTTACTTTTTCTGTGCAAGGGTGTGAGGGAAGCTAGTCTATTATTTTTTGTATTTTAATAAATAATAACTCATTTAAAAAGCATAATAAATCTAACCATTTAGCAGAGAGCACGAGAAGTGAAATGCTGTATAATGTTGGTATTAATGCACAACTATGGTTTAAGGTCAAGTCTTATTTGCTTTAATGTAAACTAACAAAACGTTCCCTGCTGAAGGAGACTTTGTCATTCACATCACATGCAATACATGAGATGGAACAAAATTATGTACGCAGGGTCCCTTTACACTGGACAAAGCAATATATATAAAGTATATTGGTAAATAAAAACATAAACAGTATATAAACAGTGAAGTGCACTTATTTACTTGTTGAATTATAAAAAGGCCATGAAAGGAAAATTATGTTGTAGCTGGGCATTACCAGGGGTCTGCAACCTTCATTATCAAAAGAGCCATTTTTTACACTTTCATTCATTAAATTAAACGTATCCAAAGCTGCAACAACCTGCTAAAACTCTGATTATCAACTGGTGGCTCATGGGCCACTTTAGGTTTATTGGAGGAGACTTTTGTGGTCAGTAGGGATGACATTATAAAGCTAAAAATATCTAATGATTTTTAACATTTATTGATATTTTTATAATGTAAGATGAATGGAAAGACCAGATTCTTGTAGGAGGGGTGGGGGCGAGAGAAACAGCTTTTTAAATAAAAACCAGCTTTGAACTACACAGACCTATGTGATTTTTTATTTTTTTTTAATTGTGGAAAAAAATACTTTATAGAAATAAAGAAAAAGTGTTGAAGTATTGCAAAATAAATTACAGAAAAACAGCTAGAAGTATTTTTTTGTTTGTATAACAACCAATAAAATTCAGTTTTATGTCAGTTTTGGTCAAAGCTTGAAAGAGCCGCTGCAGAGGGTCCAAAGAGCTGCATGTGGCTCCAGAGCCACAGGTTGCAGACCCCTGGGCATTATCAAAAAAGTAAGTTTGTTTTGCAGGTATACAGTAAATGAGTCTCTGCTAGATGGCATTTTGTCTTTCTGCAGATTTCGGGGCTGCAAAACGAGCTCTCCGAGCTCGAGAAGTGTAATCAGGAACTGGAAGACGAGGTTGAGACTAAGATGGCTGTGTACGAGGGTGAAGTTGAAGAGTTGGAGGTGATGGAGGGAATATTTTGACTGAACCACTGATCTGAGCTCATTTTATTTGTAAATCTCATTCTCTGTTCGTCCCACCGTGTGTGTGCACGTCTGGGTGTATTCATGTTCTTCAGTGCGCTGTAGATGAAATCAAGCAGCAGGAGGCTGATCTCAAGGCTCAGATGAAGGAGCAGTGTGAGGCGAACAAGACACTGCTCAGTGAGAGGATGGCGAGAGACATGGAGATTGCTGCTTACAGGTCAGAAAATTTAATGTCAAAGTGTTTTATTCTGTAAGTCTACATTGAAAAAAGAAGCAGTCTTGCAATAACTGGCTCAAAAACGGCAAAACATTTCATCGTACATCATAACAAAATTTAGCTTTTTTACTGATAAAATATTTTTTTCTGCTTTTGAGTAAACACTAAAGTGGAAGAGAGAGGACTGGTGGTCAGAGTCAACATTTGCTGAAGTTACTTCACTTTCTGATTTATCAGTCGCTCATAGTTTAGTTTTAAAGGTGCATTTTTTTTATTTTTTTTTTACGTTTTCCGCATTATTGCCATATCATTCTAACATTGTAGCACCGCTTGGGGTGGCTGCATGTTGGAGTAGCTCTGTTACATTCATTCTGAGTTATTGTTTTGAAAACTTAATCTTTTCTTTATTCTGGATGTAAATTGCTTTTTTTTTCAGGTGATTGTTTACTCTGGGATCAGATGCTGTGCAGCTGGAAGGATTTTTACTGAAACATTTTTACTTTTGGGCATTTGTTATAATGTGTAACCATGGCAACAAGGTGTTTTTTTTAACAACCAGGAGCAGCTGATTTACATCTCAAAAGCTCAAATACCTCAATTACAGCCCCAAATTCCAAATGAGTTGAAAAGGAGGCGCCGTGGACTAATTGAATTCCCGTCAACCTGGCGTTGGTGCTCGAGTACCTGACCTCCAAGATCCTGGAGCTGGTGGGAAATTCGGCTCGTGACAATGGAAGGACTGGGATCATACCCCAACACCTTCAGCTGTCTGTCCGTGGCGATGAGGAGCTCGCAGACTGCCGGGAGGAGTGACCATTGCTCAGAGAGGAATTCTGCCCGTCATTCGGACAGTCCTGCCCAGGAGGACCAAGAGATCTGCCGGATCTGACAGCAAGCTGGATCCGGGTGGTCGGATCGGTATCTGTGGCCAGATTCTTCGGATTTGCTGCAGGAGATCCTTCCTGCCCACAGCTATCAGCATGAAACCAGGATAATGAGCTACATCAACTTAATTTCTCTTTGGAATTAATAAGGTATTTTTGAATTATGAAGCAAGAGGCCTAACAGATATTTTACTTTTAACACCATAAACCACTGTGATCATAAATGCAAAGATCACTGTAGTCCTCTTCATTAAGGCTCATTGTTTAAAAATCTTTATCATCCCTGATGCAATTTGTTATGCAGACAGTAGGGAACAAGTACAAATAAACGTCAACAGTACGATATACTGTACAAATATATGCTTCTAATGCTTCTGATGGGCAAATTGTTTGAAAGCACCCATGTCGCTATGGTATGGCCAGTAAGGTTCATAGTAAAGTCTTGAGATAAGAATGATCCAGTTGTTAGTAGAACTGTCAGTCAAAAAGCTGTCATTAATTCCAACAATAACACTGAGTTCATCACCTTCTCTTCAATGTGCTCATTATTATAGCTGCTTTTCTATCTGATTGAGGTTGTACCCCTAAAGTCTGAGCTTTCAGTCACAAAAGCTGTCACAACTTGTGTTGTGTGTGTGTGTGTGTGTGTGTGTGTGCGCACATGATGGGGTCAAATACAAACAGCCCTCATAATATTTAAAGTTGTCACACAGATCTGGCCCTTGATGGTGTGAAGAACTGGGCAAAGCAGCTGGTGGTCCTGAGATGTGGTCATAAGATTTAAATCCACTTGTTTACATTTGACAGTCTTCACATATGAACAGAAGACATTAAATACGACGACTGTGATTATGTTTCCATACAGCCTCATCGGGGCTAATGGGAGAATTATTCCATAGGTCAGAACTCTGTTTCCTACATAACGTCACCTTGACGTTCAAAACTCCTTTGTGAGAAGTTTCTGGAGATAAAGCGCTGGCTTCCTGTGCCTGCTGAGGTCACAGGAAGCTTCTCCTGGATGTGATGCAGTTTCCTGTATGTGGCCTTGAAGGTTTCTTGTCTCTTTGGTTCACCGGGGGTTGTTCAACCATCTGCCACCACGGTGTTTGAAGTGACGCACTTCTGCCGCAACATCCTGCTGCCACAGACGTCTTCCTTTTGCCCGTCCCGCCACATGTGACCCAGAAAGGGGGCCCTTCTGCCGGTCTGAGCTCACACGCTCAAAATACCTTGTAAGAAAGAGCAAAGAGGATCCCTTACTGTCAGGGCTGTAAGGTTAGCCTTCCAGCTCCTCTCCATGCCAGCCTGTTAATGTCAACCCCCCACCGTAGACACATTTACGAATTTGCCACAGTTTTCGTTCCCTCTCACGACCAAACACACACTGTCACAAAGACATTTCAGGCTCAGGAAAGCCACACAGGCCATGCCAACTTTCTTCCTTTCTTTTCCTTTTTTTTTTCACACATTGTTTTTACCCTTGATTAAGGCCATGAATAAAAATGAAAATGGCTGCTGTTTATTCTCTGCACGCCGAAGCAAATTGTCTGCTCTACATACGATAATGACCCCCGGCTGCCATTACTGGAAGGTTTATCACTGATGGAAGCATCTCAGAGCAGTCTGGGCAGATGTTTGCTGGTTTTCTTTACTACAAATGTGAACACAATTGGACAGTAACTCATGGTTCTTCTGCTGCATCGCACAGAAACAAGCAGCTCAAACTAGAATGCTTTTGATGAAAACAGTGCTTTACTCCCTCCTTCAGCTCTAAGCAGAGGTAGAAAGAATACTGAAAATTTGTACTCAAGTACAAGTACTGTTACACTGCTTAAATTGTACTCAATTACAAGTAAAAGTAATGGTGTTATAAAAATACTTAAAAGTACAAAGTACTCTTCTCAAAAACTCCAAGTATTAATGATTTTTTAACCACTTGATGTTTGATTGTGTTGTCAATTAAAGACATTCAGTTGGATTTACTGTGTATTACAGCTACATTCAAAGTACATTTCTCAGATGCTCAGAAGCTCCGTCTTATTTTAGTACCAGGCAAAGCGATGGCAATTACATCATCTAAGATCTTTGCATACTTAGACAAACTAATAACCCATACATACAAACAATAAAAAAGCAATATCACACTTGTAGTTGTAAAACCTCGTATACTGCGATATGTTTTTTGAGATTAGATGTTGAAGTCTTGAAAGCTGCTATCACCGTAGAGATCAAACAAAGTTTGCATCTGGGTGCTGTCTCCTTTTCACCCTCTGTACATGAAAAATTCCTCCAGGTACGGCCACGGGCACTGGTCCTCAGCCTTTACCTTGTCATTTTCTCTGTTGACAGTGTTGTCCTCTGTCTCCATTTTGGCTTTTTCTCCAAATCTTTGGTCCATAAATGACTCTCTACACTTCGGAGTTGTCCTTTGCTTACATCATAGGTTATTGACACGTTCGCGATCTGAGAGCTTTATTGCTTACAAAGATGAACAGTTTGAATATTAATTCAAATTGTGGCCGTACTCAGTAGCGACTTCTGATTTTAAAAGTAGCAAAACATATTACATGGTCTAAATTGTACTTAAGTATGAGTAAAATTACACATTTGAAAGATATACTCATAAAAGCACAAGTACCCCAAAAATCTACTTAATTACAGTAATTTGAGTATTTGCAATTTATTACTTCCACCCCAGGTTCTAAGGTAAAAACAAATCATCTGGTCCGTATGGTTTCCTTAAGGAGGTAAACACAACCTCAAATAAACAGCAAAAGACAGAAAACAAAAGCAAATATTCAGATAAAATCTAAACAATCCTCTCTTGACAATTTACCTGCAATAATCCAAAGTAATGTATCTATTACCTTATTAGTGTCTTTCTTTTCTTTACAATGTTGCTTCAAGTTTATTGAGGTTTGCAGGCATTTGTATGCAGAGCTCTCTTAAAGTCTCACCTCAGCATTTTAATCAGGTTCAGGTCTGGACTTCGACTGGGTCCCTGCAGCGCTGTGATTCTTTTCTCTTTCAGCCATTCTGTTGTAAATTTGCTGCTGTGCTTGTGATCGTTGCTCTGTTTTATAACCCCGTTTGGGCCAAGCTTCAGCTGTCAGACAGATGGCTTCTCACCTTTGACTCCAGAATGCTTTTGGAGTTCACGGTCGACTCAGTGGGTGCAAGGTGCCCACATACTGTGGCTGCAAAACAAGCCCGAATGAGTCGTCCTCCACCGCCATTAGTGAGAGGTGTTTGCACCTGAAATGATGCTGTAAATTGTGGTCAAACATCTTCATTTAGGTCTTATTTGTTCAGTGGACATTGTGAAAAACATTTTGTTTTGTGCAAATGCAATTCTGTAAAGCTGTTCTGCCATGTTCGTTTTAGAGAAAAGACTCTTAAGTCTCCCAACCATCTATTTTGTCATGTAAAATGTATAAAAATGAGCTGGGGCACATTACTTCATCACGTGTTTTGAATATTTTAACAAGTTTAGTTACTGTATATTTTTTGCCCTATAAATTGCAGGTTTTTTTGCATAATTTGCATGTCCTGCGACTTATACACGGAACAAACATACAGTATTTATGGATTTTTTCCCACATATTTATAAACCAATTTTTGGCTGAGATATGACTATTTTCATTCATTCTGACTGAAAATATTGAACACTACCATTTTCATCCGCTAGTTGGCACTCGAGTAGTGTGGCATGCCGTTGTGTCATGTAATAGGTAAAAATGGCTATTAACGACACAATTGTCTTGCCATAGCCTGCCACCGTCGTCCAGCTCGCCTGGAGCAACCGTCAATTCAGCTTCATTTCGCTGCACCGCCCTGGTGAAATGCAGCTAATTTGACCATTAAAGTGCATTTTTTAAGTAAAAGTTCAATTGAGACACACCTTTACTATAAAGTCGAGCAAACAAACAATTGTTTTTAGGTGGTTATTTTGTTAAATTTTGAAGAAATGCACAGTGAGTCGCCCTCTGCGCGTTCAAGTTTCCGCGTGTCGGCTTTTGAAAATACAGCTGATTTGACTATTAAAGTGCTTTTATTAAGGAAAAGTTAGACTGAGACACACCTTTACTATAATTTCAAGCAAACAAATAATTGTTTTTAAGTGTTAATCTTGTTAATTCTTCTTAAAGTCCTCCTGTTCATGCTCCTGTGGTCGCCATTTGGCAGCCCAGCGATTTTTTGGCACAACACTAGCCCACATTTCCGGGTTGTCAGCAGTGACGTGTAACAAACTTAACACGTCAGCAGTGATGCATAATAGATGCGACGTATACAACGAAGCAACGTATTTATGTTTTTTTTCCACTTTATTAGACATATTTGGACTGATGCCACTTATAGGGCTGTGCGACGTGTACGGCGGAAAATATGGTAGCTACTTTTTCAGTCTAACTTGTATATGAGGGTGTATCTTATTTTTTCAACCAAGTTTTTACTCTACACATTACCATTAAATAAAAATAAAACCCTTATCTCTAATCACCTTTCACTAATGAACTTGCAGATATAGCTAGCATACATTTGCATGTCATGTATTA